CGATGCTCGGACAACGATGACTGTCATGAACGAGAGTCTGCGAGTCAAAGAAGATACCTCACACATGAATGCTGCGATCGGGGCCATGCGTTTGCAACTCCATTGGCTTGTGAGCGCGAGACTGCAGAATCAGCAAAGGGTGGCTATGGCAAGGAGCCAGACCGGAGGAGATCTTGACGCAGGTACTTCGTCAAGGTCACAAGGTCCGAGTGGAGGTGTTGAATTGCCCATCCGAAGGCTGAGTGACTTGACGCGGCAAGAGACCAAGCTCTGAGGGTCGTGCTGGCGATGCGTAGAACTGTGTTTTTAGTGTCTAGAGCTTCTTGGGACCTCTGCACTAGGTGAAACAGCACAGATATCTCTACGGTAGTATTATTTATAAATTCATGCATGCACCTCAGATTTCGGTAAGACTTACTCGAAAATAAAGATCTATTATCATTGTTGTGATTTGATTGGTTACCGGCTGGCTGATGACCCGTCCCTGCAGATTGTCTGATCGTCTGACTTCAGCTTCGCGTGGTACCTCGGGCTTATGTTGCGGGAAGGATTCTCCCGATACGACGTCCTCTCCACGCAGCCTCGTGGGAATTGCACGTAGATGCGGTGTGGGTGACCATGGCTCGGATTCGCGAAAGTCCGACCGGTTCCTGTTGTCGAATATAGAGTCTGGACAGGGTTGGGTCGAAAGCTGAGCGACAAGGCATGGCGCTCTGCAGGATCCAACCACTAAATGTCGCTGTTGAACTCACAGCCTTGGTGAGTCAGAATACATAAGCCGCATGAACATGGGTGGGGGGGACTTGGAGAGCTGATTCTGGAATCATAAGAAAGCGGCAATCCTCTTGGTTTCAAACATCGGATCATATGCGCAGTGCGCTTTCGCCATCTTATACTTCTATAAGATCCGCCAAACATCCTTTCCTTGACTCCTGTTACGAGTTGCTCAAGCTTCTTGTCCCATCATGAATGCATCGGTCAACACCAGCGTTGCAGAGTTCCTCACAATGGCAGCACACCAAGCGCATGGCAACTATGGAAATTTGACACTTTTGTGGTTCAACGCGACGGTCGGGGCCATTTTCATTGACCCAAGCATTACAAGCGTCTCTGTTCTCAACCCGGCAATTGGACATCTGTTCGCCCCAGACATCTTTAGTGTTTCTCAAGCGTTTGCATACCCTATAAGTGGTATGAGAGATGATCCATTTTTTTTCTTCTTTTCTGTGACTGCTGACAATCTGATTGCAGGTCAATATGGCTTCCTCAATCGACTATTGTACTACTGCTTGATACTCTTTGCTGTCTTTGCGGCATCTAATTCATGGCTTTGTTGGGTACGTTCATTCATTGTTGCCGATCACTGTCGAGTCTTGAGTCGCCGATTCCGCGACGCTACCATTGCCCCTCCAGTTTCGTGTCTCTGATGGTTCAGAAAACACCCTCAGCGAAGAAATACTGACTTCATCAATGCATAGGCAGCTTTAGGTGGGCCCTGTCTTAGCCTAGTTTTTTCCTAATGGACTTGCTCAAACGTGCAATTAGGCATTGCTATGTCGTACTCAGCCGGCGCCTGCTTGCACGCTTTTGCTCTGTTCGCGTAAGAGTCCAATAGTACTTTCTGCGTCTGCTACTTAGCTGATAGTCCACTGTAGGCGTTACAAATACGACTGGCCAGATAACGACACTACGGCATGGTATAGTACGATGGCACCAAAGTACTACGGGGACATCGATCTGCAGGGGATATTTCCAATCCTTGTTGCTGGCTGTATAGCTCTGCCCCCGATCCTGAACTGGTCTTATCTTTTAAGGGGGTCCAAGGGAGCGAAACCGGTGGTCATATTACGGGGAGCTATGATGTTCGCAGCAGTAATCCCGAGCTTGATCTTTAGCGTGAGAGGATTTTATCCTTTCGAGGTGACTAATCAGGTTACTTATTGTCCCACCAACGCAGCTATCAACTGCACTTTCGATGAACTTTACAACGATGGATATGGAATCTATTCTTCGACGACCTACGATCGCTGTCAATGCAACGACACTTGCGGTGCCGTAGTTCCTAATGGCTTTCCATTCAGAAAAGGCCAAAGCTTGCAAGCAGTCCTGACGTCTGATCGATTGCATAATTTAGGCGAGAAGTCATCCGTTTACTACGCCTTTGTTGTAAATGCGCTTTTCCTCCTGTTCATCCTATCACCCGGCATTCTAGGCCTCATAGAAGCATCGTGGAGTCAACAGCATTTACGAGACACCATCTTCCGACGGCTCAGTGGGACCACCCGACGCAGCTCACGAAAAAGTCTATCCTCAAAAATACGGCACCACATGGGGAAATGTATAGCAGGTTTTCTTGTTTGCTTCTGCTATAGTAGTGACGGTATTGTGTCCGCCTGTCTTCATCAGTTCAGTGATCATCAACGAGATCGTGACATGGAGCTGGCTAGTCGCGTAAGTATCGTCCAATTCAGAGTCCTAGAGTCCGTCATTGCTCTCCACGTTTAGGGAGGATTATGACGCCGTGGGACAGGTAGGAACCGCTGAAAAACAAGTCAAAAGACTCTGCTAAGATATAAAAGTGGGGTCCATGGGTTGCCGCAGCCTTTGCAATCATTGCGGCTACTGTCCAGGCGATAAGTGAAGCCTGGCAAGATCGAAAATCAACCAAGTCTCAAGTGGCGGTGTCCGCTAGTGTACAGGAAAAACGAGGTTCCTTTAGAGATCTATGGATGGACGTCCGTGTAACGCTCCAAGACTTCAAGTACTGGATTGTTGAGGGCTCGCTCCACGAGCCATTGAAACCACCGAAGGAATCTGGTGGGAAAGTTGACGCCAAAATTCCTGTCAAAAAGCCTCATAGGATGTTTAAAGAAGTCCAAGTCTCAAGCTTCCATTGCGACAAATGCAGGAAATTAGCGGGGTCGGTCAAGTATCAATGTACAGATTGTGACCAGGGCTATTGCACGAACTGTTGGCCTCGAACGCAGAAGCGCGGCGCACGCCTCGAGGATACTGCCGAGCAGCCGTCTAATTCCAAACACCTATCGATACATAGAGGCAACCTAGATCCGCTTCACTCGGCCCTCTCTTCCCCAGAGATATCTCCAACGCAGACGCCAACGGAGGATGTGCCTCTCCGACACATTGAAGAAGGCAGAGTCGCCCTCTTACCAAACTTCTCGACATCGCTCTCTTGACTGTGTATGTAGACTCTAGGGCTTTTCGGGACTCCACGCTAGGTGAATAGGCAGGTTCGGGGTATTGAATTCAGAGGCACGGATATATCTATGGTAGCTCCTCCGCTTTCAGTGAAATGTGCTCCGAACACCGAGGTCCGGACAATGTTTCCAAGAAGTCACTAGCAGCATGCTCACTGATCAGCACTCGCCACAACTTAGGATGTGATGCGCATGGATTATTAAGGCTAGTCGCTAAGTCAATGAATGCAAGCTCTATCTATTCGCTGTCGCTGCACCCAACAAGGAGTATCAGTCGGGGCTGCTGCAAAGAAAAACAACGCATGCTTCCGACAAGCAACATCAGTCGGGGCTAAAAATTCAAATCGCAAGCTGAAACAAAAAGAGTGTCTTTGGCAAAAAATCGCCTCCAAACGCATGCTAAGGCTCCACGCTGCAACCAACCGACAAGGAGTGTTATGAGTCGGGGCTAATAATCAAAATTAGGAAAAGGAGTGTCTTTGTCGGATATCAAATCCCCAAACTCCGGTCCGTGCAGCCGTTTTCAAATATCCGTCTCACCCCACCCGCATCTCCTTTCCACCACTGCCCTCCACACCTTTCATGCACGTTCTACCATTTTCAATCACGACGTTGACGTTTTTCCACCTTTTCTTTTCCTTTTCCTTTTCCTTTTTCTGTTTTCGGTGGTGAATTAGAACTAGATTCTCGTCGCCTAGCCTTGCCTTTCCCTTTATTGGCTGGATCGTCGCTGGTGGTCTTTCCAGGAGGTGGCGGAGACCCTGCGGACTCACTCCTAGCGTAGTCATCATAATCGGTGAATTGTCTGAAATATTCTGGAGTCGTCTCCTTCTCCTTGCCTTTTCCGCTTGACGCCTTGCTGCTGCTTTCGCTGGGGGGTGCACTGGGGGATGCACTTGGCGATGCACTGGGGGGTGCACTGGGGGGTGCACTGGGGGATGCACTTGGCGATGCACTGAGGGCTGCACTGGGGGTGGCACTGGGGGGTCCAGGAGCTATCATGGGTTTGAATCCATAACTTGCTTTATAATCGGTCAGCTGGCTTAGACCTGACGTGGTGCGCTGACTTGAACTTGAAGCGGTTGCCGTCAATGATAATGCTCCAAGACTTGAAGTCGTCGCTGAAACGAGGCCGCTTTGAGAAGCGCTGTTACAGATGTAAGCATTTCCTCCTTTCCCTCAATAGAACATAGATCAACTTACATTTCTGTATTGGGCCGAGCTTTCAGTCCCAGAACTTCTACCTCATATTTACTAATCCACTGCTCGCTCAAAGTTTTGAAAAATGGTTTGTACTTTGGATCATTAGCCACCAAAGCTACATTCTTAGTGGCCTGGTAAGTTGGGTCTGCAAAGGTCACGGAGAGGCGTATTGGTCCAGGAGACTTCCAGTTGTAATAGTGGCCGAGAATTTTTCTGGTATCCTCTTCTCTCAACTTTTCGTTGTCGCGATTTGTGCCCCAATTGACTACACCGTAATGGGTACAGGCCTGGTAGGGTTCAATCTGTTCCGCGTTCACTTTATAATCCCTACGCGTAGTATCAAGAACCAACGGCGGCCTCCCTATGCTGCAGTGCAGCAAAAAAGAGTTGATTCAGCAGTATTCTAGTCCAAAGAACCAAGATCGGACTTACAAACCATAAAGCTCTTCGGCTCTAACTTTGGCTGCAGGGTCAACAGCTCGAAAGTGCTGGAACCAACCATCAACGTGGCGGCACCATTCTTCTCTCACTGTGTCTTTCACTGCGTCGGTCACTCTTCGAAATGCGATTGTGATCCCATCTGTGGGGTTATCGAATCTTTCGAGAAGTCCCTTTTGCGCGACCCACTGACTGCCGTGAAAAACCATGCGCATTATGCCCACGACTTCCTCCCGAACCAATAGCCTTCCGAGGTACTCGTACCACATGTGGCAAACATACATGGAGAAGACGTGTAAAGTAATCGTGAGTCGGACAACTTCGGGCGCGTTTCTGGCATCCAGCAATGGCCCATATCCGAATGTCATAGGGATGGCTGGAAGTATTGGGAGCTGTTCCTTCTTGCCGTTGGGCCATATTATGTTGGGCTGGAATTGCCGCTCGCCACCGGGCCCTGTAATTGACACCCAACCGACGGCTCCGCGGTTCTCTCCGATACCAAGTGGCTCCTGTCCACCACCTGCCGCTGCTTGTCGGTTATTTGAAGGCCCTGCTTCTGACGTGAGCTTGGAAGCTATATTGACCGGCATTTTGGCCGACATCTTGGGCAGAGATGTCGTTCGAATAAGATGGACAAAGTGTCGGTCTCCAGAAAAGGAGCTGGAATAGGGTGAGGATGTGCAGCTGTTTGATAAGGAGTGAGTCTGCTTTCTGCGAAGAGCGTCTTATGAGGTGCGTGCGTGTGCAGAGAGTGTTTTATGAGGAGTATGTGTATACAGAGAGTGTCTCATGAGGAGTGTGTGCAGAGGTAAAAGTATGCCCAAGGTGTCTTGGGAGGATCTTAGGAGGAGTGTGTGGGTAGATGGAAGAAGAAGTTGAAGGTGTGTTGCGAGAAGAAGGACTGCAGAAGGAGGGGAGAAGCCTTTTATAAAGAGAACACTGATTTGCTGCCTTGTCTATTCTACCCCTGACACTTTTTGGAGGGAGCATATCCTGTTTGAAGTGTGTAGGAGGTAAAACTTCTTCGGCGGAGGTGGTCGATAAAGGCGGAACGTTTGAGCTGCCGAATTGTACCAATTTTGTTTCGGATGCTTGGTCAATTGTTTGACGGAAATGGCGCCGCGATTTGGTCACCTTGATTCTAAATGTTTCAGCGATTCATGCCCATTTCTAAGTTCTTGGCACATAATGCATCAGCGCCAAATGTTTTAATCGCAACGTTTCGAGTTCGGGCAACCTTTCGAGGCCATGCCGCGCTCTTTACGCCGAGGTTCCGATGCACTTTGGAGACAGCGTCTATGGGTGGCAGATCTACTCCAACCACGCTGCGACACCGCGTTTGTGTCTTCGCATTGACGCCCACGGCTGAGGCACAAGGAACTCTGTCACAGCGGCCGGGGATAGAAAAATAAAACACCAGGGTAGTGGTATCGTTGAGGAGATCGTGGCAAATGACTGTTGGGCGACAATTTTGAAACAGGAAAACCTTCGAGGCCGAGCTTTTGTACGGTCGGTTTCTTGCGTCCTCGCCTGATGTGCTCATGGATGCTGTCACAGGAGCAGCCCCAGACGGGCATACACTAGGCAGCGGTATGGTTTCGAGGACCAGTAGCGAACCATCTCGGCATGTCAGGGCAATTTTTGCGGCAGGCTTTGGCACGCCGGCAGCCGCACATGCTTTCCAGACCCACATTACAAACATGCAGACCCACTCTAGGCTGGGGCACCCTCTCCTTCGGCAACAGCTTTGCCTCATTTCCTTCGCCAGGGAAACTGAGAAACGCTCCTGCAACTTCGGAGGCTCAAACACCTCAGCTCTCAGATACAGACCCACTCTAGGCTTCGAAATTTTCTCTGTCACCAATCATAATACCGCATCTCTGTCATCTGGGAGCCTGAGACATGCTCTTGCAACCTCAGAGACTCGAATACACATCAGGTCTCAAACAGTGATGTCTCTCTGAGCATGCAGCCTCCCATTTGGACGCCTCTGCCTTCGAAAAAGGGCGAGTTCCATGGCTGCACTGTCTCAGAATCCTCGTACTCTGAACATCGTGCAAGTGCCGAGGGAACTATGGAGGGGATGGTGAGACAGTATGTCTGTCTTTCTCTTATAAAAGCTGGACTCCTTCCCTCCATCTTCTGTTTTTCTCTTCATACTCCTCATCGAACAAGTTCAGCACACTCTTTCATTTGTTCCCGCACTCCTCATGATACAACATCAGCACTTTCTCTCACCTACCCACACACCCCTCATAAGACACCTTCAAAAAATCTTTCTGTCAGTTGTTGCTCTCCTCATAAAAAAATTAGCACGTTCTTTCATCTGTTGATTCTCTCCTCCAAAAGCCACCTTCGACACAAAGCACACCCTCTCATTATCAAAGTTCCGCACACCATCCTCTTTGACCAATTCCTTTCCCTGAAGATCGGCAATTCATCCATCTTATTCAAACGATATCTCTGCCAACATGCCGAAAAAGCCCGGATATGTGCCGTCCGCGGGCGGTCAAACCATCTCCACTAACCAGCTCGAACGTATCTTCGTTGCCAACAATCGGTTCGATCTTAGGGGAAGGCCTCTAGTTCAACCCGAGGTCTTTGGGATAATCAGCATCATGTGCGACCTAGACGACTCTCCCCCCAGTTCCAAGTTGTTGGAACATTTCGACGACCCCAAAGATCCATTGACAATCAAAATCAGAGCTTTGGTCGAGCAAGACGATCAACACCAACAAGACCTAAAGGACGAAGTCGGAAACCTACTTGAGACATGGAGGGCAAAAGACGAGGCAAAGGGCGGGGATGCTACAGACAGAATCGAGATTCTCGAGGGGCTGTAAGTCCAGACATGATTCTGCCAACTGTTACATCGCTGAATTCTTCTTTTTGCTGGATCATAGACTAAAGAGACTGCCAATGCGGTTCTTTGTCATGCCTGAATGGAACCAAAAAAGAATCCGGTTTGAACAGCTCTGCATCCTATACCCTTTATACCATTTTTGCCGCGACGACGAAGACAACCACATAAGCGAATTTGTGGCCATACAAGTTGCCCGAATTTATGTGTTCAAAGTCGAGGCCGGTTCAATTCGTGTATTCGAGTTATTAGCAACACCAGAAAAAGATATCACCAAAGCGGTGGCTGGGGTTATGATGGACAGAGCAATTCTGCTTCACTTTGCGAACAAGGCTCATGGGATGCATGTGCGATATACACAAGACAAGGGGTTTCCATTACCTAAGCTTAGACTACCCCCGTAAGATGATCCATGTTCTATTGGCGCAGAGGAGAATATGCTTACAAGTTGATCCAAAAGCGATCCTATTGCAGCTGTCACCGAAACAATGAGGTCCTCCACCTTAACAGCAACCGCTTCAGCTTCGGGCCAGCCTACCCGAGGAGGTCCGCATCGCTCAAACATCCATGATCCTCTGTCAGGTCCCTCCACGGAAGAGCAAGGCAGGGAAGAAGAGAAAGGGTCAAGCGAAGAAGAGGAAGAGTCAAACGAAGAAGAGGAGGAACAGGAAGGGCGAAGGGAAAAGGCAAAACAGCCATTCTATCCCCACAATGTTCTGTCCACCCCCAGTCCAAGCGGAAGCAAGGAGCCAGACAGCACCATCCAGGGCAAGGGCAAGGCGAGGGCATATGAGTCTAGTTCTGAGTCACCAGGAGACACATCTGGGAAGGGGAAAGGAAAGGCTCCAAAAAAACCCCGTCGTAGTGGAAAATAGTGAGATGAGGGAGATACGGGTGGGGTGAGACGAAGATATGAAAACGGAATTTCAGCTTGCGATTTGAATTTTTAGCCCCGACTAATATTGCTTGTCGGGTATAGCGTTAATAGAGTATCATGCATTGCTGGCATTTCTTGCCAAGAGATGATTCTAGTTTCAGTCGACATATATGCTTGTCACCTCCGCCCAGAACACAATTCCCTCTACCAATATCAAACGATTGTAACGATTCAAAGTATCAATTCAAAGTATCAAAGGAAGTAGCTTCGGCCTCCCACGGCACATCTCACCCTCGCCCTCTGATGTAACAATATCTAGACTAAAGTTGGTACAATTGAGCATCTGAAACGTTCCACCTTTGTCGACCACCTCTGCCTAGAGCACATACCCCTCTATCAATCTCAGACAACTGTAACAATTCAAAGTGTCAAAGAAAGTAGCTTCAATCTCCCACGGCATATCTCACCCTCGCCCTCTAATATAACAATCTCGAAACTAAAATTGGTAGAATTGAGCAGCTGAAACGTTGCACCTTTATTGACTACCTCCGCCGTAGATATTTTGCCTATCACACATCTAAAATAAAATATACTCCCTCAAAAAGGTTAGAGGAAGGATGGACATATCTGCCTTTTTCCATAAATGGGGCCTTTCTCTTCATCTGCTGTTTTCCTTCTCACAGCATATCTTCAGTTCATTCCTCTATCTGCCCACAAGTTCCTCACAAGAACACACTTCTCATAAGACACCTGCAATACATTCTTTTATCTGCTCACACACAGACACTCCCCGTAAGACATCTTTCGTACATTCTTTCATCGGCTCACAGATTGTTGATAAGACACCTTCAGTATAATCCTTCATCTGCTGATTCTCTCCCCAAAAGTCTTCCTCGCCCTCTCCATTCTGAGATCCACGTATCATTATCCTTGATCGACCCATTTCCTGGTGACGGACACTTCATCTATCGTATTCGAGAGCAAAAACCTCGGCACCATAATGGGACCCATAGTTACAACGCGAGAGGCAACGCAGCAGCTCATATGGTCGTTAGTACAAGTGTCGAGCGGCGCTGGGGAACAGCTACCAGCGCTCCCAGAGGTCCCTTTGATGACGTCTGACATGCCATTGCTTTCCGTCTCTCACATGCCTGTTCCCATATTCTCCATCGCCTTCGCTAGCTACTGGTGGGTTCGGCCTGATGGAAGATTATTGACTTTGGAAGAGCTCGAAGGCATATTGCACATCTTCTACCCCGACCAGATCTTCCACGCGCTACACCGTCTTCGACTATTCGACCGATTGGAGAGCTCTGATGCTGAAAACACGACACGGGTACTCAACTTTCTGGACGAGCAGAAGAAACAAGACTTAAAAAGACTGGCCGAAATCTGTTTCCAACACTTTCTCAAGGTGACTCCCGGCGCCCAGAGTAGAGCGCAGAATCTCATTGGATTGTAAGTCGGGATGTGATTTTGTGGAAAGATGTTTGCTGACTTGTCGTTTTGCTGCCTTGCAGTGAAGGGAGGCTGAATGTCTTGTGGTGGACGCGGTCGCTGTACGCTTTTGGGTACAGGAAACGACCGACCATCGACGGTGAAGAGTGTCGGGATGACCAACTTTACCTCATTCACTGGCTCTGTAATGAGTGCACGGACGACGAAGGCGACCTACCGACCGAGTGGGATGTTGTAACAATGGTTGGCCACCATTACAACATCGACATTCGCATTGACCAGAGATTCGAGCCCTACGTAACCCTGGCAGATCCAGCCAACTGGACCTCCAGGATGGTGAGTAATGCATTGAGGGATGACAAACACGCAACACACTTTGGACGCAAGGCTGATCTTCTACATCGGGAGTGTACCAAATTGGGACTTTTGATGAACCCAGCTTTAATACCAGAGGAGGTCGAATGAGTAGTGTGGAAGAAGACAGTGAGACTCGGGGGATGCGAGTGAGACGGATTATTTGATTTGCAAACGCATGCACGGGCCAGCGTTGAGGGTTTTGTTTTTCTGATTTTCGGCAAAGACACTCTTTTCATGTCTCAATTTGGCTTGCGATTTAACTGTTAGCCCCGACTAATATTGCTTGTTGGGTACAGTGTAAAAGTACTTATCATGCGTTGCTGGCATCTCTCGCCAAGACACACTTTTAGAGTAGTAGTTTTCATTTTTACATGCATGCCCCCTCCGCCGAGAACATATTCCCTTCTACCAATTTTAAATAAACTCAATGGTTTACATAATCAAATGATGTAGCTTCGGCCTCCCAAGCCACATCACACTCTCGTCTGATGCAACAAGCTCGGTGGCAATGGAAGCGCAAGACGAAGGCCATGGCTTGCAGCGGGATATTTCGATGACCTCGAACGGGTTGATTAGACGTGGTAGGCGCTCGCCTAGTGCGCAGATAAGCGATCGGCTGCTGCCAAGCGCATTACATTCTCCATACTACAGCCATCAAGCATCATTGCGTGAGCACGTGAGCAAGCACCTGTTTGTTACCCTCTGAGCACATCGCCTGGACTTCCTAGGCCTACGCTCATCACGATGGACTTGGAAGTTCGACTAGCTACGACAGAATCGACTGCTAGCTCGTTGCGAGTAAACGAGGAGATCAATCATAGCAAGGGAGAGGTAGGGGTAGAGACCTGTGAAAGCCCATGCTTGTCGTATTTGGAACCCTCTGAAAGAGAGAAACCAAGAAAGTCGCAGCCCTGGTCATGAATGGCTTAGAGAAGAATGATCCGGAATGCATGCACATGTGTAAACGATCAAAGTCCTTCAGTATTTGTGCTTGAATCTCTTGACTAAAGCATTACTGTATTGCATTCGTGTTTGTCCTGCCAGGATCTTTCAACTACGTATCTAAGGTATGACTTATACCTGTCTGCTACCTGGCGAGGCTAGTATGCGCGTTACACGCTTCTTGTCTCGGCACTCTCATGCAGGATCCGCACCTTGCACGTGCTAATAACACTTTGCCATCAGTCTAATAGTTACACCTTCCGCTCTCCTTTGTCGTTCTGCTATTTCACTGTGAGTGTATGACTCACGTTGTGTTGGTGCATGAGTAACGACCAACGCAACTCATACAGTCAACCCGATCGTCACAGCTGTACCGCTCTGTCGTGTCTTCCAATCAAACCTCCTCCCAAGTGTATGGTTCACACTCCACGGAAGCAACATACCTCTTAAAGTCATACCCTAGACATCGCCTTTCCACCGCTCTTCGTCCTACTACCACCCACCATGTCTCTCGAATCTCCCCCCAACGAGATTCTCCTCCAGGTGCTCAAAGACCTAAACCCACCTGGCGCCTGGGATGATTTGGCGGCATATACCCTTGCAGACGAAACGCTTCACCCCCCGCACTCCTACCAGACGCCCGGTTGGAAACCCTCAAGATGCGTATCGTATACCGAGTCCGATCGTTCCTGCCAGTACTGGGCAGCACTGCGAAAGGCAGACCTGGTTATGCAGGGGATTGTGGCTGGCAGTCATCGTTTGCGTGAAGTATCTTGGGATATATTGGTCATGCGTGCCAAGGGCACATCGCTTCTGTCTTCAACGACTCAGGCTTCGGCTGATTGTCTGACGTGGGAAATGGTTGTGCGGGCGGTGGATGAACGTGAAGAGGTCTACGGCCGCTTTCTGGAGCCTATCTTTGAAGACGAAGAGGAAGAGATGAGGAAGAGAGCACGTGGAGAGCTATGGTAGGTTTTCATCCGAGATTCTAGGGTGACTGGGTGGCTAACGTATGGATGCAAGATGACGCGGAAGGAGACCATGACTTCGATCTCTTATTGAATCACCGGTTCTGATAGCAACATCAGTGCAGCGACTGTTTCATTGCGATTTTTTCTGTTGCCGTCCTCTGGCGATAAGTCAAACGAGCAAAGCTTTTCAATGGGCTACCAGAACGGCAGCAGACCATTTATGGATTGAATAGAGGGGTTTGCGCGGGAGCTGGCAGCGAAACCTTGTTTATGGAGAGCCCGCTTGATTTCGATCCAAACGGAGGCTTTGATGGAGGGAGAGAGCGCCTAATACTTTGCTCAAACGTGTCGGGGGCAAATGCCGTAACAACAGGCAATCTTCCCACATTCCCTTGTTCTATTCAAAAACACAGTGCGTGGTTCTCCAGAGCCTTCAATCTAGATTCAACTGATTCACTGTGCAAAATCCTTTCTTTGTCTTCTCTTATTCTGATACCAACCCTCCACCTCCCGCGCTCCTCCGTGACGTTCTCGCGTACATCTGCATCAGCGTTTGTCTATTAGTGAAGTCCCATCGCGACTACTCGTCGAACAGAGATAAGCAAAGCCTCATTCCATCCTCACCGGGATTTGCAGGATGCACACATTAGGGCGTTGGAGGGATGAGATCAATTACGACAGAGTCAGTTCGAGCTGAGAAGACAAGTGCGAAATTTTCGATGAAGGGCCACTAGATTTGCTCTTCGACTCGGGGAAGCTTCTGTACCCAGGAGACGCCCAATTCATCTATCTCCTTTCTGTCTTGACTGCTATAACTCCCGCAGATTCGACAGGTCGGAGCTGGAGTGGACTGGGTGGTTGCGTTGTTGCAAGTGATCGAATACAACTTTCTCCCCGCAGGTATCCTTCCTCTCACCGGCTCGCAACGGAATCCCAGCCTACACCGTCAACGCAAGGACTTGAAGCGGCAGCTGCTCTCGCGTCTCGAGTACCGCCAACCACCTCACGAGCCACTCATCCTTTCCAACCCCAAAGCGCGAGATGTGACCGTCTCTCACGAGTTTTCCAGGGCGTCGAAGAATCTGCCTGCACCGTATTGCTCGACGTGTGTGATTGTATCCGACATCAAGCCAACTCATTCTTTGGCAACAATATTGCTTGTAATCGCACGCATTCCTGCCTGGAAGACCTGTCTGAATGAAACTCCTGTGGCCAAGGTCTTGCTGGATCCCCAACTGCTACGGTGGTAGTCCCGTTCCAGCCTGCGCATCATGCCCGTATTTTCGACGTAAGCCAGACTGAATTCATTCACTGCACGGAGTATGAGGTCATTTTTCTTTTCTTCGGTGAGGAGTCGAGAGTGGCTTTGTTGCGAAGCTGACTGATAGAGCATGGAACAAGCGGGAAACCGCGGAGACGCTCACGATATCGAAATGAGCGCTTAGCAGCCTATCATGCCAGGCGCCGTCTTCCTGACAATTCGACTCCACGTCAAAGGGTTGGAATGCAGCTGGAGGATACAGATATCTTAAGATCCGTAGGAGAAACTCCTTTGGCAACTTCTCGATCGTGCCACTATCGCCTGGCATTTTGAAGGATCAAGAAAAGGAGCAGCGGACGAGAGTGAGCTTACAGACAAGTTCTGGACTTGCGAAAGCCGAATCTATATTGACGTCCTGGAAGGGGGGGGATGGTCGGGTTGCGGACGAGATTTGAATGCGAATGAGCAATTGTGCGACGGATGTCGAACAACCCGGAGTACTGTGTACTTGGCTGAGACAAGGACGGTATGGCAGACAAAAACGACTAGACAGAAAGTTTTGAAGTACGAATGGTTCATCCTTCCCTTCAGTTGAGCCGGGGGGGTGACAGGTACCCAAGGGGGCTTCCGGGGAATGCCAACAGTTTTAGAATATCAAAAGATTTCGATCTCTTGGCATCTGCGTCGGATCGCCCTCCACCTATCTATAGTAATCACGCAGTTATAACGCCGGTGCGGGTGACAAGTGACGATGTCAAGCGTTTCAGGATTTATGAATACGCCAAACAGAAACTGCGCAAGAAGCGTCAAAGTTCATCCAGATTCAATTTACATTGCAACAGGTTGGGGGGGGGAACCCGACGCAGATGCCATTTTATCGACATTTTTTTGAACACGCTAAGTATGTATAAAGCTTCCTACTCAGTCTGACTGTCTCGTATCATTATCACCTTACTTCAAAACGTACCATGCCATTACTTCCACCACTATTACTTTGTACCATTGCGTAGAGACCTCGAAAATATCAAAACGGTACCAAACATAGGGCAACAAATTGTCATTGGTCCCTTGCACGGCTAACTGTGTACAAAGAATCTGAGGCACTGTGAGGAACAATCAGTAGCTGCCGCACAAGGTGTCCGTGTGAAAGGATACTCACCTCTGCTGGCCCCAGGAGGAGACCATAACACTGGTTCGCGACCAAAGTATTACCATTCGAATTCGGGCTCGTCGTTTCGTGGAACAACGTGCACTGCTCTGGGTCGCCGTTGACAGTGCCCATACCCCTTGTGGGTCCGCTGAAGTCGAGCTGTTCCTGGAGGGTGGTAGCTCGGCTGAGGGAGTAGGATAAGATTTGCATGGAGTTGTTGTCGAAGTTGGTTGTTTGTACGTTGTAAAGCAGCGGTGTAGTGAAGTTGATGCCGGTCCCATTTTGGTTGCAGTTCAAGCCGTCCGAGACGGTGATGATCATGTTGGAAGCTTTGTTTGATGCTGAGGTATTCTGGGCGAGAGTGCCGGCACTCAATGCCAAAAGGATGGAACTCACAAGAGTGAGGGAATGCATGACGGGCTTGAGTTGTACGGCAGATGTAGAACTTGAAATTAATAGATTGGATGGAGAGATGGTTGTGTCTGTCGAGACTGAGAAGGTTTTATCATGGTTTATGTAGACAGCTTCCCCGTCACTCTTCGGACAAAAATAGGAAGACAACCTACCTGAGACTAGGCCTCGTCCACAATCGAACTCTTTCAAGGAGTCATGTTCGTCAACCATGGCCCTCAACGCGAGTGTTTGTTGTTCCATTGACGATAGAGAGGGTCGGTCAACTTCTTGAAATAGCTAATAAAGCATCTTTCTTCGGACAATATTAAGACGTGACAATATTAAGAGGGACAAACTTAGTTTCTTGCTCCTTTATCTTGGTGTAAGCAGTTTAGCCGCCACAAGCGCGCGCCGAACATCGAAGTGGCACGACTAGGTTACATATTTCTCCATCCTCAACAATCGTGGTTACAAGTGAAAAATGCTGTTTGATGCGCTTTTCAATGAAGCCCGTCTGAAAATAGTCAAAGCCATCTACCCTTCTGGGACATTCCCAAGCTTAAGCTCGGAAGCCCCAAGCTACTAGATAAGGTAGCCGGCTGGGATAATCAAGTACTGAAAGCTGACGTAGATCTAATGAAGCTCTTTAACATGGGAACCCATTCAAAGCTTAAAGCGACGCGGTTTATGCAAAGCATGCACGGCTGAGGCTTTGGAGCGACACGAATATTTGGAGACATTGGACTGACTATATATTCGATGGCCCTTCAAGATAGGGCGAGGTGTTCTGGAGTCCTACACAGGAAAGGTCAGACTGGTACGAAGTTTCCAACTGGGTATTTTCCAGCGAGTCTTTGGACGTTTGTGGGGCGCGACCTCGAGTACCAGCGAGAAATGCATGAGGGCATCATGCAATACGGTATCTGTATGCATTGATTGCACTTCACCTGCGTTACCAATTTAATAGTGGGCTGTCCATTAGCTAAATTTCTGAGCTGTCCCAGAAAGGTATCTGAAAGACGACGAGAAACATGATCATGGAAGCATGCAGCAGGGCATCTTTAGAGTACGCATCAAACCCGATGCGCCTGTTTTGAATCAGTCTACAGTGGGTTATCTCTCAGCGAATCCACAGGCCTTTCTAGATACGATGTCGACAATTGGCAAGAGCCGTTATCTACGAAGCACGCAACGCTGCACTTTTATGGACAAAATCTGCTCCACATGATAATCCAGGAGCCTGTTGGCTTATTTATCTGCAAAGATGCAAGAAGCACGTACGGGAGTAGGAACATGATTTTCACAGGTCCAGGATCTGCGTTGAATAAGAGATCACGTTTCTTCCAGTAAATCCTGTTTAAAACATGACACTATTACAACCATTCGCTCTGCGACCAGCTCACAACCCCATCTCCACCACGCAAACAAACACCGCTAGCAGTTAAACATCCACTCTATCCTCTCTCTCCCAATGTTTTTCCTCATCAACCGAGAAGCAAATCCTACAATCTCGCCAAGCATCATCCATCCACAAACCCTATCAAACGATAGGCTGCGGACCTTCCACTCCAGCAACCATGAACACACCTGATCCACCAAATGCCTCAACGGCGGCGGCCCGGTTTGAACCTACTGCCCACCGACTTCCTCAACCGACGGGTCGCGGACCTGGCAAATAGGTTGTCTCTCGAAGTAGCAGATCGCAACAGGCTCCAAAGACTGACCCGAGATCTTGCAGCCCAGCAGCCGACATATGTGCCGAAACTACACCAAATTCCGATCGGCATTTGGAACGAGGTTGAAGACGAACAATATACGAAGCAGCCTGACGAGCCCATGGCGGAGTTTGACGCGGAAGTGCCTATCCGCAGTGGGAAAGATAGCGAGGCGGCATTGATGGTTTTGACGAAGAGACGAGCGGAGATCAGGGATGCACGCAGCGTCTCCAGCCTGCGATTGCTCTTTACAGTTTACGAGCTGGCGTTTAGGAATGGAGGAATTGAGGAGAGCAACGTGGGGAAGAAGACGAGAAAATGGGAACGGTTCCCCATGCTGAAATGAGGTCGCGCGGTACTATCACAAGCCCGGATTGAATCAGGGTATCAAAGAATGGTGAAGGCGACTTGATTCCATCCCCGTCAACGCACCCATCCCTCGCATCTCAGGAATACCGTATGGACACGCACAATCTCAACCCTGCCTCCACATCCCCAGCTTTCCATCATCCCTCCGCCACAGCTTCGCTCGGCACACCCTCGCGATCCAACCCACTCCCATAAGCCCCCGCACCCCGCAACCCAAACCCATACGTATCCGTTCCCTCAACCCCTACCTACGTACGCTGCCAAGCATGCTCCAACAAACCTTCCTAACCCATCCGAACCCCTCATTGCCGCAAGATCGCAAAGTCCTCTACCAGCAAACCCAAAGATATACATCATAATAACCATTCCGACCACCTCCTCTCGCACGCTCTGCATCCGATAGCGCAGCCAGCCAGGTATTCATCACGGCCGTCTAAACCGGTCTGTCGGGAGGGAGTTCAAAGGACGATGGATCCGTTGGGCGGATAGGTGCAGGAGCGGGAAGAATGATCTCTGCCGATTGCGATGTTCGCGTCTGTTAATTGATGGATGGATGTTTGGTCTGTCTGGATGGTGAAGAGGGCGGATGTGATTGGTTTTCTTCTGCACTACTTGCTGAATGAATGAATGAATGAATGAGACGGGAGAGTGGGGGAGGGAGGGAGAGAGGATTGGAGTTGGGAAAGTCGTTGTTGTAAAAAGTCCGCAGGGATCTATGACTGCAAGTTCATGGCGGCTGTTGTCTCAAGAGAGATCGTGGTGGTATCTTGGAGTATGGAAACGGAAAGGATTGCATGTGAGGTTGTTATCCAACTGCACAACACGAGAACGCCGTTTGCCATGGCATCGCATTGCATTTATCATCGCTCTAGAGTTTCAATTCCTCCGTTTACATCAGATGTTCGATCTCGTTCATGTAAAGCTTGACGTGCGAGTCCATCTTCAGATACTGGTCGTGAGCCGAGTGGATCTCGTCCTCGATGTTCTCTTTCAGGTCGGCCATCTGACGTTATCTGATTAGTGGATGCGCTCAAGACTGTCTGGACCCTCAACATACCTTCTTCTCCGTCTGCTCAATCCTAACCCTCCTCTTCTCCATCTCCCGTCCCTTATCCACCCTCTCCTCCGTAAGTCGGCGGTGTACGCTCCTCAGCTCCTCCATCTTCTCCTTCGCCGACTGCGCCTTCTCCCGGCTCCCGTTCCTCACCGTCTCCGTTCGCTCCAGCCATCTCTTCAAGTGCCGTTGCAGCACCGCTTCCGTTCGCTCGACTTCTCGCACGTTGTTGCCACGTTCCGAGAGGGCGTCCCGTCGTTTGGCGGCTTTGAGGTTTTCTTCGTCTTCTTTGTGCAGCTCGTTTGAGATTTCTTCCAGGATCTTGGTGCAAGAGACGACGTCGTTCGTCACTACGCCGAATGTGTCGGTGCTGGTCTGGAGGGCTCTTGTTCGCTTCTCTAGCGAGTCGATCTGTGATCTGTCCCGTCCCAGGTTCTCGGACAGCTCCGTCAGATTCGCCTGTAAAGCAGCCGGCGACTGTAAAACGTATGGTCGTAGCTTCTCAGACTCTTGCCTCACGCCGAGACATCTCTCCGTCTTCTCTTCCAGCACGCCCGTCAGCCTGCCCTTCTCGCCTCGTACTCTCTCCAACCGCTCCGCCACTCGCTCTTGGCCCTTCTTGAGCTCTAACAGCCGCTGCTTCAGCTCGTCGTTGCGCTTCGTTTTCTCCTTGACCTGTTGATCCATTGACTTGCGCTCCCGCCTCATCTCGTCAAGCCGTGACTCCATGTCTTGATTCTCAAGATAGAGCGTCTCAATGCGGGATTTGGTTCTTTCGGCCTTGTTGAAGTGCTCGTCGATAGTAGCGGTCTGCGACTCTCGGAAACGGACGAAGTTGATGACGTAGGAGAAGATCTTGACGAGGCGGTCGTGCGTAGGTTTGAGCAGGTCATTGAAGGAAAAATCTGCAATGCCGCACTGCAGACCCGTTAGCCCACTACACATACAGCACCCAGTGTGCAGTCCTACCTCGACCAGCAACTTCCGTAGCGACACGTAAAAGCCCATCAAATTCCTCGTATCCGGCGGCACGATCTCCATATGTTCCCCGCAAATCTCCTCCGCAGCAGCACGCATGGCCGGCTCCACCGTCTCCCGCGTTGTATTCATGAGCAATTCCGCAAACCATTCGAAGATCTTCTGTATCTGCTGCGGGTTGGGTTTCTGCAGGTCCTCCAGTGCGAATTGGACGCCGATGTCGCTGATGCATCCGACGATTTCTCGGTCGGGCTGGTATCGCGCCGTTAGCGACTGCAGTGCGGGATTATGGAGGCATTGCGACATACCAGGCGCATCATGACGTCGGGGTCAATTTGTTGTTGTTTCCCTCGGCCGCCAGTGGGCTGGCTTTGGGAGCGGAATTGCTGGCTCATGCGGGTGCTGTTGTAGTCCATTCGGGCTGCGTAAAGGCTTTGCCACAGGAGCTTGTGAGGAAAGAGCAAAGCTCGAAAATGAGGTGGGTGTGTTTGGTGTTCTGCGTTTGCGCAAAATGTAAACAAAGGCCTTGGGCCCTCGGAAGTAGGAAGTGGCAGGGGTCTCTAGCGCCAAAGCTTAAAGCTCACGTACATTTGTCATATCAATGTACCGAATTTACAATTTACAAAACCATATGGCCGTCTGTTGTATTAGTATTGCCTGTATATCCGATTCTATAATTTACCCACGAATTGATTCTAATGATGAAATCAAGAAAATTGAAATACAGAATGTCCACATTGCAGCCTCGCTCCAAAAAAAAGAAGAAAAAAAAGGCAGCTTTCTCGACCAACGAACAACAACTCAAGCAAAGTCTTTGAAAGAAAGACCTACCGCTCAATAGACATCTGTACACCAAACAAGCCGCAACCGTTCATCCCCGTCTCAAACACCCGTCCACCATAGCTAGATCTCCTCTATTCCTCGGACCATGTCCCATTCCTCAACTCTCATCCTCCTCTTGTAGAACTCGACGTCGCATATCCTATCGATAAATCTGATTGCTTGTCCTCAGGCCAAATGCCACGCTCCGTATGTCACATTGAACCGATCGATCTGCGGCAGCGATCGGGGGGAGTCGAAGCCGTTTGGGAGGGAATAGAAAAGGTCGTTGAGACAGGCTGATGTGTTCGGGCTGCACCTTTGAAGTACTGAGCCATGTTCTAGTCCGGAACATGATATTTATGTATCACAAGATGCCCTTTAACTCATCTATGTATACAGCGTTCTATTACCTACCTAGTTCAATCCATCGCATTTGACATTCGCAAACTCACAAGGGATGCTCGCTTGCTTGCTCGGTGGCGAAAAACGAAGAAGGAATGAAAGGTCGATGACGAGACCTCACTCAACTCGGCTACGCGTTCCCGCGCACCGATCGATCCCTCCAAAAAAAAAAAACTCGATCGACGAACAAAATAACAAGCAAAGAAAGCGAAGAAAGGAAAAAAAGGTTCAGTGAGGTCTTGCCCAGATTCGAACTGGGGTTGCCGGAATATTGGCCACATCAAAATCCGGAGTGATAACCACTACACTACAAAACCTAGTTTTTCAGAAGCTTTGACAAAAGAATTCATTCCTAAGTCTTTATATATCCTTGCCATTCCATCTCGGCTGCATCTTCTCGTCTCGAACACCTCGAGCCATCCACAACTTCCACATTCATCCGTACATTTCGCGCTCGATTTGCGGGAAAAAAAATACTTGATATTACGCTACCGTCAAATCATCATACGCACTCTCCTCCGTGACCCTTCCCCAACTCCTGCCATCCCTCCGGTTTCCTAACCTGCCCGTACTGCGTCCAAGCGCTCATGTTCCAGAGCTCCGCGATCTCGAAATCCGTCAGCCCCGCCCTTTTCATCCCCAGGATACGACCCCGCAGCCACTCCTGCCGTCTCTCCAGCGCCGCCCGCCTCGCCGATGAATCATCGCGCGACAAGCTACCGACGCTTGGCGCGCTGTCCGGAGCCGACGTCGGTTTCCGCTGCGGCCAAAAGGACCACCCGATCCCGCTGAATGACAAGATTTCCTTCGGAGTAGCGGGTTTCTCCGGCCAGGACGGAGCGCTCTCACACGCATTGTCGCGCTTTGTGGCGGGCTTGGCCTCGACGATTGTGACGTCGGGGACAACGATCCGGAAAGCATCGTCGTGCAACGCGCATGCGCAATGAAGGGCATTGAGCGCTATGTTGTGATGTTTTTGATCCCGTCGCTGCCCCGCTCCTACGCCGTGGGTGATGAGGGAGTGCAAGCGTTGCGGGTCCGCGAAGCTGAGATCGAAGACCTTGAAGGATATTTGTGTGCATGCCCCATCAGAAGTGGCTGGACCCCAAGCAAAGCACTTCTGGTACTGCACGTTTCGTGGGTAGGTCTCCTGATTCTCAGTCGTATGAGGGAATTGGAGGCCGCCCAGTGCTGTCTCTTGTGGAAATGCACGGCGGTAGAGAGGACTAGATGGATGGGTGCCACCCATGTGCTGGTCGAGGGACGTGACGCGCTTCCCTTGGACAAGGCGGCAAGGTCGTAGGATTGCACCTTCACCGAATTCTCCAGAGGTTGCAGAGACGTTTACCGAGATCTTTTGGTTATATGATCTACAGGGTTCATAGTAAATCGCTTCTGGGATATCGTAAATGTAGAGTTCGGATATTGGTTCCTCCAAATCTGTGGTCTGCCAAATAATGGCGGCTCGAATACCCCCATCTTTAACAGTGGTTGGTGCGACTGCAACATTTTTATAGACCGAATTTGGTCGAGGGCGGGACAGAAGCGCTGTGCCCGTGAAGTAGTGATTGCCTCTTTCAGAACCATTTGACAGAGATTTTGACTGCGAATAGCTGGCGTATTGAGACGGCCTTTCGGAGGGGTCGACTTCCATTATAACATGTATATTGCCGGTTTTCGTCTGCTCAGCCAGGAAGCGAGGCTCTGTGTGTTTGCGGAGGCCTTTTGAGAAACAAACATGGCGAAGCTGCACCATATTAGCATCGTAGTGCCAGAGTTCTAACGAAAAGTGGGTGATACACATACTCCTCCGTTCGGCGGAAAAGGTGCTAAAACATTCCAAGACTGGTCGCCACTCGGGAGGGACTCAGGAGGTCCATCGACTCCTTGGATTGTGAATCTGTCATGTGATATGCCAGGTATTTTCTCCCAAGGTTTCAACATTGTCAATGAGAACCGGGAATCAGACTTCGAAAAGGCTTTGCGAGCAGTCAACGAGTAAAGCCCAGCAGTATCGCCGATCTCTATCTTTAGTACCCATTCCGCGTGCCGTCTGATTTCGGCTACACCCATGATACGCAGTGCGCCCTGGCCTCCAACATTATGAATGGAGCCAGCATACCATGGAAGGTCAGCCGAATCGAAGCGGTAGATAACCAATGTGTTTTTCAAGCGATTCCCTGTACTTTGGGCCGAGTCTTGTAGCTGGAAGGCCAGAAATCCATTTTGAGTACCCGTCCTCGCGGCAGCAACAAAAGCAGGCCTCGTCAGTGTCGAAGATGGCGACGGTATTGAAAACTCCAAGTTTCGTGTTCGGAACCGGGTACGCCAGGCGTCCGGGTGCTGGGAAGTCGCCGGTAGGTCGCTGTCACAGTCCAGATTCTTCAGAAGATCTCGATGGCTAATTTTACCCCCTGATGATGCATCCAACGGTGGCCTTTTCTCTTCGACGCCGAGAACTGAGGCTAATACCCAAGTATTGGACAAAATCCTCGTCCGCCAACCCTTGCAAGTGTGCCTAGCAGCATCGAGCGCTGCCGGTGACAGGTATGATAGTATCAGGTCTGACACCTCCGAAGGCAATTTGAATAGGAGACCATTAGTGCCACGCGAAAGGGTATCTCCATGACCCTCTGCATGGTAGCAATGGGCATCGCTTGCGCTGTCAGTCTCAGCAGAGTCCCAATTCATTGAGGCGTTGTTCACTCGAGATCGGGCATTGTGCCCGAAGCGGTTACCATGACAGGGGTACCCGTCTAGGCAATTACTATCATTAGCGAGCCGGCCAAGTGTTGGGGCTTCCGTGTTCAATTCACACGTCTCTGAGATGTAATCCTCAACCGAGGCTGGAAAGGAAGGGTGAAAAGCATCAACTAAAGGAGAGAAATCTGAGCCACTCCGTCCTGCACGGTCAAATAATCTCGCCCTGCTCTGCGCCACGGGTTTGTGGAATCCCCGAACCGACATCACCGCAAATATATCTGGGGAGGAAAGAAGATAAAGTCACTTAACGAAGTCACTAAATGTTGTGAGAGTTTTCCTTTAGCGACTACGCGATCGGGTATAAGAGCACCTTAGGCTGCAGCCATTGAAGCTGAATAAGCACGAAGGAGCAATGGGCTTCTTCATACGTGTCTTGATGCCAATTCATCACATGATTCGTTTCGTGTTCTCGAGATTGGAGGAAAGCAATTCAATAGGTATGACAGAGCTTTGAACTTTCTGGCTCAGCCTTAAAGACTGACTGCAGGTGGCCGAATAAGGATTAGGTTGGTAGCCAATAATGAATGGGTTGGGGTTAAGATTTAAAGTAAAGTAGAGTTAAGATGAATCCAAGGGCAGGGCAGGGTCGCAAGCGAAGGCTCAAGAGTCAAAACGAAGACGCAGGGATGCCAAGCTGCCAAGCTGCCAAGCTGCCAAGCTGCCAAGCTACCAAGCCTGTCATCACCTTAAAAAAAGAAAGTTTGGATCTAAATTGACGGACCATGTTTGAGATACGGAGAACCATCATACCGGACAAACCCCCATTTTTAACTTGGATTGATTACTGATTATTGAAGTAAAGTAATGTAGTGTAGTGATGAAGCACAATTCATCATCTCTATCAAGACATCGTCGATCACGAACTGTATGCAGTAACAATCAACTGTGATAGCGCTAGGTATGTCCGTAAGTGCATGTCGCTTCGAATCACTATGGATGATTGTGGTTGTGTATACGAGCAATGGTGATATGCAGAACGCTCTCACGTTTTTCCATGTGACTTGTGGATTATTTCGGCAAAACGTGCTGAATTAAAATAAAGCTTCACTTCACTCGTGCTACTCTCCCGGGCCCCTACTCTCCAGACCGATACGGGCATCGGGAGCCCGCCAGGAATATAGTCATGTAATGCCGAGAGACTAACAAGCCATCCCGCGCGCTGGGAATTTCCGACGCATTGTGACGACAGGTCACAGATGGATGGCAGTCGTTGGCAGGAGGAATCATTGTTGGGGGAAATGCGATTTGCCAACATGCAAGTCGATGAAAGAGGATGGGGACCGAGGGGAAGGTTGCATCGGCTTGGCAGAGATTTTGGGATGTGCGACTGTGGATGAATTGGAAGTCATCTCATCGAGTGGTGTGATGCTCAGTAGTAGCCAATATAAATGAGGAGATTAATGGCTCCGCGGTAGATCAACATCCAACTTTTGATTTGAAGACAAGGGTGGAGCAATCTCCATTATCACACTTTATTCTCCACAAAAACCTTCAACCAGCGCAGATAAAAAAGATAAAAAGGAGGGCACTAAACAAATTCGGCCTTGGCGTCACGGAATTATGCCCGCTCTTCCCAACATTTGGGCCACTGGCTTCCCAAGTTCCCAAGCGTTAGCTAACCTTCTTATACCTTGTTATACCTTGCAGATGCTTGCAGAATGCAGAATGCTTGTTAGTTCCTTACCTCTGACTTAATTCTTAGCGCGAACCAGCCCGAGGGCTTGGTTTAGCGCTGTCCAGCAAAAAAGTACCGTAGTCGTCTCAATATCCCCACCCACTACTGGTACTCTTTCATTACTACTGAACTTCGAGCATCAGGAGCATCAGGAGCATCAGCATACTAAAACCCCTCCTTCTGGATTCCTTCGGAACAAACACGCCTGGAAACCAACGTACCTGATACTCTTCATGATAGAACCTCATTCGTCTTCGCAGATCCATCCATCGAGTGGGGGAAGTTGTTACTCCTTCATCATAGATGGGATTCACCACCCGTGAAGCCTCCCATTTGACTATCACTATCATTTGGCACTTCAATTGAGCATTGGACCAGCATAGAACCTCACGGTTCAACAGCCCTCGACAAGAATGACTTCGACGGGCCAAGGTGGTTCGGGAGGACCTGAGGACAAGCAGCCCAGAGGCTTGGCCAAGTTCATGAGAAGAGCAAGCCTAGTCTTGAGGAGGGACAAATCTAAAAGGCAGTCCATGTCCAGTCCCTCGGAACTTGCGCCTGTGAGCGACCCGGTCATCCCAGTGGAGTCGAGCTCGACTCCAACAAGAAGGTAAGCAAGTTTCGACACCTGGTCCCAGCCTCGGTTTCAGAACCTGGTCTAACTCAAATACAGCCCTCCTGTCACAGCACCAGCAGTGACCAAGGCCGACACCACGCCGACTCTATCCGTCCCTGCTGGCATCTCCCAAATCATCAAGGAAAACAGACCCATTCTCGCTGCCAGCAAAACAAGAGGCGCCATGACGGCCAAAGAGAACCACATTATCCAAGAAGAGAAAGCTCGCGCTCTTTTCGCCAAGTATGGCTTGACATTAGAGCCTGGAGAGTGGACTGTGCCGGCCACAGTGGGGTTGCCTAGAGTGGAGAAGCAGGTCCGCATGAGGATCCATCGCACCTGCCATCGGTGCCAGACTACATTCGGCGCGGACAGGGTCTGCAGCAATTGTCAGCACACCCGTTGCAAGAAATGCCCTCGCTTCCCGGGCTCCAAGTCTCAGGTACCAAAGGGCAAAGGACTCGCCGCCGACGACGGGCTAGAGAAGAAGACTGGTGCTCTCACCATGGTACACCGCGCAAGTGGGAAAGAGATGACCAGGAGAGCACCGACGCAGCGTGTGCGCAGGACGTGCCATCAATGCGAGACACTCTTCCAGGGCAAGGCTACTCAATGCGAGAATTGCAAGCATTTGCGCTGCCCCACATGCCCACGCGACCCGTACGTCAACACATTCCAAGCATCCGAACTTCATCGCTGACTCCTCCCAGACCTAAATCCGACAAATATCTCGAGGGTTATCCAGGCGACACCGAAGAGACCTTTCCCTTGGCCAAAAGAGAAATGAGGAGCATACGGACCCACGTGAGATGGAATTGCGAGAAGTGCGAAACGCTGTTCCAGGATACGGAGAAGACTTGCGGTCATTGCGGGCATGAAAAGTGTAATGAGTGCCCCCGTCAGCCTCCGAAGACAGTCAAACGAACACTAGACGACGAGGCTGTGAAGAGTGTGGAAGAGCGGATGAAAACTTTGGATGTGTCTCCCCAGGCATCAGCTGCCTGACACGCGAGCGATAGATGAGATTTTCTTTACGACTACGGTGATATAATGTGTGCTGCTTGCCTACCTCTAATGCTTAACGATACGGATGTGAGCGATTTTGCTTATGATAGCGGCCTATGTTTTCAGTTGTAGCGTTTACCCTGAACGCTTTCATTCTCCACTCCAGCTCCAACTCGATCTGACTTCCTTCACCACTGATTGAAAAACATGTCATACCCACATAACCATACGATGGCATCGACCAACCGACCACCATGAGACTGCTGCCTTCATTTCACGTGATGATTTTCCGTCCTTGCTTCTCCTCACTTTCTCCATGTCGGTCGCCCCGGAATACCACCAACGGATCTCGCGTCGCTGTGCCAGGATGCCCCTGCCCAGCCTCGCTCGACAGCCTCTCAAGTCGGGACGGTCCCCAAAAACACACTTTCCCCATCCCCAGTAAGTTTGACTTTTGGCACGACGGCGGGTCGTAAGAGGCTCAAGCCATGGGGGCGGCAAAGCCGTCACCTGTGGACCCTGGACCCGCCGCCCAACTCCAACTCCAACTCCACTCGCTTTTTCAAAGTTTCATAGGTAGATGACCTCGACGACTGGCCCGCCACCGTTTTTTCATTGGATCCGCCCGGGGACGAAGGTTCGAGCTTGCACAGATTGGCTTTTTAACCCATCTTGGGTGCTTGCTTGGGTTGGGTTGGGAATCGAGAACGATCGGGATCCGTGTCATCATGTATTCATAAAACCTCCCCCGAACCACGATTTGACACATCTGGTCGACCACTGGTGCATCAATCCGGGTCCATGGCTCTGGACGGGATACGAATACCCCCTTACGGCTCGGGGTGGGAAATTTTAGACGCCAAGGACGCTTGGCCTGATCGGGAGGCATCTTCTTACTTTACTTTACCTTACTTACCCGTAAAAAAAGGTTGGATATTTGTCATGCTAAACGTCATTTGATGAAAGTCTGGCAGAGGGTCATTTGGGTGCCGGAATTTTAAAAGTTTGTAGTAGATCTGTATTGTCGACACGTTTGAAACAGATGGCGACGACGCGATAATCACCTGTCAAGACGCCGCTACTGCAGTGTGTGCATGAGATTTTTTTTGATCGGGCTGTCAAAGAAGGGGATGGGGGGGGGGAGTGGAGTGGAGAGTGATGATGTAAGGAAGGTAGGGTGCTTACCACCGGAATAGGGTCGCAATCTGCTAAGCAGTAACCGGTAAGGTAAGGTGAGTATCGATTTCGGAGCCCTAGGGTAAGGATGAGGCGGCTCGGTAGCCGGGCCGATGGAGAACGAACGAACGGCACGCTGGGGACAGTTGCTGAAGCATCTTCGATCGATACCACGCACTTTGGCCTTGAAGCGAGGCTGGCGAGATGGTGAGGACATCTTCTGGCTAGGTAAGTAGGTATACATCTACTCCGGGCCCCCTTTTGGAGGAATCTCGACTCCACCGCGTGGCAGGCATCGCGCCTAGAACCCGAATTCCCCCCCCCCCGGCCCTATGTCAAGCCTCGAATCACTCAAGCCACTTCGTCACAAAGAAAAAGAAAAAGAAAGAAAAAAGGGTCGGGCCAAAGGGGACGCCGATGGGCAACTCGCGAGACGCGGAATTGTGTAAAACGTCCCCTCCCCCCCCTTTCCCCCCTCTTCCCATCGGTGATCCCTTTCGCCGGGTCCTTCGGGGATCCACAAGCACGCATCCGTCTCCCGCGCTGTTGGGGAAAGAAGACGAAAAAAATCAAAATTTAAAAGAAAATTTAAAAAATGGGGGCGTTCGTCCGGCATGACACACACGGGTGCGCTGGCCACGCAGCTCCCTCGCACGAGGGCGTCCTAGGCCCGATGGGGAAATTCATCGACGATGCACGTCGCGATCACATGTGACAGCTGCAGCTAGGCGGTGGGGGAAAATCTTGGGGAGGCGGAGTTAGGGCCCCTTGGCGGTTCCAAACCTCGCCCCCCCCCCTCATGTCACATCGTCGCGGCGGTGGGGCAATCGTTGGGGATGGATGGCGAGTGGAGAGAGAGAGAGTTCTTTCCGACGGAAACGAGGCGGTCCGAACGATCGGGTTTGAGATTTCTGCGGATGGAGGGAGCTACGTGGTACCGCGATGGGAATTTGATTCGGAGCCGTGTGGGAAAACCGCGTTGCTGTGTTTTGGGAATGCGTCAATCGCACGGCTCGATGATCGGCGCGACTGTCGGATGGCAATCGAAAAGGGTCCTTGGGGCTTTTTCGAACAGTCATCGTGATCGTGGCAGCGAGCGCTTCTTATCACGTAGTCAACGGGACACTCTTTTTGGTAGTCTACGCCCTTTTCTACGTGGCATGGCTCATAGCGTCTTCCCAACATCCTTTTCACGACCAATCGACCAAGCGATCACACCCTGCGCCTGATCTCCATACGCAAAATCGAGATCGGAACCCCGCTGTCAGACATCCCTACTTTGGAAAGATAGTCCACCTAGGTGCTCGATATCGATCCCGCACCCGTATCGAGTGCGGAGGAATCAACGAACGAGCGGAATGAAGCCGAAGCCAGCTTTCGTCCCTCCCTTGTTCTCAGGCAGACGTAGACTAGCTACTGCACCTCAGCCTCCTCGTTCCCCGCCCGTCTCGGAGACCCATGGTTACCCCCCATCCGAGACACGTAGCCCGGGCTCCTTCGACGCTAGCGCGAGGGTGGAAAATCCAGTGAGGGGTGCAGAATAAGGCACTATACAAAAAACCAACGGTATTGAACCGTCCTGGAGGCCAAGATCCCACTACCTATCTCTGATATTGGAAATTGATTCTCGAATGTTAATACGTAATGAATGATAGCTCTATCGGAGCTGAAAGGTAGTCGACAGGTGTGTGTGTGTGCGATCTCTCTCAGCGCCAAGGATCCCAACGGTTTGTGCACACGCTAACTGTGTTTAGCGCCGTCTGGGGCTTTTCCAGTGCTACCCTCCGTGACGGAGGCACTTATGAATGCAGGATCCGGCGTTGGAGGACGCTACTTGTGGGAAGTGGGTGCGATACGATGGCTATATCTCGCTGGAAAAGCCTATTCTATGCCCACCCAGTCGACTTTGGATTCCCTGAAAGCACCAACTTTCCGCACCGATTACGTGGTTTGGCGGTACTATTAGCCTACCATGAGGGGCTTGACGTCTCTGGCCGTTGTGAAGGAGCAACGTACCACGCCGTCTTCCGAAATGACTGCTCCCCATTGGACGGGTAGCAAGTGGGCCTCGGTATCGCCCGGAGGACGGTGAGAAGCGACGCTAATCACACCACTGTGGGTAGACGTTATCGGGACTGCTTCTTTCCCGCCGGGATACCGTCTCAAAAGGTCTAGGGCGACAAGAGCGATGATCACAGTCACGGCGAGAGAGAGAGCCATGATGATGCCTATAGGCGAGAAGCCCACACGGGAACTGTCCTCGGCCGGGTTTCGGCTCCCATCGTTGTTGTACAGTGGTCGTGCGTACCAGGAATATGCTCTGCGATATGAGCCAATGGAGAAGGCCGGAGCAGATGGTGCAAGGCAGGCCGTATCTGTAGGGCAGAGAGAGGAAGAAGGTCGATCGCTGGATGCCTCGAGGTTCTGATACTCGCAACGGCTTGCGTTCCAGCCCATGGCGGCTGATTTCCGCTGCGGCTACCATGCATGTAAGTAAGCCGTTGTATAAATAGTATAAGAAGCTGAGGACGAGTTGGAAGCCATTGGCCAGTAACACCGCATTGAAGAAGCTCCAATTGGAAGTATGCCCAATTAGTGAATGATCGGTTGCGTGAGTACGCAGCTGAGATGTAGATACAACCTAGCGAACGGTATCAGTCGGTAGTTTTCAGAACGGCTGCCTAGGGTGCATGCAGACTTCTACCTATGCTCTACCATGAAACTACTGATATACGCGTCAAATCCGACTATTTGGACTGTTTACACAATTACATTGAGAATGCTTCCCCACCTGAGTAGATAAATAAGCAAGCATTATCTTCACCACATCTCAAGAAGAACCCCCCTTCTTCGGTGTAGGCGATTTTGATTGACAAGGCTGTACATACTGTATTTCTGGTCATGACTGCCGCATGGGAACGCGGAGTCCCATCCTGCCGTGGTCGAAAGGGACGGAAAGAGGACTCACGCTTCTCACGACCAATGATTGGTCTCCAAACGCATCCACACTGGTCTCATGTCCCGACAATCCCCAATCAAGTATCTTGTCAGACAAGCCAGATTTCCCTTTGTTTTCCACATGCCCTTGTCATGATCAAAACAAAAACGAAAACGAGGCTGAAGGAACGTTCGATATGGTCAGGCTACCGTGGTCCCTTTCAGCCTGATTGAGTGCATTCGCTTGCCGAAAGCCAGGCAATTTCATCGCATCGGTAGATCATTGACGGTGACCACTACTTGACCGAATACTTGATACAATGTCTTCCTACAAGGCTGGCAAGCTAAAGCTCAAGCCTTTCGCAAACGATCAACCTGGCATGTTGCCATCTCCACCACAGGTGAAGCTAATGCGGACTGCATACTCATCATCCCACTGATTACATGCACCCCTTCGCCTCAGCCCTCCTGAGGAATGTCCTGCCTGCGAGGGTTAGCGAATCAGCTTCCATCGCAGAACCCCCTCTGATAACACATTTGCGGCGGGACACCAAGAATCAGCCAAACATGACACAAAGTCTCCAATACTGAACGGTATCTCGTGTCGGGGACATAGCGCCATTGATGACACGTCATGTGGCAAGCCACCAAGAGGCAGGCATCCTCTGATCGATTCCCAATGCAGAGCGAGGACATGTTTCAAGGCGATCCGCCCGCAAACCTCAGCCTCTTTGAGGTTGGTCGGACACATAATTCGTATGCTCCAGAATATGTAAGTCCAAACGCCCGGCTGGTCTTGGTCAAAGGCCCACCGACAATGCAGCTTCCGGGCAGTCTAACGTATTTTTTGCGCAATCTCGGACTTGAGATTCTTGCTTTCGACTCGAAATCAGAGCCAACGAAAGTGGTAGTCAAAAAATCTCTCTGGGTGGCATTCAGCCGCTGTCTAATCCACATCTTGCCTGTTACAGTGTCTTTGGTCCTGCTCCGACTCAACCTCGGGGGCTTCTACATCGGACATGGGTTCGCACAACAATCCAGCAGCGACCTAACGGACCAAGGAAATGACGTGAAACTTGCGTTGATACAGGTTGCAGCAAAGGTTCAGGTAAACACGCGTTGCAGGACCAGGAGAAGAAGAAAAGGGCTGATGGAGATAGGAGCTTCTCGTAATCTCAAGCTACGGTGTCATTATTTTCTCAGTCACCAGAGATAGATTGTTGCGTGAAGGCATCCCTTTAGGGCTTGCGACATCGGGATTTTCTTTCGCTCGTGTAGGCTACTTCTGGTCACCAGCGCTGTGGGGCGCTATCTCGGCCCTCGTCACTTCCCGCAGGATTCAAGACGTATGCCTTCTAAGCCTGGTTACTTTGGGAGGCCTTATAGCGGTAGCAGCAGGGCCTGCAAGCGCCATCCTAATGTTGCCTCGACCAACGGTATGGACCTTATCTCCAAAGTGTATTCCCATGTGGTTACTAGCTAATCCCGATTTGTTTGCTTTGCAGAATTGGCCCGGGTTTACTACAGAATTCTGGCTCAACGGAACAGCAGACGTTTACTGGCCCTCTGTCTTAACCTCTGACCATCTCGGTGGGCCTCGATGTTCAAGTGCCAAAGGCCTGGACACAATAGAATGTGTCGCAAAAGGCGTATCGAGTCTCGAGAGCTTCTATAACTATGACCGCACCCAGAGCAGTTACGAGATTTCCACACGAGAGTCACAATTTCCGAGGACCTTACAAGCAGTCCCAAGGCAAGCCGGTCTTAGTGCGGAGGCATGGTCTGTTGCTCCTCACGCAGTCACCTCTTTGCTCAAGAACGACCTTTGGTATGATCCGCATTGGTATCCTACCAATCTTCGCCCCAGGGGAGTCCGCTATGCGGAAACATACTCCCAGGCGGCAGCGGTGCGTACCGTCTGCACCCGCGAGGTTTTGACCTTTTCAAATGCAACTTTCAAGGTGTCTTTACCCAATCCTCCGGCATACGACCTCTGGGCTAAAGGAAACGACCGATCAGGAAAACACAGAGACATCAAGCTGTCCAGACCACTTTGGGGACACCATAAGGGTGCTCATACCGAACAGATAGGACTCACAACGGTGTGGATCCCGGCCAATCCTGATATGGAATCCGTCACCACAGGCCTTGTAATTCTGGGCCCCCTTACCTCGACATCGGCCACCCACCGTTTCGGGGTAGTGTGCTCTATCGACGGCCGATGGAACAAAGCGAAGCACGTGTTGACAGGAAGTGGAAACGCCGTTACAGCTTGGGGAAACATGGCTTATGACAACACCGGTAGCGATATCAGCGTCTTACAGAGTGGCCAGCGCAACAATGAGGCTATCCTGACCAAGGCTCTGCCAATCAATGACGGGAGCTGGAGACATATCACGGCTGAACAAGGATGGCTGGACGGCTTGACGCCTCTTATACCCCAATGGATGGATGAGGCCAAGACTGCACTGAGCAAATCCACCATGACTACAGCTCTCGCTAACCTATTCATCGCAGGTGATGTTAGGTTGAAAACAGACAATTTTACGGAAGGTGAGGGAAGACATTGGATACAAAATATTGAGACGATCACATCGACTGCGATGGCAGATGCCATCTCCCGCGTTGGCCTCGGGCAGCAGTACAGCACCATTAAATACTACACCAGTTTTGGGACACAGTGCACAAGCATCCGAGGTGCCACGCCTCGGAAATGGTGCCCAGGCCCTCCACCCTACACTCAGTCTAGCCCGTTAAAGTTCCATGGCTATTTGACCGGTGAGTGTGTGAAAAGGACCAAGAGGCATCGCTAACAAGTCTTCATATGACAGGCTACGCTTATAAAGCCTCGAGAGTTACAGATTATCTCTCCATCGTCGTCCTACTGCTTCACATGGTGGTCGCCTTGATCCATACGCTATACCTTCTCTTTACGCAGCTCAGCTCCGCCTCCTGGGAAACGATGGAAGAACTCATCGTGCTTGCGCAGGTTTCTAGGACTGATACAAAAGACTTGAGAAACACCAGCGCGGGCATCAAGCGATTTTCAACAATGGCGCGAAATACCCGCGTGAAGACGTCTGGGCCTGGCGCTGGCGGAGGTGAAGAGAAGGTGGAGTTGCTAATTGGTGGAGAGGAACGGGAGAAGATGGGAAAAGTGGAGGAGGGGGAGGAGTATGGGAATGAGGACTGAATGCAGGGAGATTGACAATCTGCAATTCGGTAACGCGTAATCCCATCGCCTAAGTTTAATCTACCCGAATCCTAATATAACAGTTCTAATTTCCTCCTCACCTTCGCCGCAATCTGGAGGAGAGGGAGGTTGTTCTTCCCCAGAAATGCAAAGTGCCCAGTGCACCAGCTAGTGGCAGAGTCAGTCTTAATCGACATGCACGCCCGTCCGCGACAGGTAGTGTCCCGTACAGGAATCATACTCGTCCTCACTCGTCACAACCAGCTGTGGAATCTCAGCTCAGTCGACCAATCTCCTAGGCCGATGATGCCTGCGAATCGTAATCACTCCAGTCTCCCCTCCCCCCGCCGTCCCAGTGGCGCTCGCAGCGACGTATGATATGTGAGGTTGGTAATCTGAGCTGCGAAAAACGACGACGAATTGGTCGGGTTGGATATCCTCAGCTGTTCAGTACGAGCAAGATCTTGCGGATGAAGTCGTTCGCGGACAACGCGCACGGATTTAACCCCGGCGGGACTCGACGACTCTGCGGTTCCGGCTGTTTGAAGTTTCTTTTGAGCTGTCCCGTTCGTCTTCTCGTGGTTAGATTGAGCTACTTGTTTGACACTTGTGCGCGTCAGGTCTTTCATGTCATGCTGGGTGGGTCGCAAGGGTTACGCCTGTGAGCGTATGTGACTTTGTGGGACGGTCGGTGGGCTGTTGGTAAGGGGCGGTTTGGTTGGTAAGGGGGGATATTGGGGGAATGAGGGGTGGTAGTAGCAAGGGAGGTGGGGAAGGAAGAGGAAAGGGTTGAGGAAGGAAGTAGTAGTGGTAGTAGTAGTAGTAGTAGTTGACTTCTACATTCAATACGAAGAAGACATGTTACCCATAGCTAGCCTATTCTATTCGTGGGAAGATTTATGATATTGATGGGAAGTTGCCCATGAGATGGGTGCCATTAGTACTATGAATAAGTATATTCCCAACGGAAGGTTATACTATTTATGGGTGAGGTGTTTTATCCATAGGTAAATTTAACCCACGAACGACGTGCAACAACTACATAGTTCTTGATGGATACTTTTCTCCTAGAACGGACAGGGTATCGACAGGAGACCTGGAACAGGGGCTGTATCATGTGACCCACTAACCCCCAGTCCCACTCTGGCGACTTATATCTTTCCACTTTATGCCATCAAAATTCACATACCGGATTCGCTGCGCATCCGCCCTCTTGGCCTCATCTCCACGGTGCAATTATTTGAGATAGTCCTTAAACTCCCAAGACATGCGCACGATCTGCTGGATATGCGTCTTGCGCAGGGTAATCTTTCCATCTTCATCTGCGCCGTCGAAATCGGCTAGGGCAACTGCTGTTTGGAGCGCTGTGTGTCAGACCCGCAATCAGCCCTCCGCATCCCCAACATTTTGTCAAAATGTGGGTAAAGTAAACCCCACTCACCATTTTGAATTTCCCTCCCGTTCCAATTCAAGCTCGTCACTTCAAGTTCAGTCGTATAGGGTATCGTCTCTGCTGGAATGTTCATGACATTCTTACGATCCCTAGCCAACTTATCGAAAAATATCTTCCAGACTTTGAGTCGATCCTTTTGGATGAACTCGCGGTAATAGAGGGGAATATGGGAGACGAAAGCGTCGTCGAAGGAGCCAATGCGGTTAGTTGTTAGAAAGAGGATGCTCTGGCAATTTCCCATTGCACGGAGGAAACCTGTGAAACTTTTGTAAGCATTGTGATGGTGTTTGGGATTAATATCTGTGGAGATGAAGGTAGTAAGGATCATAGGGATACCTGATAAGAGGGTATTTCGAGTCAAGTCTTCAGTCTCGCGCCGTTCCATGTAGATGTCGGCTTCATCAATGAGGAGGATGGCGTTCCACTGCTTCGCGCGCGTAAAATAGTGATTGAGCCTTCTCTCGGCCGATATCACTTGTAGCCAGGGAGAGGAGCGGACGCTTGGAGTATGCGGCGACGCATTCTGATTCTATCAGTACACTTCAGGGGGAGATTGGGGTATATCTGCAGGCAATACCTGCTGTGTAGGTTTTTCCGACGCCGGGCTTGCCGTGCAGCAGAAAGACCTTGCCTTCTCCTTTCCCAGCTACGAAGTCGGCTGCCTAGGGTTTGTGGGCCGGTTGACTGCTCGGGTCGGTTTCATTTTGGTAGTTTTGGCCAATGCTTTGATCAATCGCCTTCGTTCGTCTTCCATGACTAGTGTATCCATCATCCCGGTATCGAATATGGGATCCGAAAAGCAGTATACCTCTAGGCGTTATGCAAGCGAATGCCTTTGTCAGCATCGCTCCTCATATAAATTGCCCCAGTATAAAGGTAAGTCGTCAACCGGCCCACCGGGAAACTCTTACCCCAAGCTCGAGTTTTGAAAACATAAGCGTAGACATCTGGAGGACAGAGGAAGTATTGGTGGTCCGTGAGGGATTTCGTTGTTTTAGGGTAAAGATCATTGTAAGTCGAAAATCTGGAGGGGTTTGGGCGAATACCGCGTTGTTTAGACTTAAAGCACACATGACAGAGGCATTCCGATACGCCGGATTTTGGAGTATCACCAAGCTCATCCAGGACAAGCCTGATTTCTTAGCATCTTCTGCACAGTAGACTTGGCTATCCACCATCGTCAGTCCTTTGATCTGACGTCTGTATAAGCCAATACTCGGGGAAGACATGATCCCATTTCAAGAGATGCTCACGTATTTCTTAGGCCATGAATAGGTAGTCAGGCAAATTACAAAATCATACCCCTAAATATGAGATTCTTACAAAACACCCAAAAATGGGGTATGAGTTTGTAAATTATCATTTCTTAGAATATAAAAATATGAGAGACCATCAACTTATAGATATATTTAGCCCTATATCTATAAATTAATTAGAGATATAGTTAGAGTATATATAAGAGTCTTATTATGTAGTAAGAATAGAGTATAGATAGACTGTAAGACTAAATTCGTTTATCATATTTCACGCTTTTAGAGGTTATCGGGTTATCGGCTTAAGGCGGGTTTCAGACTACCTACTTTACCTTAACCCACCTCGAAACCTTACTCTAAAACTCCACCCTTATTTGATATTAACGTTACCCACGAGAAACCGATAGCAATTTCAAATTACTATAGTAACTTACAAAATCATACCCCTATTAATAATATCTTACAAATTCATACCTCATGGGGGTATGAATTTGTAAGAATCCTATAGTAGAATATAGAAAACACCATTGTACCTGACAATGTAATTTGCCCTGGTGTTTACATATAAAAAAATTGTAGATTGGAGCAGATGGTGAGTGGCCGTTTGGATGATCTTGTAGAGAAATTTCCGAGCCGCTTTCAATCAAAACAGGACAAGAATGACAGCTGTAGAGTATTATACACCTGATTCTTGCTCTAGCAGTATTGTTATTTTCACATCTGGCGGATGCTGAAGTGGCGGGAACCGTGTCTAGGAATAAACATGTAACGATCAAGCATGGAGAAGCAACTGTCGAGTCCCGCAGAACTGTTCATGCCGAAGGAAAGCCGCACGCTAAAAACCACTAATCTCATTCAAGGTTTTAATACCCCGAGACTATAGAACTGCGAAATACCGCTAATTCTTGGGGGCTGTGCTTAGTAATCAATGCTGCGCGCGAAAATGGGTGAGTGGCTCGCGCTTAGTAATGGAACGAGCGCTACCACTAAGCTGCGCTGTCAGCAAGCTAACCCGAAGGGACTTAGTGAGAGCTAGGCAGGTCTGAGGGACTGAGGCAATGCCCTGCTGCGCTGGTCTTGTCCGCTTCTCCAAATACTCCCTATTCTATACCGACTGTCACCCGAATTGCGCGAGAGGCGAGGCTACGAACATGGGTGAAGAAATCATGTCGATCGAATGCAGGCATAGCCCAACCTGGCTGCCGGCTCTTCAGACAGTCGCGAAGCTAGTTCTTGCTGACGTTCAGCTTCGACGAATCGATTGGCTCTGCTTCCTTGAGGCTGAGACAATGCACTGATCCTCCTGAACCGATGTATTGCCCCGCGAAGTGAGGGGTCATGGCAGCCTGGAGCCTGGATGTAAGATGTAGAGCAGCGCCCAATGCAATCTTCCTTACCATCATCACGCCCCGGCACGATGAGCGAACGCCAGTCCTACGAATCGAGGATGGCTGACTTGAAGCTCAAGCGTTTTGCTTCCCGTTGGCAATCAACTCATGGGCAAGCCGCGAATCGTGACATTGACGAGCCTCATAGCACAGACGACGACCCCACAAGCCCAGGCAAAACGGAAGATGCACAGCGTTCAGTACCGAGTGTCTTCAAAGGTCTCAAAGTTGGCCAAGCAGGGATGATCTGGGGATCTGATGGTACACTGCTCGGCAAAGTTAAGGACGACAGCCTGACGGACCCAGAAGAGCTGGAAGGATTCCCCCTCAACGAGAAAGGTGAGGTACTCGATGAAGACGGACACAAGATTGGGCAGGCATTTGTCCATGAAACATTCGGGGGTACCAGGCTCAGAATTGCGCGTCAGCATTCATTTTACAAAATGAAACCAGACGAGGATGGGCGGTACCACTGTCCGTACGCGGCTCTGGAGGTGTGTTGGTACAGACCACAGAAGTTGAAGTCCAATTTCGAGTCAGTCATGTCTGAAGATCTCTCTACCCACTAAAGTTGACCGCCGCTCTAGTAAACACCTAGACTCGCACTTGAAGCCATACCGCTGCGACGTCGGCGAATGTGTCGGCACACAATTCTCGTCCGCTGGTTGCTTGCTGCGTCACGAGAGAGAAGTCCACAAAATGCATGGTCACGGACCGAAGGCCTTCCTCGTCCATGGAGACGCCGCCATCCACAGAATGCACGACCCCTCTAAGAATCAACATGGGTGCTCCTTCCAGGACTGTGACCATTTTCTACGCAACGATTTTGGAGACGAGGAGGATGTTTTCGAACATGTTGAGGAAGCCCATGTGCTAGCGCCTCCAGCTACTGCTTACGGCAGAACACCTTGCCCGGAATCGTCTGACAACGTTGGGAGGAAAGGGTTCGATTTCTTTGACACACACCTCAGGCCCAAGCACATCGTTACATCGGGACTTCGGCATCCTCCCAAGCTTGATATCATTCCCACAACCATTAGTCCCGAACAACCAAACGGGAACAACGAGAGAACTATGGTCGATGTAGACTTTTTACACAAGCTGGAGTCAAAAATCAGCGATCTACAGTCCCGTGTCGAAGAGTGTGAGGGCGCCCCTGGCTCTCCTACCAACTCTTCGATTTCTGATAGTGGAGACTCTGTAGACTCGGTCTCTGACGTTAGCCACAAGGGCGGTCGAGCAGCCAGGTACCCACAAGACTTTGATGATGAAACCATAAGCTACGAGCCGGAAGTGAAGAAAGGGAAGCGAGACGCAAAAGCCCTTGAGGGACCAAGCCTTGAGGTCGCGCGATGGAATCATCTTGGCGAGAATCAAAGAATTGAGGCAGTGCGTGATGGAATGTCTACACCCGTTCTCGAAATCCCGCCTGACTGGCCGCTTGTGACCGCCGTATCTGAATATGATCGCACCCAGTTCTGGCGAAGGCGAATCGAAATTGCATCCCCAACCTTCTTCGACCTCCTCAAGCAAGTGTCTCGGCATAACATTAGCGACCTTGCCCTTCACGAGGGTGTTTTATACCTTATGGAGCCCCTCATGGTTCTGTTCCTCAACCGCAAGCAGCTCACGGATTATGTGGAGAATACCAAAGAGTCCACACAGGTCAAGGAACACACGAAATTTATCTTGAACTTCCTGAGGAGCGATTTCAGCGACATTAGTAGAGTGCTTGACAACTTTGAGTCGGTGACGCCTCCGAACCTTGTCAAATACAGTGACTTGTGGATGCTTTATCGACCTGGCACGACGGTGTACAGCCGTGGCAATGGCGAATGGGAAGCTTTCGTCGTTGACTCTCTCGATGGTATGCAGATACGAAAACCGTCGCCAGACAACGGTCACGCCCATACCAGGCTCGATATCAGAGCATGGTCCATGAATTTCGACGGTGAGGTATATGGCCGCGTTTGGTCCATTCATTGCGTTGCTCCATTCCATGGTGTCCGGGACATCAGCTCTCTGTCCCTAGTCCCGGAGAAATATCTTTTGGACCGAAACGCCATCAGAGAATCGCTACTATCTCGCGGAAGAAAGTTCTGTGCTTTTCAGGTACAGCACTGTCAAGAGAGCGAGATCTCTCCTTCACAGTCTACTCGTATCATGGTGGATCATCTAACTTATCAGAAGCGCAACGGGTGGCTCATCTCCGTCAATGGAAAGTACGGACCCTCCAGTGCCAAGGACAGGAGCTGGAAAGAAAACAGATACAGCGATTGGGATACAAGTGGCGACGCTGTTGACCGGCGATCAAGACGTTATACACCCCAGCGCTCCCTCGTGCGCCACTTTGAGGATGAATACTGCAGCAGAGACTACGAGATCGAAAGCATCGACAAACCTGAGGACCCTCAAGCTGAACCTTGCCGAAGTTATTCATCAGATCGTCCTTCGCATGTTGTCGTCCGCGAGTTCGAGAAATACGATCTGATCCGGCCATATGCCGAGATGGACGAGCTCACGTTGATGCTTTGTCCGCAACATGTGCGTGGCTTCTCCTTTCGGGACAAAGTGTGGAGTAAGTGTATACAGTGCGCTATTTCCTGCGAAATCTAATTTGAGTCTAGAATTCCTCAACGTATCACAACTCAAGCCGGTGTCTTTCCAAGAAAACGCCTGGGACCGTCTGTTCCTCGACGAAGAATACAAAGACATCCTAGAAACCATGGTCTCATCTCATGATGAGAAGGTCGCTGGATTGAGAGGTTCAGCAGGTGGAAAAGGACTTAGCATACTGCTACACGGCGAGCCAGGTGTGGGCAAAACGCTGACTGCTGGTACGTATTCGAGAACTCGTCCTAGCGCCGTTCATTGCTGATGGAAATCGCAAGAATCTATCGCGGAACATTTTGGCAAACCTCTATTCCCTGTCACTTGCAGCGATATTGGAACTTCCCTGCCGGTATTTGATGAGAAACTAGAAGAAATTTCCGATTATGCCACAAAATGGGGTGCCATCTTGCTGTTCGATGAAGCAGACGTCCTCTTACAAGCTCGACGTGATTATGAATGTGCCAATCTCAAACGCAACAATCTTGTATCGAGCTTCGTGCGATTCATCGAATACTATCAAGGTATCGTCTTCATCACCACCAATCGCGTCAGCAAATTCGACGAAGGCCTCATGCCGCGCATCGATATTACCCTCTGCCTACCTCCTCTGGACCGTGCCCGTAGAATTGGGGTCTGGTTCAATCAAATTCAGGACTTGTCCGATGAAGGCACCATCAACGCATCACAATCTGCTGATTTGCGCACGCTTGCTCGACAGAAGTGGAGCAAGGATGACATCAACGGGCACCAGATCAAAAAGACGGTCCAAACTGCAAGGGTTTTGGCGGAGAGGAAGGGTAGGATGTTGGGAGCTAGGGAAGTTGAAACCATGCTAAAGATCGGGAGGGAATTTGGAGAGCGCGCTGGCCACTTGGAGAAGGGGAGAGAGAAAGAGGAAAAGAAAGATGAGGAGGATCTGGAGGGGTTCGAGCAGGTGGAGAAACCTTGATATGAAGGGGAGGGGGTAAGCTTTCCTTACGTTATGGTAGTATGATACTTGATGACATTTACGGCCATGTTCCCAATCAACGATCTTTTTTCAGTCATCGGTGACTCTTCCATTCTCTCACAGACTTCTATCGCACATGGTCTTTCTGTATTCGGTTTCTCAAGCTACACGCCGGTTCTCAAACCAACGACTCCTTCCTTAACAAAAGACGTCAGAATATTCACACGCGTCCTTGCTCTCTTCCGGGTTCAATCCCCCTTTTCACATTCTGCCCGGGATCGCCATCGTATTTGCACCAGCGAAAAACCTAAAACAAAAGTCGCATGATTTTCAACACCCTCCACAACCAGACCCCGATTCAGCAAACCTACGTCCCGTCCTCCTCCTCTTCCGTCCCATCCTCCCACGGCCCCCCCGGCACGTCGAACTGATTCGCATCTGCCCTCCTACCGACCGGCGGACTCCCGGCTCCGCCACCCGGATTGGCCCATCGGCGCCAGTCGTCCCGCCGCGCCGCAAAGCGGGATTCTTTCGTCTTTTGACCTATGTGGATGGCCCTGAGGCATTGGATAAGCGGAGGGTTTCTCTCTCTCTCTCTCTCTCAAGCGCGTGAATAGGATGGATGGATATGGGAAGGGAGGGGGAGGGGGCTCACTTTTGGAATTTTTCGAAAAAGTCGGGGACTGACGGTCGGCGTTTTGAGGTGTGCGGTGGTGGTGACTTGGTGGTTGATGAGGATGACGATGGTGAAGTCGAGGTGTCGGCGGGGGATGAGGTCGATGACATGATGATAACGATGATGGAGCTTTTGGTGGGTCTGAGATGTTGGGAGGATTGCAGGAGGCGGGCGGTGCAGAGAAGAGACTGGGGAAAATCTGTCGGAGGGCGCACAGGCGTCCGAGGCGTGGCTTTCTCTCTCCACCAGATGCCGAGGTGGACCCGACGTTACAAGATTGACAAGTCATAATGGCCAGCGCATTGGACAAACAAAGGTGCGTGCGTACGAGCCGCGGAGCAGACTCACCCACCCGAGACGAGGAGTGGCCTGGTAAAACTGCCCATCTCCGTTTGAGTCAAACGCAACCCGAGTATCACAGGGCTCCAGGGGAAGGTTTCAAAATCGGCTGCCCGGGTGGCAAAAAAACGGTCCTGTTCGTCAACGACCGATTCGCGGCTCTGGAAGCAGAGAATGTCTCGTCCAATCAGGTGTCTGCAAACCCTGCCCCATGGCTCTTTCGGGGTCGATTCTTCTGTGGTCTCAGGGAACATTTGACGTCTCTGTGATTGTGTGAAGCACGATATCCCGATATGGGAAGATAACTGTTGGTTTCAGTAGGCGGGTAGGAGTATGCTTCGATGCGTGGATTGAACGGGAGATGGTTCGTTGTTTTCGGATTGGTACAGAAGCTGCATGTGAGGAATAGAGGGATATCAGTGTTCAGTGCACATTGCGCTTTGAGTTGGAGTCTCGTCGTAGGACTTTCCTAGCTTCGATCCGGCTTCAAGATCTCATCGACAATGACAACTGAATGCTGAAGCGCCATCGTGAAAGTCTTGTTGCTCGGGTTGAGCAGCTAGGAGTTGGTCGGTGAACGGCTCAGGCCTCAAAAAGTATGTGCGAGAGATGGTCGGGTGTATGGAGTGAGGAGCAACGTACCTGTTCGTTCCGTGAAAGTGTCAGATACGTTCGTCGTTGAGTCCAATCTTATTTGATGCACCATTTCTGCTACGTCGTTAGCATTTTCATTGAGAGCATCGGTCTGGAAGTGCAAAACGACAGATTGCTGAGCTTTCTGGCAACGACGCCCTCATACCTGGTATATAATACTCCCTTTTTTGACATCTGCACGCTTTCCAAAACCGACACGAAAACCGGTGAAACATCTAGCACTCTCGAAAGCAGGGCATCCGTCTGCACCAATCCAATCTTCTATCTCATCTATCCTTCGTTGTTGACATGTTGCCCATGCTAGAGCTTCAAAGAACGAAATCTTGCAGTGTACAGCTGCGGTTATTTTTGACGGTGAAAGTCATTTCTTTGCCATCTGGCAGAAGCTCAACCTGGGAAGCATCCAGAAGAAGATCTGCGAATATGACTTCGAGTCCATCCTGACGAAGATTAGCTTTCAGGACGCCAGTCGAATCCAAACCACCATCGACCGCTCTGCCCATATCCAGAAACGAAGCTGAAGCCTACCTGTACCCGTCATCTCGGAAGTCCTTAGTAACCAAGACATAATTATTTGCTGGGAAAATTGTTCCTGACTAAATGGTAGAGAGCCTCCTACTATCTTCGTGCGTAGCCTGTGGAGCGGTTGTAGAGACATCTAGGCCATTCAGATGGGCTGAGCAGACAGTTTCGTCTTTTGGTCTGCCTCTCAGATGAATTTGAGTGACATTGCACGCGAAAATGTGGAGTGTCGAGTCTAAGACAATGACCCTGATCGCGTCTTCGTATGTTCTTGCCATTTGCTGGATCGCAAGTCGACGAGAAACGGTCTCGAGCGGCAGGTACATGGTGTCTATCCAGAAGGGGATGATCCTGTCATGGCTCGGTTTAACGGGTTGGTTGGTCTTGCAAACGTCGCAGTTCACACTGCGGTGAAGAATTAGTGCGGCTAGTTTTGCCAGTGTTGACAATTTCTTTTTAATCAAGGTTATATACTATTTCGGTAATATTTGTCCCATCGAGCAGTATGGCCTAGTGGTTTACACTGGAATACCCAAGTTAACTTGATGAGGCCTTACTCCTCAACCGTTGGGCCAGTACAGTATTGCCACTAACGTCGGCTCGAGGGTTTGCATCCAGATGAATATGCCAGTCTTTAATAAAATAAAGCTGAGCTCCTGTAGTCTGGGTGATTTTCCTTTTGCTCCTCGGTTCGACGACAGCTGTGGTTGGATTTTTTTCTTTTTGTTTTTTTCTTTTCTTGTCCTTGTGAATTCTTCCAATATTATCAATGCCACCCACCCGCCCTCACATGGGAAAAAGCAACGTACGGGACGAAAGGTATGCGAGAAAGAAGAGGCCAAGGAGAGCTCATCTATAGATTTGTCTTTCTGATAAGGTGACGAGCGACCCGGTGCACAGCCCTTCAGCGCTCTCGCATAACTTCTCGCCAACCTTTCCTTCGACGGAAATCAATGGTACGCCGCCACCTGCTCCAAGGATCGCCGCCGCCGAACTTGAATCTTCTTCTAGTCTAGACTATTGGCAGCCCCACAAAACTTCAGAGTTTTGTTCACATAGCCTCGGCGATCAAATTGGTCTGAATTACAATGCGGCTCAGAGCACTGGAAGCGGTCTTTGTCTTCTTCGTGCCGGTCCTGAAAACTTAGGTTCAACAGGTACAATGCTCTTTGACTCCAACTCGAAAGTCGAGTCCAGCACAGCAATGCGTCCAGGATACCACACAGATTGCTTGAGTAACCTGCAAAGTAACCCGCTTACCTCCCAGCGAAAGCCTCCACCAGCACTATACACACCATACATGCTAGCCCAAATGCAAGGTCCTTAGCTTTACACAAGGCTTCACCAAAAATAGTTGCCAAAAGTATTACGAGCTCGCCTGGATGATAGCGCTTCGAGCTTTTTGCAATTGTCTTTTCGTACTAGGTCTCCTCCCCTAGATGATCGTACCTTTAACCCGGCTATGATCGCTTCTGTGAGTCGCTCCGCCAGTCTCAAGATCTCCTCGACCTGTGCCTGGAGGCAGATCGCACTCACAGGCTACCCGATCCCAGATACGGTCACTCAGTGTTAATGTACTCTACAAAGCACTGTCCACGCTCTTTGCCATAATGTCTCGCTCAGTGATACGAATGCCAGATACTGCAAACACACCCGACAACATGCCGAAGAAAAGCCAAGCTTGAAGGAACGGGGCGACGGTAGCGAAGTCTTTGCCATCAAGTCCGAATCAGCGACATGCTCAATGTCAAATACGCGCCATTGAGGGTATCCAATGAACACTGCCCCGTCATATGTATTATCAGCATTGCAAATACAGAGAACTTGGAGTGGTGGCCTAGTGGGAGACTGCAAACAGGGTAGGCGATCCATAGCCAATGGCCGCCACCATCCGAAAACAAACGCGTCGCTAGTCCATCGTCCGCACAGGACTCGAGCTCTCTACGGCGGGTCACAGCGTCTTCATTGCCTGCTCGACGACGATCGAACAAAAGCTCTCGGAAGGAGAGGCATCAGGGGACGTGTCGAGCGAGCCATGAAGCCTTCGGGATCCAAGTCGTAACAGCATCGCCATGTGTCTCATGATACTCTCGGACGCGTTCTACAGACGAAACGCATATTCTTAGCAGCCTCTGTGTGACAAAACGCTCGCAAGGGGTCGGAGGTCGGTCCTAAACGCCAAGACTTCTGCCCGGATGGTGCGCTTAAGATCGATCTGCTTCGGAATGACGCCTAACCGTGGGGCTCAACACCCTTATTGTCACTCAATAGAATAGGTACCTAGAAGTCTTTCAATCTATGCGCGCGCCCAGAAAAATAGTTTTAAAGTCCGCCGGTACAGGTCCCCTTCCGAAAGGAGGGCTACTAGCGCTGTCCAGGTCGAACAACCCATCCATGATCCCACCCTCGTCAACTGGCTCGCGACCGGTACGATGATCTCACCACTCTCTGCCTGCATGGAAAGACTTGAACGTGACCCTGTTCCCCGGCGGGGCGAGTGGGTCTCGAAAGGAACGAATCACACCGTCGCACCGGGCTACAGATGCAGTTCACCTTGCATGCATACGCTAGATGGACCGGGGTCACAGGTGCGATGTGGGGAGCCCGGGCGACTGGTACGCCCCGGGCCGTATCTTGATAGGTCCCGAGTCTCGATTTGCCTTACGCCATACATACTGTTTGAATGATGTGATGAACCTCCCACGGAAAAAGACGTCAGAGATAAAGCATGTCGAGGGGTTTCCCGGCCCTGCAAATCTCGTTGTGTGAAAGGGATAACCCGAGCCGGGTTGCGTAAAACCCGTCGCGAGCAAAGCGAGCATCTCCAGATGTGCGCCACACTCCCCAACCACACTACAGCCACCGTTCACCCTTTGGCTCCTTTCACTCTTTCCTACGCTGGGCGAGGGAACTCGTATAAGAGAGCACGCAGGCTGCAAAGCATTGTGTACTCTACATGAAATCCACCTCGTAGCAATCCGGCCCCGCGAGGTCTCCGTGCCCGTCCTGCGACGAACATGGCAGCCCAGACGGAAACAGATCTCCACGCGACCCAAGCGCCGAAAATGTACGCCATCTTCAGCATCTTCTTCGCCCTTCCGCTCCTCGCCGTGGGGCTGCGGTTGGTGGCCCGGAGGGTGTCCAACCTGCGACTGTGGTGGGATGACTGGCTCATCTTGGTCGCGACGGTGGGTGTTGATCCTCGTGGAAAGCGGTTTTGTTCCCAAGGCTCACGAGGTTAAAGGTGATTGTCATTTTGAACTTTGCCTTTTTGAACGAAGGCGAGTCTTGTCCCGTGGAAGGACCTACGTTCGATGAGACTGACAGAGGGGCAGCGATGAACAACGGCGGGGGTAGACATGTACAAGCGATAGCGAATGCGAACGACATTAGAAAGTACCAAATCTACACCTTTGCAAACGAGCTCCTCTACGCCTCCATCGTCACCTCGGTCCAGTCCTCCATCCTGTGCCTGTACCTGCGCATTTTCGGCATCAACAAGTCCTTCGCCAACATCGTCTACGTTTTCCTCACCCTGGTCATCGCGTGGGGAACCGCGACCCTGTTGACCACAATCTTCCGATGCAGTCCCGTCTCCGCAGCCTGGGACGCCGATGTACCCAACAGCCGCTGCATGGATCTTCGAACGTGGCTGGTTGGGACCAACGTCCCCCACATCATCATCGACTTCTCTATCCTGCTCTTGCCTATGCCGCAGATCTGGCGGCTGAAACTCTCCACTGGACGCAAAATCTCTTTGAGCGGCGTCCTCCTCGTTGGCGCTTTGTGAGTTTCCCGTTTCCGCCCCATGTGCCAGGTGGAATGGCGGCTCCATATCTAATACGATTAATGGGAACAGTACGTCGGCCGTAAGCATCATTCGCGTCAATGCCAACGCCTCCATCAATAACGACGATCCTACTTGGGACTACGTTGCCGTCATGATCTGGTCCACTATCGAAGGCAATATCGGTGTGGTATGTGCCTGCCTTCCTACCCTAGGAGCCCTCGTACATCCGCTCCTTCATGGCCACGCTGGGTCCTCCTCTTCAGCAGCGTATGCGCCATCCCAACAAAGAACCGCTAGAATGCCACACCGCAGCCTAGAGTTCGACCGCTTGGATGAGGAGATCTCGGGGCTGTTCCCAAAAAGAGGAGTACTTGTTGAGAGGAATATCTTCGTGGAGACGGACAATGGAAACCAAGCGGTAGGGCTTGATACTTTCTGTGTTGGAGGAGATGGTGGGAGAAGGGGATGAGGTATTCGGAGGAGGGCTAAGGAGTGGTTGGTGAACACGCATGGCTGCAGTCGAGAGACTGAGATACCCTTGATGAGGACGGAGGCTAGTCAACACCCGCCAATCTGACATGCCTTAAAATTGAAAGGAGTTTAAGGACAAAAACTCTCGCATCTGAAATTAGTGTTGGGTTTCTCGATGTAGGAGATGCTGCATGGGTCAGACAACATGGCGAGTCGACACAACTCTAGGTATCTTACTCTGAGAAGAATGTATGATAATTTTATCATATCAAGCTTAGCCCTTCTCAAGCTATGGAAGGGTTGTCACTGGAATTCACATGCAATGCTCTCGTCCTTCGTCAAAGGTTCTAGAATGCGCGTGCAGTCCACAGTCTTTGTTATGCGGACTTCCATAGTACCTCGATGATACTCATAGTGCTTCCCTCTGGCTGGGAAATACTGTGGAGACAAAAGCGCTTGTCGGTCTTTTCGAGTAAACGAAGCCAGTCAGCTCTTGTGCGCTCGGCACTGTTGAAGCAGGCGGCCATGATCATGTCTAAATTCCTATCAACGACTTTCGTCAGCTGAATCCTGTTAAAGATACATACCACCTTTTGTAGAAGACATACGGTCCCATTTTCTCCGTCAGCAGTGTTGCTGGTGTATCTTCAAGGACGCATTCGTAGAGAAGGATACGGGAGCCATTGCGCATTGTTGGGATTAAATTTTGCAGCATTTTCATGCAATACGGGTCACTCCAATTGTGCATAATCCACCGAAATAGGTAGATGTCAGGATTTTGCAGTTTCTGTTCGGTGAAAAAGTCATGGGCCATGAATTCGACCCTTCCTTTGAACTCCACCGGGAGCGACGCGCGGCCCTGCTCGACTGTGCCAGGGAGATCTTGGACAATGAATGTTATGTGCTGAGTTGACCTGGCTAAAAATTGTGAGACGCTGCCGTTGCCGCCGCCCATGTCTACCACCGTGGCGCCAGGGTGGTCAAAAGAAGCCCAGTCGAAGCCCGAGACGAGATGCTTCAGATCCCAAGTCTCGCCTTTGGTGAAGAAACGCATACCAGAACCGAACCGCCTCGCACGCTCCGGGTGTTGACCTAGAAACTGGAAAATGGACAAGGTGGTCTCATTCGCCATACTGAAGGCCGACTCGTTTGGCTCACCTGAGTCGCCGTACCGTTTCAAGGCTTCGATAACTCTGCCTGCCGTCGGCGCGAGCTCCGATGCCTCCAGTCCAACCGCGTCAAAGAAATCGGGGTCTGTAGCCATCATTCGCGAAGCTGCTGTATGTCGGACCGCGTTAGGAGATACTTCTGCGAATATATGGTTTCCCATTGCGTGGCGCATGAAACGTCGGGCCAAAGCCTCAGGAAGGCCGCTTTTTGAAGAGATCTCATGATAAGTTGTTGAACCCTCAACCTGGACGGCTTGGGCGAGCTTAAATTCATATATCACTCGTAGTGAAAGGAGGTCGGTCCACTGAGAATATGCTAGTATGGGCATTCAGTCCGTGATGTTGGGCTGAGAGCGCGTACATTGAATATAATCTCCATCGAGCTGCCAACGGGGCCTTGACATAGCTGTTTCAACGTCTGGGTTGAGTTGATGAGTGCCTTTTTGGTGGATTCCAGCTCGGATGGCAGGTCTGCGAGGCTGTCATGGTCAAAAGAGGTGGGCATCACATGTTGGGATGAGAGGTGCTGGTCAAGACGCTTCGCATTCGCAAGTATCTCTTCAGCAAGCGAAGTAAGGGTACCCATTTTGATGAAAGGAGAGATCAAGGCACAGAACAGGAGGGCAAGCAGCAGAGCAAGCGGCAGAGTAAGACTGGAACGCCCAGGATTCGGCTATTGCTTATCACTGCTGCTGTCGGAAGCATGGGGACATTTTTGGCATGTCCCCACACCCGAAAGCGCGCCTCCTCTTTCCCCGGCGTGCCCGGGTGCACTGACTTAGCGCTCATCTCGGAAAGGGTGGAGTTTCCAAATGAGAAGGAGGATTGAATGATTTGGAATTGTCAATATGCATGATGTCACGTACTGACTGAGGTAGCTCGGACCCGATTCCCAATTGGGACTAACTCATCTCTCAGTAATCAGCTCCGCAAATACCTTACTTTAACTTAGAGTACTTTAAGATCTCCAGACGCATCCCTGCCAGTCTCGCCAGTACATCATTAGGTACATCTGCGGCTACTTCAACAGCCTCTATGTGCTGGAAGTTCGGATGAAGATGAAGACGAACAAGGCTCAAGGCTCGCAGAGATTTCTGCATTGATTGATCCAAAGACGCATCTCCTCAGTAGTCTCCTTGTGACCCATCAAAGATCACTGCTTTGTGTAGCCGGTGCTCTTACTTTGACTGGTAGAGTCAACCACATGAAGGTATCGCACTCATGTATAATTTGCGTTCGTGGAGGACCGCAATTTTCCATGCAGGACAGATGGAGTACGGATCATCTCGGTCTCACTGTGCCTACGAGGAATGTCCAGCCAGGCAGGGCTGTGGGCCTCTTTCCCAAGGGCTGCGGCCCATTGGCCTCCCCACAGTGAATCAAAGGCTTTCTATGCCGTCTGATGTCCTCCCATACTGTTGACCTTCCCGGCTTCGGTCCTGTCTTGTCTGAGTACTGTCAAAGGTAGACCATTTCTCAAATGCTTCCATGGATGTCTTACATCCAAGCCAGACCTCAAGAACGGCGTGGTATGCAACACGAGGAGCTGCGCGGCTAGCAGGCTGCCATGTTGTTTGGCTACTCCGTCGGCGATGCAGTTCTCCTCGTGCAATTAGCGTGGAAAACAGTTCTGAACTCTCGGAAAGCTTGTGGGGAGCACGATGACCTCACATCACCTGGTCCTTCGACGTTTGGAAATAGAGATCTCCAAGTCAAAGAGCCCAATCGACCGTCCCAATGACACGCGCAAGGGAAGAACTGCAGGCATTTGTCGGCGGTTGCAGAAATACAACACTTTGAATGAGAAAGAACGTAGCGCAAAGAGACTGGTAAAGGGTACGGTTCGGCAATGGCGAGCTGGCGAATATGAGAGGTCTGAGGGAGAAGTTGACATACTACACTTCGGCCCCATCGCTGTTTATGAACATGATATCAATGGGCTCTGTTGACAGAGTCGAGCAACAGATGGAATATGCTGGTGGAGACATTGAGGAGTTACAGGTTGCTGTTAATGGGATGACCGCACCTCTGTTGTCTGCGAGGAACCGTGATGGTTCGGTCCTCACAACCTACGCGAACGATGACAGCGGTCTGAAAAGAGTTTAGAAAGGGACTAGTTGAAGAGGGATTCTCGAGCTCTATAATATGAAAGCACAAGCGGCTCAATAAGCCATATATCAAAGAACTTGGAGATCGAGGATTGCTTGATACTGAGGACCCTCACGCCATCGAGGAATCATCAGAAGTGGCTGGTACCGATAACGATTACCATGCAAGGTCTTCGATTGAATCCGAGATTCTCCCAGAGGTTGCTTTATTTGCTCCGTCGAAGACGGAGTCGGAGATGTCAGAGGATGATCTATCCAGGGCCACCGGAAACGGTCTCAATACGGCCACCAAATGATATACCCTGAACTTCAACCAATCTCAGGGTTATCAAAGCTCCAAATGATACCGCTGATTCCCACGACCCCGATTGAATCTGTAGGCTATCGGAGTGGTTCAGAAGATGAGTCGGGTGGAGACAAAGAGCAGCATGTCCTTCCTGGTGCTGGAATGCATAAGTCTCTGTGCTGATTTTTGAAGCTCTGATGTATCCATTTGGAGGAGCGAGAACATTGCCTCAGGGTTGGGAAATTAAGTTCCTCAACAAGTCCATGATTAATTGAAGACAACTTTGTCCCAATGTAATAGCGTCAATGATTGATACCTGACCTGAAGTCTGCTAGTTTATTCACGAGAGACATCTGTCAACGCTCTGATCTATGACTGAACACACCGAATATGGGAGTTATGGCGATCAACATTGTAGCCTTATGAGAAGAAAGCGGATCCGCTGGAAGGGATCCTGTACTGACACCGAGGTACACAGCCTTCGACTGCTATCCGATGTCAGCACATGTACCGTATTTTGGTTAGAGTAGTGGGATCACTTACCGTCTAGCCCTGCTTTTCAATCCGCTGCCACTGTTGTGACTGACGGGAGTCTGGAGCTCACGTGAGAGCATTGTCTTTCCCACATAGAACCAAGATCATCTGTCTAATTGACAAAGCTGGTGGCTGAATCCGCCTACCGCAGCCCTGCGGCGACATCTCTTCGAGAGATCAGACAAGGACGATGGTCTGAGCCAACCTGAAACCCGTTTCGTAATCTCGCAGAACACAGCCACCTCCGATGCATCCAGACATCTGAGGCCATTAGCAGCCTGAGCGGATGACAAACCTTCCCATTGAACAACCGCAGCCTTCTGCCGTGCACGATGGCGATTGGACCGAACGGACGGGCTGTCTGGATCAGGTGTCTCCCCGATGCAGTGACACAAATGAGACATCTCGGCTAAGGTTCCACAATAGAGATAGAATCGCAGTGCACGTAATCTCTTGAGCCGTACACGGTTACACCCCAATTGCTTTCAATGTACAACCCTCCCAAACCGGGTGGTATGTCTCGCTTTGCGATTTACACTTCCCAGAGCTTCGCTGCTCACGGGTACCGTCCAAAACAAGGTCCTGCTATACGCCGCTTTTGAAAATCATCGTCCGAGAGACGCTTCAACGCCCCCTTCTCGAAGTGAGGTACTCCTTTACCACCGGAGGGCTAGTCATTTCAGGGTCTAGCGCATAGAAAGAGAGCGAGTGTGTGCGGGAAGGGTGGGCCAAAGGGGGAGAGGATCCTGTTCATACCAGAAGCACCGCGAGGGTAGCGAGATAGAGGCACTTTCCCGAGTGGGGCGCCGCCAGCCCGCCGAGCTTGGAACCTGCACCTGGAAACTGCCCCGAAAGGTGCGAGACGTGGGCGGCTAAAGGCCAGGGGGCTGTATGGCCAGAGGCTGTACTCCGTGCGGCGATCACTTTCGTGTAGAGGACCGAATCGCGGACGGATCGGAAGGATCTCTTGGGAGTACTTGCGGGAAGGAAAGGGCGGACGGGTCCGGTGGTGTCGAGCAACATTGCAGGTCCATAAAATTCGGTGGGTGGGGTTGGGCATTCATGATGCAGACAGCAAATCCTAGCGATACTCTTTATGCAATCCTGTGGGTTGTATAGACAGGTTTTCAGCCCCGACAGTCAAGTTGGGTTGAGGTTGGTGAGGAATACCAAGCGCCCATGCAGGGAAGTCGTCAGGCAATCATTGAATGATACCAATGGGACGAGCAGACCGTCCGATTGGATGCTGCTTTTATATGTACTTCAGCACAAGTTGGACAGTGAGATTGAGCACTGACGGTGATTGCGGTTTTGCTGGTGCCGGAGAAGAGAAGGAGACTGTACGATCCGTCTAGTAAATCTAAATTCAACGGTAAGCCAGTCTTATATCTACAAGCCTTTTGCTTTGCCTCAAGAACGATTCCAGATTCTATAAGAGTATTTCCATTCTGTGAACTCCTCTGTGTATTAGGTGATAGTTAGGGACGCCCTAAAGATTTTGATACTAGCACTTCGTTCCCAATCTCCCTGAAAACCGAACCACTCAAAATCATTGACTCTTCCACACAATCACCTGCAGGCTGGCTCATAGTTCAACCGCTCCGTTCCATCATCGACATCACACGCGTCGCCGGAATACCTTGCATTGACAGTGATGTTACTTACAAACGTCCCGGTCCCAATGCATGGGTGATAATAGAAATGTGATCTGAGGCCGGCCAGACATCACCCTCTTTATCCACTATCATTCCTGTCTGGACGCCGCACGCTTCCCTCGACTGCGTTTGAGTATAGTAATAGTTGACCCTTGTACCTTCGAACTCCTAGCAAATTTTGAGGAAACTCTGAATCGTTCCGGTCGGGCTTACAAAGGCCGAAAACGGCTCCGACCATGCTGAATATTATTCACTGCCGAGACTTTACGCTAGTCGCACTGCTAGGTCCAGCTCCGAAGGTAATATCGATTACATGTCGGCGAAAGAAGCGGATCCGAACTCTGATACCCGCTTTCTCATATATTGCTCACTCCTGGAGTCCATCATGTGCGGTACAGAGTCGAAGAGGCCAAAGTGATTAGCAGTTGCAGTGAGCGTGTGTTCGAGCAACTCGAACCTTCAAGCTCTGCATAAGCATGGTAATTTGCTGCATGATCTTCGTGGCTCAAGTCTCGTCCATTGGTAATGTCTTACACTTCGAACAACTCCATGGCAGAGGATAGGGAGGAGGATTCTGCCCCCTGCGTGTCGAGAACACATATTTGTATGATCTGTTTAGCTAGGAACTTCGAGCTGGTCCCATTTTGGCAACACTAGTCTACGCGGGTTGCATGCTGAAGGGCAAAGAGCAAGGAACTTGTTCATGAGATGAAGCTCAAGGCTATATCTGCATTGCTGAGTAAGTGATTTTCCACCACGTTTTTAGCCTCTTCGTCGGGAAACTTCATCAAAATCAAGGCGACATTCGGACTTCTTCAAGACTGCGGCTGAGCGAATCGTGCCTCGCAGTTGAGACCCTGCGATGCATTCGAGTACACCCGATAGACATAGCGTGGACTTAGGGCTCGATCTGCGTGAAGAAACTCGTCATTCAGAAGGCCATATGTACGTGCTAGATCCTGAAGTAGCTACCTTTAGGCCTTGCCTGTCTGAATTAAGCAGTGCTTTCCCGTACGGTTTTTATTGCAAGAATTTGTGGGGTCTATTCGATCCTCGTGATGCTGAGCCGAAGATGCTTCTGATGCCATCATGTAATCGTACAATAATAAGTCCCGGCCTGATCTCCCAGCGAGATATATCAAGTCTGTATCAATGGCGCAATTGGAGACCATGCTAACGGGAGGAATTTGGCGATAAGGCTCTGTTAACGCTGAGCAGTCATTTGCTTCTCATTGGACAAATGCAGTAGTCTTTCATGCACGATCCCAACTGAACCCAACGGATGCGTTGTCCAGATTGGGTTCCTCTCCGATGCAGAGGAACGGACAGAAGACTTCGCTGAGGCATCAACGGCAAAGTGGGGAAACACTTCGTTTTCGCAATTGGAAAGAAGTACTACTGACCATACTCAAGCATACACCATGCGTCTCGATGAAGCCACCAATAAATCGATACTGAAGCGGTGCATAATGACAAGGCTCCATAAAAACAGTTGGCCTTGCGGTCTCGGCAAAGTGACGCCTGTGGCGAAGCTAATGCATGCATGCGGTCTCGCATGCGGTCTCGGGCTTGCCGCTCGTATCATTTCATGCATCATGCATCCTGCGTCTTGAGGAGGAAAGGGCACATGGCGACGTGCCCGAAGAGGAAGCCGCGTAGGAAATGCCGACGAGCGGAGCGGCAAACAACCATTTCAATGGGCATTTGCAGACTTCTTTTTTGACAGCGAAAAAAATAAAAAATGAGATTCAGATGTAGAGAGAAGAAAGTATTCTACCCTCACACCCCAGATCCTCATAATAGAGCCAGTAAATGCCACGAACTCTTTCCAGGCGATCGGCCGCATGGAAGGTATCTGATCTCGCCTTGAACCCCACAACTCCAACCCCGCAAAAGTTGCAGCTCGCAAACAAGTAGCTAGCATTCCACAAACCCCGCGCTCTGATCCTTTTCTGGTATATCCATGCAAAGTCTTCCCAAGCCCTTTCCATATGGGTAGCCTGCTTTTCCACTGTAGCTGGCCAGGTCTATCACATCACAATGCACTTCCCACCGCAGCAGCCCGCGCTGTCTGAACTGTCCTGTGGCGGCCGGGACGTACTGGGCCCTCCTCCGCCCGCTGGATAGGATGACATCTCTTTGTTGTATCTTCTGATTTCGCGGACGATATTGAAGAAGGCGTTGTCGACGTTGATGCGGGATTTTGCGGAGGTCTCAATGAAGGCGCAGCCGAACTGGCGAGCTAGCTGCTCACCCTCTGCAAATCAAAAACGTTAGCTGATCACCATAGCAGTAGAGCTCGCGGAGTCGTAAAGAGCTTCTCGCGAATTATGGGTACTGGCTTCAAACGTACCTTGCCTTGAGACTTCTCGCTCTGAGTCCAGATCGCATTTGTTACCCACTATGATGATGGGAAAGTAGTCTTTGTCCTTCACTCGCAGTATTTGTTGTTGGAATGTCAAGATCTCTTCAAAGCTTTGCCGTGATGTGATTGAGTAGACCAGTAGAAATCCTTCGCCCGTGCGCATATATTGCTCTCGCATCGCCGAGTATTCTTCTTGACCAGCTGTATCCAGTACATCGAGCAGGGCGACCTCGTCATCTATGACGCATTGCTTTCGATAGGAGTCTTTAAGCTGTGTTAGCTCACCGTCCTTCTAGGAGTCAGACAAGCGGGCCAGGCGAACCTTCTATTGTAGGGTCGTATTCATCGACGAAATGGCTTTGTATGAGCTGGATAGTCAAACATGACTTTCCCACACCACCTCCACCAACCACCACAAGCTTGTACTCTCGAAGAAACTGTACAGGCGGAGTGTTAGAACGCATGGCTCGAAGACACATTGGGATATCCCAGGAAAGGGAAAGGGTCACGAACTCTATTACTATTACTAGTCATGGCTGCGGTAAATTGTATAGCTCAATATAGATCGTCCCTAAGAAACGTGGAAGTCGCGTGGCCCGTAGGTTGATTGGCGTATCCGACTGGATGTCGGATGACGACAGGAGCACAAGGGTACGAGGGAGCTGTGGCGGGGATTTTGCAGAGGTCCGCTTGTCGCTAGAGAATAGCCGCTCAAATGTGTGTAGGAAGGGAAGCTCAGGAGACTTTGAGGAGAAGGTTGCGAGCTTTGCGAGAGACGGTCTTGCGCTTGCGACAAACAGATCGATTGGGTGGTGTGAGATCTAAGACACTCCAGGGTTAAGACGTATGGTGGTACGTGCTCTTGGGGCAAGAGTGTGACGAAAGAGCTTGGCCTTGATAAAGAGGTGAGGTTGATGTAAAGAGGAAGTGTGATGGCGTTGGTACCGCTGAGGTTCTGTGTTAGTGAAAGTTTCTGCACAAGCATCTCATGGCACCTGCAGCATGGACAGGGAAAAAAGTGACAGGGGGAGCATACGGCCGTCTTAGTGCCGACTTTAGCGCAGACCAACAGGACACCTCCGCGATAGTTCAGATAGCTGGGACCCCCGGGGAAGATGGGACTGGGTCCCTTGGGAGAGGCTTTGGGTTGACCCGCCGTTCCCTCTAGTTCCGGCAGAGGAGGGCGATGAGGTGATCTGATAGGCAGATTCCAAGAGCGCCTAGAGAGCTTGGGATCCCCCGCCTGCTTATGCCTGTCTAAAGTAGCTTGACGAAAGACGGATTACTTGTCGATGACCAGCTGCCTTTTCTGCGAGGGTTTTGGTAAGGAAAAAGTGCGAGGGAACGAGCTCAAGTATTCGCACAGAGGTGGTGGGCAAGGAGATGTGGCAAGGGGTTGATGCTCAGCCCAGATCGGCCGGAGCATGTTGCAAGGCATCCATCCACTACGCACCACAAAAAATTCTGTGCCATTACTTTGCAGTCATCAGTATTTGCATGGGCGATAAGGCCATAAATGAGCTTGGGACGGCTATTACGACATCGTCCTGCATGAGCCATGTGCTTGGGCTAATTAAGCTCCGATATCCTGTTGCAGGGCCACTGACGATCTCCGTGCTTCTCCAAAAGATCATCCATGCGACTGTTTCATGTTGTTGCGTATTATCTAGTATAAGGCTCTATTGAGAGACCTGTTATTCTATCTCCCAAGGAGCTCTATCCTGGATTTCATTCATCTGGATCGTCACTTTGGTCCATCTCATCTTCTCTTTCTACCCTTTTGCCTTGCACATTTTTCTCTACCTCCCCAACTAAACTCAAAAGATATTCCTCGTCTCTTCCAACAAGCGTGACAGAGTTCCTCTTTCTTCCCCAACGTGGATAGCTTCCAACTTTGACTCCTTTCGACTCAACTTCCCCTGCTAGCTCGGTCAGGTAAGACGCTACTGCACTTTCTGCCATTGGAGTAGAGATCAGTATCCGGTATACACCCTTGCCTTCGGGATCCGTCAGCCGTGGTACTAAACCGGGTTTGAGTCCTTCGAGAAGCTTCTCAAATAGTCTGGGGACTCCGGGCAAGATATGAATGTTGCCGTTGACAACCGAAACAGGAACCCATAAACTCTCGTCGACAAACAGTACCTGGCCCTCATCGTCTCTTGAAGTATCCATTGGTAGCCTTATCATCCGTTTCTTTGCTTCCAGGGCAGGCGATGGTACGTCGTATGAAAAATTAGGTTGCGAAGGATGCGGTTTCGAAAGCTTCTTCATTCGGGTTAAAGCCTCCTGATGTTCCACGAGTTTTAGTTCAAAAGCCTTTGCTACCGATTGATAAGTAATATCGTCATGTCTAGTGGTGTCTTGAGTAAGCTTCATAATGCGGCAGGTACTTCATGCCGCACTTACGTTGGGCCAATTCCTCCACTGCTACATGTCAGCAATGTAATCCATCGACTCTCTCATCGGCTCTTTCATTATCTTGCCTTGTGACCACAAAGTCGTAGTTGTCACTCATCCGTCTTGCAGCTTCTACTATCTCTCCCTCGTCATCTCCTATCACTTCTATCCTTTTCAGATTCATGCCCAGTTTGAAGCAGAACTTGGCAAGATACGCCGAGTTGGTATCGACAGTCTGATTTGTGTCTGTTCAGCTGGGAGGATACTCCGCGTCCAGTCGCGCATTGGGGCACACCTTGCCACCGAGGACCTCATCGCCAATGATAATGCATCCTGCTGTATGTATCATGCGCTTACTCTTCTCTTCTGCTGTCACTGGTGTCATGATGCTGCTTCTTGGGAAGGCGCTGGAAGCTGCTGCCGAGGAGTGTGCGTAGTAAGGAAGTGGCCGAGACAGATGTCGACTCAATTGGCTAAGTCTTGCAAACATTGAGGTGTGGACAATAGGTTAACCGTCCAGCAATGGAGTACATGGACATTATCTATGTCATCAAAGTCAAGATGCAGCAGTACGCGGGGCGAGATCTGCCGAGATCGCCAAGGTTTCTCGGATTTATCGGATCTCATGAATCTAAAGGAGGATCTGACGCGGGCAGTTCTTCAGAACTGCACTGTCATCAGCTGCTCATATCCTAGAATTTATACCTTGGGAGACGCTGTTCTTGATATTTATCGAATATGGTGAGCCAGAGCTGCCGCGCGCACCTTTCATTAAGCTGACCGTTGCAGTCTTCGGAATCACGGTTGTACACATTTTCACCTGAGACCAAAGAGAAGCTGCGGAAGTTTAGATTAGGGACTTCAAGAGCAAAGGACCCCCAAGCGGTGATCTGTACGTTCTGAACTGCCCTCACACCGTATGGACACCAAGTCAGCCGCCACATGGAGAAACAATCAGCTGACCGCTTTCTACAAACTAGACCAGATCGATAAGCACACCTTGGAGATCGCACAAGTCGATGATGAAATTTATACCAACATGCAAGAGTTAGCAGACGAGCTGCCAGATCACTCGCCACGCTATGTTCTGCTCAGCTATCCCCTGAATCTGGTCCGTTCTGCCGTTGGTCCAGATTGAAGACTGCTCGTTTACACAAAGCTAGCCATCTGGTCGTCTTTCGGTACCCTATGTACTGCTCTACTATCTCCCGGTTACCTGCAATGCGGAACTACGAATGCTCTATGCCGGAGCAAAGGAGTTGATGAGAAATACCGCAGAAACGGGGAAGGTCATTGAGATGGCCGAGGCTGAAGACCTGGAGAAGATCGAAGAGAAGTTAGGTGGCGAGCAATAGCCTTTAATCAAGTTTATACGTGTTGGGATCTATGACGGCCTCTTGTACATCGCGCCACCAGTACCAGCCTATCAAAGATTAGCTCAACTACGAGTGTCACGACTTCTTGTGCATGACCGTGGCCGCGGCCTGAAGAGAAATCAGCAAACATTGCCGTGATGGCAAGCATCACATGAAAGGAGATGGGCGCAGCAACCCTTACCTGGTGATTTGGAAAGATAAGCGTATCAGCTACGACAACATTTTCCCTTCTCGCTGCATTGAATACCACGACTTCGGCAATATCATCAGGAGTGAGTGGTTCGCAGCCGCTGCCGAGAAATTAGCTTCTTGTGGACTGGCAAACGGTAATATACCTACGCATAGACCGCGTCTGCTTTGGCTTTATCGCCATAAAACCGTACGACGGAAAACTCGGTCTCCACTTGGCCTGGATCTACTTCCATCACTCTTATCCTCGTAGCAATCAGCTCTCTTCGCATGGCATCTGTGAAACTTCGTATGGCCGCCTTTGTTGCGCAGTAGATCGAGCCGCCAGGGTATGCTTCTCTGCCCGCTATCGACCCAATGTTGATTATGTCTCCTCGTCCTCCATCCTCACGCTTCTTGTAGATGGGAAGAATGGCTTGAGTCATGTTGATCAAGCCAGTGACGTTGGTGGAGAACATGACATCGATGTCTTCATCAGCTATGTCTGGAGCCTTTGCTGTGCCTTTGACGAGACCACTAAAAGGTAGTCATCAGCATTTGTTCTTCAAATTTATGCATAGCCACTTTTGAGACGTACGCATTGTTTACCAAGACATCAATGTCCCTGAATTGTGCCGGCAATGAATCTACAAAGCCCTTCACCTCACTCGGGTTGCTGACGTCCAACTTCACTGGCAGTACCTGGACCCCTGAGCCAACTTCTTCCTTGATCTCCTCTGCAATCACTTTCAAAGTATCAATCCTCCGCGCAGTCAGAACCAGCTTAAGACTTTTAGGCGAGGTTCGAGCGAATTCCATTGCTGGATTTCGTCAGCGTGGTGGTTGTCGAAAGTTGAGGTTGCGCTGAGACCTGTGCTTTTGCCAATCCCAGATGATGCTCCTGTCACAAGGATTGTCTTGCCCTCGAGGCGTTTCGCCATTGCGGTAGCCATTGTTCGTCTTGCTGTGTGCGAGATGAGGGGTATGTTGGGAAGAAATACTCGTGAGCTCTGGGATTGAGGCTTCAGAAAGTCATGAAAGAACAGAGTGTTGCGGCGAACAGCTCTAGGAAGCATGTGAGAATGTAGTCGCGCTCAATTGGATGTCAAGGGCAGTTGAAAGTGGCGGGATACTCGTAGTCTCGTAGCACCGAGCAAATACAAGATATCGTCATCGACAAAGATCTTGATTGGGCAGATCGCTAAACGCGTAAAGTCGCTTATTCTCGATTGCAAATTAGCGAAAAAGTTGGAATACTTGGCACTGAGATTCTCACACACACCCACCAAAAGTAGTACGAAGAAATCTCTCCATATCGCATTCTACCACCTTCCTCATCAATTTGAAGCTCTGTATATCCTAGCAATTGTCTTCCAGGGCCGCACGTTCACGGGGGCATGAGGGCCTTCAGTCTGGAGGCTGATATCCTCAGCAATCGCTTGGGCACGGGAGGACGCCTCTTAGCCCTACTGTCTGGCCGGAGGAGGCGGTAGGGGGGCCCCTGACTGCGTCATTGGGAGGATTCGAAACACTAAGGCAAAACACCAAGGATCGGCTAAGCGAGATATACAGGAGCTTCAAATATGATGAGGAAGGTGGTAGAATGCGATATGGAGAAGATCATCTACTCAGTACTACTTTTGGTGGGTTTTTTTTGAAAATCTCAGTGCCAAGTATTCCAACGTTTTCTGCACACGCTAAAAACAAGAATTCAAGCACTTCGTCTACGCCTTGCCCTTAGTAAGTTGAGGGCGCAGATTACGGTGAAATAACGTAGCAAGGATATGTAGGCTCTCGATTCAAGCCTTTGGGAATTTCGGCGTCCAATGACACTCTCTATGCGTCGTTCATTAACCCCAATGAATGGGCAAACTACTAATTTATACCCCAAACTGTAGAATCTTTGCTAATTGATAGCCCTACTTGACGACAAAAGGGTACGATTCGTCTATCTTCACAGGGGGTGGACGGCAATAAGTGGCAGGATCAAATGTAATCACAACCAACTAGGAACTCAAGACAAGGTTCATGAAAAGGAATATACACCATAGCCATACCAAGGGCGTTGGCTCGTTTCCAGTCATGCAATACCGTCTTCTCTCATTTCGCACAATGAATTTATTTCCCCTACATTCTTTCGCAATCTAATGCTCCTTGGCTTGTGAATTGAGGGGGCTGGCAATTTCGATGAATTGAGTCGTAATTTCGTGGCCGCCATCGCGCTCTTTAAATATGCGTAGACATTTCTTCTTCTTCTTCTTCTTCTTCTTCTTCTTGTTGTCCATATGCACGAGAAGCAGAATTCTATATACATATACGTCTGTTGTATTCATGAGCGTTGATAAGGGCTTAAAGTCTCTGCAACTTAGGATTACCGGATGCAACAAGTGTCACAGGAAGAGGGTCAGTATCGTGATCACTACCTTGTTGAGCAAGCTAATGTTTGAGATAGTGTCGCTGTATACCTGATTAATGGGCAAGCAGGAAGCAGAGCTTGCAGCCTTGAGATGTTGTCGACTATGAGATATTCGTGCGATGACTGTCGCAAGCACAAGGTCAGCTACATTTCCCCGGAATCCAACTCCCTGCTAAAAGGCGACGCCATAGCGGTTTGATGTCCATTGGGCAGCATCAGAACATCAGCTTCATACCCGCCAAAAAGCCCTTCAGTCGCCACTTGAGCAAGCTGATCTCGGATAGAGCTTCGACCTTATGAACGAGGGTCCTACTCTTCTGCGATAGAGTATGCTGCAAGGCTATGTTCGCCTTCATGCGTAGCGGAAGAGACTTTTGCTTCTCAATGTCGCTTCGAGCACTGGTCTGAGTACCCCTGGCTCTGCAATCCTTCTGCCCCTGGTTTTGGAGCATGGACGATCGTGCTGGCAGACGCATTCACTCATGGAGTTGGTGGACAAGAGGTGTAGGCCCCCCAGAGGATGTGTTAGGAGATGTTCTGCTGCGGAGATGGTAGGGCTGTAGAGGAGAGGGCAAACTTCCTTTGGACTGTTGACACAGGTATGCTCTCAACACCTCGATATCTTCACTCCTTTCTGCAACCCGATTGGCCACGAGTCGAACACAGCGTGAACCCTTCTCAAATTCCACATATTTGAACCCCTCCTGCAGTACAACTTCGTTCTTTCTCCATGCTTCAACAGCAAGTTTTCAACCGTTCATAGACATCTTTCTACTCCCAGCACCAAGACTTTGAGGCATATCCGAGGCTCAGGCTTTCATACTCTGATCTTAGTTGACTGCTCTGCTTCGTCTTTCGATATTGCAACAGGCGAGGCTGTCTGCTCGTGGTGACCGCTCTGTTGTGCATACTGTTTTGGTGGTCAAACCATCACAGCATCCAACAACACTCGCTCACAGACATATCTGAACCTTTTTGTTAGACCCTCTTACACTGCACTGCATCATCACTCGAAGCTGCATCTGTGAAGCTCTCTGATTGTGGTCGACACTTTACCGTCAACACACATCAAGGAGGATACAGTCTGTCAACATCCATCGATCCATCCTCCTCATACTTGCTTACAGACCTCATCCAAATACCATGTGTCAATCAAAAACAACAACTTCTATCATTACAGGTATGGCTGACTCAATAACTCAGCCAAGCTGGATCCCAATAATCCAGCCATCTTTGTTTCATCAGGTGATGAAGAAGTATGGCTATGTCTCGGCAGATTTCAACTGTTCAATTGTCTATGGACCCAAGGTAAGTTCAAAGATATCATCAATATGATAGGATACCAGCTAATTGATGCAGCCTGCATTCTTCGAGGATGGTCAATCTCTAGCGTCTATACATTATCATGTGGACGCTTGCTTCTGGAAGGGGAACACCTTCATCGATGGAGCTACCTTCCTAGTTCCCTCCAAGCTCCCAGAGGCAAGGTCGCAATGTTACAGTGTGGACCTGGACAACACCACCGGGGTACATCACGTCACCCTCCGAAAGGCAGCTCTTCAAACAGGTTTGCCGTTGATCAGGTTGTCAAATGCCAACTTCTCCAGTCACGACGTCGAGTTCTCAAACGGAGAGATGATGACAGTGCCAAAGCGACAGACTCGCAAGACTCCGTCCAAAGTATATGAGTGGGAAAGCTCCATCGCTCAAGCTAGGCCTGTTCGCAACATCGTCCGTCAGATCCAATTCGGCATGTTTGGACAAGACAGTGAAGCCGACGAGGTCGAGCATGTCCACGATCAGACAATCTCTGCTCCTGCCGGATCGGACAGCTCCATCACAAGGGTCGGACGTGTCGTAGGTCAGCAAGCAGCGGATGATCAATCAAGACTTTCCAATTTCGCCAAGTCAATTATCCACGTCGTGTCTGGGGGTTCAACGGCCTCTAGTTCCATCGGAGCCGAAGTTTCTGATGCCGCTGCACAAGCACAAGAGTCTATTGAATCTTCAGTCGACACACAGTTGTCGGACAACTCGAGCATATCTCGGCGATCAAGCGCTGGAAGCCAGGGTAACGGAGATCTTACGTCAACCGTCCCTACTAGTCCCGCGTGGTCGACTCTCTCAACGTTGCCATTCTGGAAGTCGGCATTGGCGAACTTACCGCAGGTTCCCATCGCGCCAGGGAAGCCCAGTTACGCAACCAAAGCGCTCGCATTGGAGGTTCAAAAGCACGATGACCTAGGCAAGACCGATGACCAAGAACAGACTGTTTTTCGTCGTCTGTCTTGGGGTCTGAGAATTTCAGACCGGCAACTCCTCCACTGGGACGAGATCCAGGATGGTGAATCACCTTACCTCGAGAAATTTCCTGCTCCTAGAAATGATCTTGTCATGACTCAAGAAGGCCAAATCGATGTAGCAGAGGATGTTAGTAACAACGTCCAATCTTCTCTGACATCGGCTCCGCTCACGTCAACGCCTGTCGAAGCTTTGCCATCATTCTGCACCAACGAGGCCTACATCTCTCAATGCTTTGACGCTCTCGATGTCGTACGCATCGAGCTCGTTGGGCGGACATATTCGCGACTCTTCCCTCTCGATCTCGTACTCGAAGCCAAGGGAAAGCAGCATGCCACAGACGCGCCCAAGATTCAGCGATTTCCTCCAGTATCCGATGAGTTAGGCGTTGAGATTGCAATTGATAGCGCTTCGGGAGAGCTATACCTGAGACCAAAGATGAGTGCTCCATCAATGGTCGTCCAGTCCATTTCGGCCACCAAGGGCACAAATGTAGCGGCTGGATCTAGTGTCCCGGCTCAAGACCAGCCATCGAGCGATAGTGCTTGGCAGCCACACCGACTGGAGGATATTGACTTGACCGCCGTATTCAACCAGGGAGCCACTGAACTGGACGATGAAGGAGTCTATGCAGAGCCGTCGACCATCGCTTCTCACGTCATTGGGAGCCGTCTCGCACAGACACAGTATATTCCATCAGAATATGCGGACCACGTCGAGTACATGATACAGGCTCACCCGTTCGTACCCAGGATTGTGGTTGAAGCCAATGAATACTGGAACTTTATTAAGGTATCCATCAATGGTACGTGGTACGCGCAAGGCTGTCCAAAAGGCTTCCTGCCACGACGATCTTTGTTCGAGAATGACTCCGACGCAGTGTTTCGGGAGTTGCTTGGTCTCGGTAGCAAGCCCCAGGCTGTTGTGGAGAGGCCTCAAGACCTTCGAGTTGGATTTCCCGTTCATCACTTCAACTTGATCGACCAGCCTGTCTTCCAAGATTCTCGGAATCCCTCAGCAGTCTCATATTGGGCTGCAATTGCAAGCTATCGGAAGATGCAGATCAAAGACGGTGTTAGCTGGAAGGCAGTTGTATCATCGCAGGCAGCAAAATGGGTGGACCCGTGTACTTTGGACCGAGGCGTGGAGATCCCTGATGACCTTCGAGCAAGGCAAAGCTCAAGAACACTCCGCGATTTTGTCACTGGCCAGACCACCATCCGATATCTGCCTTGTGGTACTTGGATATGGGATGAATATGATTCCGACCAAGAGATACCGGAAGTCATGAGCACAGAAACCCGTGAAGCAATGTTAAATGCGTCCTCAGCCGCAAACACGTTTCACGGTCTGCAGCGACCATACTTCATTACACCGTACGATGGAGATATCAACGTGAACGACGATGGCACTGGTCAGCGTTCTTTAAGATTGAAGCAGGGGAGGGAATGGAAGACCTCGGAGAGTCGCAGCTCTACAAATCTCCGCTTGGTTGACAACGGCACTGTGCGTGTGTATTCCTTCAAGGGAATGGAAAAACCCAGAGTGTCCGAGGTCTTGGAGAAATACGAGACTGCGGACATCCTGGTGATTGACTTGCCTTTCAAAGCAGAGCCCGCAAATGCCCTTGAAGAGACACCGAACGAAGCAGGTGCTGATGAGATCGAAGACGAATCTTCAGAGGCAGAGACTGAGTTGGACGAGGAGCTAGCCGTTGATCACGAGACAGTAAATTACGTCAATACGTCCACAAGCCTCATGGTCATCAAGTCGCCGGCTGCCGAGAAGCCCGACAAAGATATGGTACAAGCGCCCGTCGAGGAAAATTCGCAATGGTCCTTGAAATCGGTACTCAAGCAGATTGTCAGAGAAGCAGCGGAGAAGGCTGCAGAGAACTCGGACAAGTCAAACCCTCCAGACTTCCAAACAGTGACACATGACGATGTGGGCGCTTTACGTGACACCCGCAAAGCACATGTGGCTCCGGTTGATTCAGAACGCGATCAGTATCTTGCGGAAGTGCTTGGACCTAACCCCAACGCTTCAAAGATGGTATCCGGACAAGGCAGTGTTCTTCGCACTGCAGATTTCATAGAGACTTCGGAGTCACCAGTACCGCCGGAACGTCTTCTTTCGAAACAGGTCCAGACAGATCTTGAACTGGAAGTAGCACCGCCGCCTGTGCACAGGGTTGCGAATTCTGAGCTCGCCCATTGGTCTTCTTCCCCCCAGCGTATCATGCGCGGCGAGTGGAACCGCAACACTATTGGCGAAGAGAGTGAAGAGAAAGAGCGCGATCCAGGACTCGATGTGGATTCCCTGGCCATGATACCGGACTGTGCTGAGCGATTCAATCTCGCCTATATTCTAGACGGGACGATAGTGGATCCAGAATTTGACGAGCATGTCGCCATGTTGCTCGGACCTGGCGTCCTCGCCCAGAAATTCATGTCCGGACAAGGCGTCATCCCATTTACTACGAGTGGCATGATGACTCTGCTTGGACCTGGCGCCGTTGGGAAAACGATGGATGGCTACGGTATTACACGGGCCACGAGGGGTATGACTTTTCTTGGCACTGGTGCAGTTCCTGACATAGCATACGCTATCCTGGCTGAGAGTGATGGGGCGACTCTCCTCTTCTCAGATTCTGTTGACAATCCGATGCCTAGGTTGGGTGGTATTCCTAGCACCACGGATTCCACAGATACTCGGGAGTCGCCTATACTATCAGGGCGCAATCTATCGCCTATGAAGATGTTCTCTTCGGCGCTGGACCAGCCGAAAACTCCCCCTCAGAGCCCTGAGGCGGTTGAGACCCTTGGAGTGTGGGAAGATGACGGTAAAGGTGGCTTTAGATCTCCTGGCAAGCACTGTCCCCAGTGTATGACCATAGATGTGGACAGTCAAGGCGACGACGTCAGCGTCTTCGACTCTAGGACTGAGGAAGCGCCAGCTGCTGCGCAGACAGCTTTCTATCAGGCCCTGGTCTTGGCAAATGCGAGAGCAGAATCCACGGTTGCTGATCGAGCGACCGACTTCGAAGACGAAGAAGTGTCTTCGACGCCTGTACGGTCCAAATTAGTGGTCTTGTCTCCTATCCAGGAGAACTCTCGAACTCCAATCCAGAGAATTAGGCGGCCTACTGCCCCCAGACTGCCTTGGAACCCCAACTTTATGTGGGGTAGCCATCGGACATGTCTCCCTGCTCGCAAGCAAGTCTTCAGCTCGGCAGAGCGCGCCTTAGCAGAGCCAGTTTCAGCCGAGAGCAGCAAGACTCATTCGCGAAACACCTCGTTCTCTTGGGAGGAAACCTCGACAGAGAGCGGATATACTCACACGCGGAATACGTCGGTCTCAATCACTTCCTCTTCTCCCGAAGCCGTGTCGACCGAGAACGGAAATACTCATACGAGGAACACCTCGCTCTCAGAAGCTAGGTCGCTTGAGGAGGATTTTAACAACGAGCGCGCTGTATGGGAGGTAGTGAGGCGTGAAGGATACGCAGCATCGCGAATGGCACAGTTTGACTCTCCTGTCACAGCCGCTGCCGCTCTCGGAGCAGCTGCGCCGGAGGATGCGCTTGCTTCGCCACCAATGCAGCACGAGGCAAAGGGTCATACTTCGCACTATCTGCTCGTCATTGCGATCGCCGTCGCTTTCTTATGGCCTTTCGTATGAGCATCACGCGGAGGAAAGAGAGACGCTCGGGAGACAAGCGAAGGGGTATTGGAAGGATGGATTGTTTTGCTCGTTACCAATTTTGAGAACTGTTGTTGGCCTGCGTTGATGTTTGAAGCCGAGGCTTGTTGATCTGTCTTGAGGTATGGGAAGTAAGCATAGGATTTGTTTCATGTACGTACTTAGGGAAGGGAATTTCATTATTGTCAACAGCTGCGAGAATATTGGAACAAATCCATATTTCAAACCATCTGTACCTTGTGCCTGTTTAATGTTTGGTGGGCCTCATCGGAGAAAAGTAGGTGCAATCCCGGGTGCACTGTCCGACTAACCTGTCTTAGGCCGGAGCACGGCAGGCGGGATCCTATTCCCCCCACAGCCAAAGACTTCCACTTCATCGCTTCACTTCACAGCAAAGCCAGGCTTCGTATGCTACAACATGTATTTCACGCTGGTGTTTACAGATCACTAACATTGTAGTCTGAAACGCATTCTGGACCATGTGATGTAGCCCAAGGAAGTTGCTGCGTTACAGGACTCTTATTGATAAGCCACACTATACAGGGATAGCAACGGACCGTACTTCCAAGCGGCATTGAGACACCTGGGCATAGATGTCGCGTATTTGGGCGTCGTGCAAGACGATCAAGGAAGGTTCGAAGAGGTTATAGAAAACGCTTTTAATACGACAGGAGCAGTGTCCGTTAGGAAGTTTGACTTCATCCGCCAGGGCCTCACTGACTTCGAAGCCAAGACACGCTTCCGTAAGGTTGCCATCAGGCCTAGACATCCTGTTCTCTTTGCTGTGCTTTCCCCACACGGAGAAGACGTCAAGAACAATATGGCCTCCAGGCCCATGAAGACAGAGAGATGGGATCGCAAAGCTGCCAGAGGGACCCCTTCTTTTGCTTGCCAGGGAATCGCCTGACCACTGTTGGCTGCTTTCATTTCCTAGTCATGCCATATCTCCGATTCTTCCACGGGCAACCGGACGAAAAGCCCATCGTGCACAGCTCAACGTTCTTGGCTCTCCATCACAGCGGTCCAATTTCTCAGACGCCGTTCGCAAAGCCGTCAAAAAGCCAAGCCATCTACGCTTGTTCTGGCATGGAATAATCGACGGTACAACAAGCCAAGTCACCCTGAGTAAGGACCAAGGATCAAATGAGGTCAGACCATTGCTTTCCGCCAATTGCTGGGTCGTTGCCCCTAAAGGTCCAGAGCAGATCTCGCATGGTACTTGGGCGGACTGCTATTCGTCGCTGCCATCCTCCATTGGTGGCGACACCCCAAAGAGAGATTCAACGGATCAGAATTCAAGTTCTGAACCACTGCGTCCTGCAGCAAGTCCTTGCTGGACAATTGCGTCTATGAAATGGTTTGCTCTGCCGCAATGGACACCGTGAAATGGTATGGATGAAGCTCCTCCAAGCCGCATGCCGCGGAATCAAGCCGAAGGGTTCGCTCCCAGCTTTGCAATGCTCATTGCAGCATCCCAATCCTCTATAGTATTGGCGCCAAAAATCCAATTTTCGTCGTGTGGAGTCAGAATCTTCCCGTCCAACTCCTCAACAGTCATGCTAGGACCGCACTTTCCCGCAGCTACGTTCTCTGCAAGTCTTCCTAATGCTCGTGGGCTCCATATTGCAAGAAGAGGTTCTAACAGGCCTTGCTCATTACCAAAGCAAGTCACAGGCGGGACGTACTCCCTCATTAATTGCTGGAGTGTGTGTGCTGTCAAGAGTGGATAGTCACAGCCGACAATGAGCCATGTGGCCGAAGGTGCGCAGATGTGTGCAGCGACGAGCCCCGCCGCAGGGCCCAAAAGGATGCTTGTGGAGTCATAGATGGGTTCGATGTGCTTTGATATTTTGTGAGAACCTGCTAGATCCATCTCTAAAGTCTGGTCCTGGTCGCGCAACGAGATGAAGAAGGTGTCTGTAAGGGGGAGAGCGTTCATCAAATGTTCAAGAGTATGTTGGTATGCTGGTCTCCCATCGCTATGCGGCATGAGGTGCTTAGGTGTTCCCTTGCGGGTAGAGAAACCTCCAGCAATGAGTAGTGGCTTGATGTTGTGTGTCATTGCACTTCCTGTTCTTGCTTCTGATGCGTGAACGTCGATGATTCTAATAGGCGTCTCAAGATATATAAGCTGGTGCCTTTATCTAGTCATTCGACAACGTCATGGCGAAATCAAGGGTCGCAGCAAGGCAGGCTCTAAACTTACACCAAATCTTGATGAGGTGGACTCAGCGTGTGAGCTACTAGGGGGATCCTGGACGCTTAGGTGCACCACCCGGGGGGCTTTGGAAGATCCCCTCTAGGGACCAGCGGGGTCCGGAAGGCCGGGTCGCTAGCCCCCAACTTTGACCTATGCGTGTTCCTGACAACGTCACTTGTTCGGATATATCCCACTACAATATCCAAGAGCTCGTTGGGTCTAGACCTCAAACGCCGCTAGGTTTCCACGACACATTCAAAGGTCCTAGAGGATTAATATTGGCCGTGTCGTCGGACGTCATCATCAAAGAATGGCATCGACGATGTCTGTATCCGACCCGGCCTCGATGGGCCTCTCGTCGCGAGCACAATCCCCAAACCTGCCATGGCCCCCGAAAGATACCAGACTAGCGATTCTGTTGAGGACATATGGGGTCCAAGGACGCCGTATAAACATAAGTGGCCGGCGCGAGTAGATGAGGTGATTACTGAAAGGCCCGAAAAGTGGGTACCGAGTGCCTGTATCATGTGCAGCTAGGTATTAAGAGAGCAGGTGCTTCAACGCCTTAGCGTTAGCATATCAAAAGTGGACCGCGGTATTGTCGACTTGTCTAGCAATGGCTGTGGATTGGACATCGCGGTTAAAGATGGCAAGATAGTTGGAGTCTAGGGCAGAGCTGTGGTATGTACACCTCGTCGCGTTCCCTCTCTGTTCGGTGCCAAATTTGATTCGCAAAACGAATATCGGGATCAAACAGCCCCTTTACTCGTTTAGGCTATCCAATCCAAGTTCCTACGTTAAAGAAGAAATACTAACCCTGAAATCTGCGTAGGACCGTGTGAATCATGGGCGTCTGGGCCCTAAAGAATTGCATGCTTATGTTCGTTTGGAAGTGTTACTGTTCTGGGTGTTGTTATTGATACGCCTTAAGCTGGATGTCTACTGTTCATGAAGAACGCCTCAAGTACCCGTTGATTCGCAAGAATGGCGATTTACAGCGCGCCTCATGGGATGAAGCCATGTTTTTTATCGTCAAAAAGACGAAGGATCTACAGAAGCGATTGATGAACCATGGTATCAGCTTTTACGCTTCTGGACAGCTTTTTCTAGAGGAGTACTACGTGCTTGCGAGGGTTGGTAAGGCTGGCTTGAACACTTTGCATATGTAATGATCCTAGGCTTGAACCATGATAGAGTCAAGAGCTAAGCATTTGGCAGGAATGGGAACACTCGTCTTTGTATAGCAAGTGCTGCAGCTTCCATGCGGGAGTCATTCGGCTTCGACGGTCAACCTGGGTCATATACTGACATTGACATTACTGATTGTCTGTCCATAGTCGGGCACCATTCCTCGGCAACACAGGCTGTTCTATGGTCGAGGATATTGAACACGTTGGAAGCTCCTGATCTTCCAAAACATCGGTGTAGTTCCTCGATTGTCCAAAAACCGCGAAGCGGACGACTGTTCGTTTGGCCCCCTAAAAATTGAAAAAAAAACATGGCAGTACTGAACGGTATACAACATTTGCTAGTTGAAAATGGTGGGATTGATGAGGACTACGTCGCAAAGCACGTGATTGGTATCGACGATTTACCGAAGAGTGTCGAAAAGTACAATCCCAAATATGTGGAAGAAATCACCGGCATTCCGGAAGAAAAGCTTAGCATAGCAGCCGAGGTCATTGGTACCACTAGTAGTATGCTTCCGACTGTCTTGCAGGGGGTGTATCAGTCCAATCAAGCTACCGCAAGTGCCTACCAAGTCAATCATGTTAATCTGCTCTGCGGCTGCATCGGACGAGCTGGCCGCGGACTCTATCAATTGAATGGCCAACCTACCGCACAAAGCAATGAGAGGCTGGGTGCGGTGGAGAGTATACAGGACTCAAGAATTTTGAGAATCCTAACCATATGCAAGAGCTCGCGGACATCTGGAATGTTGAGTATCACAAGGTCCCGCATTGGAATCAGCCTACTCATGTAGAGTCGATACTAAACTTCATCAAGGGCGGAATCATTGAAATCTTTTGGATCAGTGGCACGAACCCTTTGGTCAGCCTACCGGATCTACCTTGAGCTCGAGAGATCCTCACAAAGGGGGAGCTCTTCGTTATCTACTAGGATATCTTCATGACAGAATCTAGCGCGATAGCAGATGTGGTTTGATGGCCACGCAATGGGGAGAGAAGACCGGTTGTTTCACCAACGTTGATCGGACTGTACATCTTACTCGCAAGGCCGTTGAGCCTCCAGGTGAAGCATAGTCTGACCTCGAGATCTACCTGGATTTTCCGAAAAGAATGGACTTTAGATGCAAGGATGGTAGCCCACTTACACCATAGACCGAGTCTCCACAAGTCTTCGATGCTTGGAAGCAACTGTTTCATGGACGACCTTGCGACTACAGTGCGATGATTTTTCCAAAATCACCGGAGGTTCAGGCATCCAGTGGCCATGCACAGAACGATACCTTCATGGAAAGACAAGACTTTTCGACGATGGGGTCTTTTTGACCGATATTGATTATTGCGAGAGCTATGGGCACGATCTTGAGACTGGGGCACCCACGACTAAGGATCAGTATCGAGCAATGAATTGGGCCGGGAGAGCTGTTCTAAAAGCTGCTGATTACATTCCCTTGCTGGACTCCCCTGATGCCGAGTACCCTTTGCAGCTTTCAACAGGCCGACAAGTCTACCAATGTCACACCAGGACTAACACGGGGAGGTCCAAGGAATTGCAGGATACAGTCCCATCACCTTTCGTTGAATTGAAAAAAAGGACGCGGCAAAGTTCAATGTCGAGGACGGCGAGATCGTCCTTGTAAGGTCCCGTCACGGCCTGGTAGAACTGCCTGGCTCCATCACCAGGGTCGCCAGAGGCCGAACCTTCACCTCTTCCACTTTGGCTACTTCGACAACCCAGGCGATCGAGCTCGCACAGCAGATGAGCTGACCCAAGTACGTACTTCTCGGCGTGGTTCCTTGCTTCCTCCTTTGTCGCCCATATTTGAGTTTTGAAAGATATCACGGAAGCAAAAGATTCTATTCAACCTCTCAGATCCTTCACTTAAAGACCAAAAGCTGACCCAGAAACCTGTTTAGGAAGCCTGTGATCCCATCCCCATGAACCCCATGTCCAAATCCGGCGCCATCCGTAGCGAAAAAGGTCCCCGAACCCTACAAAATCAAACAAAATCCACACCAAACAAGCCCCAAACCCCCACCACCCAATAAACCATCGCAAAAAAAGAAACCCCAAACGGCCACCCCGAGCCAAGAACAAACCCCCCCGGCCCCCTCTCACCCTGGCTCCGCGCCCCCCCCCACGTCCTCCCCGCCATCTACACACACACACACAAACACCCACCCGCTCGATCCTCCCCCTCCCCTCCAATCCCCAAACTCGCCCAAAAACGACGCCGCGGCCCGATGCTCCTCCGCCGCATCACGACCGAAACGCACGCGGGTCGAGCACAAAAGAAACCCCGAAAGGACGCGTCTCAACCCACTCCCTCCGGACCACGGTCACTCGTCGGGCTGCGGTGCAAGTACGTGTATGTATGATTGCGCGGCGGAGGAAGAGGAAGTTGTCGTGCCGGCTGCGGGATGGATGGATGGATGGATGGGGTGGGGTGGGGTGGGGAAGGGATGGCTGTGAGGGCTGTTGATGGAGGGGGGTTGTGTTGGGGAAAGGGGCGGAGGGTGGGGTGTTGTGTTGGGGAGGGAGGGGCTGGGTGGATGGAGGGAGGGAGGGGGGGGAGGCTTGGTATATGAAGGGGGCCTGATATCATGAAGACTGATTTATAGTCGTGGCATTCACGTTGCCCAAACACGTTTCGGAAACAAATCATCTTGCCGCAAAGCTCATTGCTGCATTCCCTCCCCCCTTCCCTACTATCCCATCCATCCACCCTGTCATCAGGCACTCTCATCCTCACTCCCCACCCCCGCCGCCCTTTTTCCCCCGCTCAAGCAGCAGCCTTAACCTCCTTCTCCACCAACGCCTCCAACCCCTTCTGGTTCGCCCCGACCACCTCGCCCACCTTCTCTCCGCCCCGGAACACGATGAAGGTCGGCATGGCGCGCACGCCCAGCTCCTGCGCCACGTCGGGCAGCTCGTCGACGTCGAGCTTGTAAAAGCGCGCGGCCGGGTACCGGTTGGACATCTTGACGATCTCGGGCGCGATCACTTTGCACGGGCCGCACCAGGTCGCCATCTGTTGGTCGTCAGCGTTGTTGTTCGGTGGTGTCGGTGGTGGTGCTGTGGATGGGGGAGGTGTTGGATTTGGGGCGTTTTGAAAGGGGGGGAGGGGGTTCTGTGGTGTAGATGGATCTTTGAGGGTTGGACTCTGGGTCGGGAGAAGGGAGCGGAGAGAGAGAAGCGGGGTGGGGAGGGGGTTGATGGTATGGAAGTGGACGTACGCAGTCGAGGATCATGAGTGAGGGCTCGGAGAGGGCGGCGTCGAAGTCTGCTTTGCTGGATGTGGAAGAAGATGTCAGCTGGGGAGCAGCAACAGGTGCAATGGGGAATCAAAGGTATGGTGAAGGTGAGGAGGAGTCTGTCTGTAGACGGATGTGGATGGGCGTTGGATGTCTTACGTGGTGAGATTATGGACACCCTTCTCAGTGCTCGTCATCTTGGCTGCGGTCGAGTGGAAGCAGTTGATGTGATGTTTGTTCAAGGGCAACGACGTTGCAAGAGTCTTTCTTGCTGCTGCTGCTGTTGTTGTTGCTGGTGTTTTTGTTGTTGTGAATATAGTTTGTCTGGTTGTGAAGGAGAAGAAGAGTCTCGAGGTTCTAGTAAAGGATGCCAGAATGCCAGCTTTTTATGAGTAAAGTAGGCGAGAGGTAATTAGATAGGATGGGTGAGGGAATTGTTCGGAGAGAGAAAATGATTAGAGAAAGATCGGTGAGATTCTAGAGGGATCGAGTATCGGTGACGTAGTGTGGTGTAGTGTGGTGTGATATGGTGTGGTGTGGTGGGATTGATAATAAAGGCTTCGACGGGTGGAACGGCTTTTTCTTTCGCGCATTAGTCATCCTTCTACTGTCAAAAGCTTCCATTGTGAATAAGTAGAGATTTGGAATCCTGACTTTGAAAGGGACTTGAATACTAAAGTATTAACTTATTTACGACTACTCATGACCCCGTACGTTGATCATTCCTGCTGCAGTATTATCTCCAGCCCGAGACGCAAGGCCGGAGACTATCTTGCATTGGCGTCTACCATGATCTTCCGATTGCATTCTTCCCGACCCTCTGCATCTTGGAGATGGACATCTTATCATCACGCACGCTGCAATTACAGGGAATCCATCTCATCAATTTCTTCTTATCAATACATAGATAGATACGTGTCGGAAGAAAATGGCCTCAGGGAATCTCCTGCGCAATTGGCATGGAGACGACCTCGAGTAAGCGAGTGTGATCCTTGCCTTCTCGCACCGCTCCGTGTATGACAAATACTTTTCATGCCCAATCGAATTTGATGCTTTGTATGTTGGCATCCCAAGAAACATAGAGAACAGCCTTTCAGCTTCCTGTCTTTCTCTAGGCTATCATCATCATCATCATCATCGAACCTCGGCCTCCTTGCAATATTCACGAAGCCGAAGGGCGGTGTAGAGGTGTATGGGATGAGTCTGGACGGCAGGAGCTTCCTCGACCGTCGTCGAATAGCGAGCGAGAGCGATGACGGCCGTTGAAAGCGCATCAAACGCCCAAAAAACATAATGGGGTATAGTAGCGAGCGAAGCCATTTTTTCCATGCAGACTCCGATACACAAAAATTAAAAGATATGAAAATATTTGCTTGTGTGAACAGTATACCACCTTCTTCATTCAGTCAACATCTGACTCCGGAGGGTAGCCAAGCCTTGGCGACGGCATGCCCGAAGGACCACCAAGAGGACTTCGCTCCCCCGACGATGCTGACAGCCTCTTCATGTCCGCAGACGACCTCGGCGGCAGGTTCAAAAGCCGTGCACTGCCGGCGCTGATGTGCCGAGCGTGCCCTTTGCCCACATCCACACTGGTCGCTCGCTGAATCGAAGAATATGGGTTCTCAGGGCTCACGGGTGAGTCTCCTGATGGAGATGATTCCCCAGATTCCTCGGCGTTCTGGAAGTCATTGAGGAGACCTTCTCTTGATTTCGCTCGCTTGCCGGGTGCTTGCCGCACGATCGTAGGGTGCTTGCCGACAGCGCCATGCCATTTCCCTTCTTCTTGAGCTATTGCCGCTGGAGCAGGATGGAATACAGATTCATCGTCACTGTCACTACCAAGACGAGCCACAGGGCCCATATATGGCCGTCTCCTTTCCGGTATCTCGGGAGGTGCTTCATCTCGAGCTGGGGTGAGAGTCCCCATGTACTTCTCTTCTTCTGGAGTGCCTGCAAGATCGTCGTCGGATTGTCCGAGTTCTTGAAATTGTTCATGTAGAGATCCGCCACTCTCGCGGAGAGGCTGAGGTTGGGACAATCTCTTGACAGGTCTGCCAGTGAGCCACGACCCTTCAGAGTCGACGGATGCCAGTGACTGAGAGAGAATTGCGCTTGGTGGACCTTCTGGGGAGTTGGCGCGGCCGCGAAGGGATGCGTGTCGGCTCAGTGCTACTTCCTCCCGGAAAGCTGGATGGATGTCGGATAACGGTTTACCAGAGGCTGCAGTAGCGCCCACGATGTCTGTACCTCGAGACCCTGGGATATCTGGAAGCGGAGACTGTCTGCTCACTTCCGGAGATTGCATCCGAGAGTCTGGTGGCGAGATGGGTAACTCTGGAAGGTCTTCCCTGAACCTTGACTGGGTACGTATAGGGGTTCCTGATCTTGCCCGGGGTATCCTTGTGAATGCTGAGGGAGGCATCTGCCGGTGTACTGATTCTTTCGAGGTGTTTGAGAATTCCGAAGGAGCCACTCGTCCTCGATCGGTCGAGCCCCTCTTTGCCCTCGTGTCACTGCGGCGGAATATGTTTCTCCAGCTGGTCGAGAAGCGTGCGCTGGTGTCTGAATCTCGCCGATGATCTGGATCCAGGGGCTCGGGTATATCGGGCATATCTGCTGGCGCCAGCTCCGAAAATTGCGATAGGTTGGACGCCTCATGGATGTGACGTGTAGGAGAGGTTGGCGGTGACATGCTAGCGGAAGATAGCCGAACAGCTTTGGCGGTCTCGAGCACTACATCGTCACGATCATCTGGCTCCGGAGTAGGGCCTTCAAGGTGTGACGTTGAAGCTCCCATGACTGGGTCATGGAAGGGATCCTCAATGGGTAGATGTTCCCTCGAAGCATCTTTGAGCCATGACTCAGGTGTCTTGACAGCTTGCTCTCTTGTAGGCTCTTGCAACGTAGTTGCCAGATTTGGGGCAGTAGAGGCTCCTCCAATGCTAAGACCAATATCCTCCTCTTCCCTTGCCCTGTGATTGGGGTTCTCGTCAGCAACATCTCCCTCTCTGCCTCCAGGCTGCCTTTGCTTGTCAGCTCTCCTCTGGAGTCTCCGCTGCAGCTTCTCGTGCTCTGACCTCCTCTTCTTTTCCAAACGCCGTTGTTCTCTCTCCATCAGCTCTCTTATGCTGCCAGCGTCCATATCGTCAGCTAGATCATCGACTCTCTTCTTGGACCGCGTCGCCTCTTCTAATATCATTGGCTGCTTGTCCTTCCTGGTAGATGCCCTCGAAGGCCCCAGGCTACCAGATGCAGATCGTGGGTTCTCTGAATAGCGTATGGTTGGCCGTGGAGAAAGCGCGTCGAAAGCGCTGACCTTGAAAGCGTGCTGATCCGAGGCTACTGATAGGGCTGATTGCATAGACTCAGCCATGGGTAATGAGACGTCTGATATTGGTCTGTCGAGATTACGGTTCAGGCCACCAGGGATCTTCCTGCTATCCCGAGCGAGCATGCCGGGGTTATGGGAAGTTGGACGTTTTGGTATCGGTATAGGCGAGCTCATCGCTTTGATCTCTTGCTCGCGAGCATGGTCATTTGCCTTCCTCTTGCTGGACTTCCGTCTCATGATGCCCCCCTGATCATTGGCGCTTCGTTTGCCGTTTAGTGTTGGTGGTTGCATGACGCTGAACTTCTCTGGCTGCAAGCTGGTGGCCGACATTGGATTCTGGTAGTAATAGGACGGTATATCGCCACGTTCCTGAGGAGGATGTGAGGCCTGTAGATTCGACCTGTTGGCGCCGCCCTTCTCATTGAGCTCATCTTGCCTATGCGCCTGGGGAATGGCAGGAACGGCAGGTATGGCATCGACCTTCTCCGAGGTCCTCTTGGACGACTGATATGATTTCTGAAGTTTGCCTGACGAGCTCTGTCGTCGATTTTGGACCTCCTTTTGACTGGCTTTCCGTCCTAGGGTTGCAACACTTGGATCACTCGTTGCTTGAGTCGGTGCTCTCCTTGCAGGTTCGGATGGTGAGGATTTGGTAGCAGCCATTGCTCGATCTTCTGATTGCTTTAGCTTTCTAGATTTGCGGCCAAAAGGCCAAATTGCCATGTCGCCTTCAGGATCCTTTAGTAGCTCCTCTCCTCCACTGGCTCGCCGCCTTTTGCGACGCCAACATATGAGGGCCGACAGCTTGAGAGATTTGCGGGATTAAAGCGCGAATCAAGTCGCATTAATGGATGTAGATCTGTGGAATGATAACATCTCATGCGCGTGGTAAATTGATGTGGGCCGTGGGGCATACGGTAGAGTACTATCAACGGCGGAAGGTTCACGTCAGAATCGGGTTGCGACCGGATGTGTTGTAAGCGATGTGGTAGCTGAAGTGGATGAAATTCTTGGTGCAAGTAGAAAATGACGTGAAATTGAGACTCGAGGAGTTGGAGAAATGGTCACGACAACAAGACAGTGGTTGTCGGCCGACGGCGCTCTACTCCGGGTTGATCTGATGACATCTGGGTATGCCTGGTTGTGGTAATGATTTTGCTGAAGGGCGATTTCTTGAAAGTTTGCACCAAATCGCAGCGGCTTGGCGCCACAACCCTAGCGATTGGCCAGAATTTGAACAAGGGTGTAGCCGATGAACCTGGAGGTCTTCACTAGGTCTCCCCCCCTGGAGCACGCGAGATGAGATTTTCAAATCCTTGTATCACCGCTGTACAAAAACATGCAGGTCGTTCTGTATTTAGCAGAATGATAATGAGATGCAGTATCGACCTGGGGGAAAGTCGCGATCTGATTGGTAAAAGATTTACGGGTTCAGGGGTCTGCGTTTTGGCTGGCTTGGCGGGATCATCTCACTTCCCAATTCCCATCTCCTTTATATTCTTAGACAGACTATGATACAATTGGATAAAGCAATGAATGATGAATGACATTGTCTAGTACCTAGCCTTGTTCTAGATCGATAGTCCGAGACACCCTAGCGGTCCAATCGTTTATTACTTTGGAGTAGCTAGCATGGATCAAGCTTCGGAATTCATGAAACATTCAACGTTGAGAAAATAATTATTTTCTCTATCTGTGTCTACCTATCCTGAATCGAGCCTCACACATGCGTCTAATGACTTCTGATGAGGCTTCACCACGCCAAAATAAAAACAACTTCCTTCCTTTCGCGCATGGTATCATTCGTGCCAGTAATGATTCGCCATATGTCCAACGGAAAACGCATCGTTGCCCTTGACCCCCGAACGCCTTCGCTGTAGACAATTGTTGGGTTCGTTGGAGCTCTTCCTAGACCAGCAATGTCTGCCTTATGCAGTCCTGTTAAAATCCTCGCTCCTTGCCGATGCCGTCATGAATGAATAAAAAACTCCTCGCTGATGCTGCCCGCCAGGGATGTAGATGATCCCACAACAGAAACACCTGTGTCGCTATGCCGCCTTGCCATGGAAGGGTAATGGGATGTACCGGAGGGTGATGTAGATGTGAAACACGGGAATGGGAATAGACGTGTGAATTGGTGTAGTAGATTTTGGAAACATGTTAAGCGGTGATGATAGTGGTGATGACGATGATGATGACTGTGGGGGTGGGTGGTGTAAAGGCAAATGTCTTAGATGTGAAGGACCTTGATGCCCATGTCGATGACGGGGGTGTTCTGGTTCTGCTTCTGGGTCGCAGTGTATAGTGCACTGTTTGGATGTGCACCAGCAAGCCGAGCTGCTTTCAGAGATGCAAGTCTGTCGCGTTCATCCCGAGAGATCAGCCGCTTCCTTGGCTTGGCGATCACACGGGGCTTTTGGGGCTTCTCAGCATCGGCATCGTAATCGCCGATGTTCGACTGTACGCTAGAATTGCTAGAGTGTTGAGGAGGCTCGTCGGCCTGCTTCTTGGGTTGAGAGAGCCTCAAGCGGATAGGGCCTGGTTCGGCTTTGGGAGCAGCGGAGTAGTCTGACGCTGATGTGGAGACTGATGCAGATTCGGAGTCTTTGTATGTGGAGTCATTCCGCCAATCCTCTTCTTCGGTCTCATCAGGGTCGTAGGATTTCTCTCCTTTAAGGTTCGTGAGAGCTGCGGAAAGTTGCATGGGATCGGGAGACAGCGTGTTGGCCTCCTTTGTTCGGACGGTAAGATTTTGCTGGGGTTTCCCATGGCCAAGTGGCTGAGGTCGACTGGGACGGCGGTTCTGCTTCTTTGTGGGCTTCTGTTCCATATCCTCATCGCTATCTGCATCACGCTCTATGCTAGAACTGCCGCCGCTGCTTTGAGACGATTCCGGCATGAGACTCGAGACGGCATTGTCAACATTGCCTTTGTAGTCCTGCAAGGCCTTCTCAATGGCAGCACGGTCCGTGAGGAAAGGCAGCGACCGCATGACTTCGTCAACCATCCACGGCTTGACGTAGGTAAAATTGGCGAGCTCTGCGTTCATCTCGGCTTCAGCCTCAGCTGATGGTTTGGCAATGTTGACGTTGGGCGGACCGCTATGCGGACCAACGGCGTTGCGAATGGATGAATAGTGCTCCCATGCCTACGGATCTTGTTAGCTTTAGCCCGGCTTCGGTTTGGTAAGTTACTCACATGGTGAACAATGCACAACATCGGAGCCATCTCTCCTTCCGCTTTCTCACACCTGACATAGTAAAAGAAACGTCCTCCCTCCGAGAAGATCATGATATCCACTTTAAAGGCTTGAGCAAAAGCGATGATCTCCAGATTGTCCCCATAGACGCCTGTTTTGGCCATTGTCTTCATGTGCTGTTTATAAGCAGCGTCAACTTCTTCGGGAGTAGGTCCAGCGGGAATGGTAGAGGTGGCAAGAGAGCCATGGTTCTTGCGTTTTGGGTTACGACGAGAGCCGCCACCAGGGTGGACGACAAGGAATGACTTGAAGCGGTCGGGGTTATTCTTCATGTACTCGACTGTAGCATCACGAAGTTGCGTGTTGCATGATTGGTCTCCGTAGAGCTGGTCAGAAAGGGCGTTGAATAGGCAATTTCCTGCAGTATTCTCTCAGTTTAGATGCTAGGGAAAGGAGGGCAATGGGTTGGAATTCCTACCATTTCCGACAGTATCAGCAGCGTACAAGCCAATAGCTTTGAGCTCAGGAAATTCGTTTTTGCGTCCCATGATGGGCGTGATGAATGAGTGTAGGTCGAAAGAGTGTGTGAGTGGGGTGATGTGATAGTGGTGCGTTGTGGGGACTTGTATAGTGGAAAAGTGGGAGCAGGGCAGAGTACGTGGTAAGATGGTAAGGATGAAAGGTTGTGGTTCATGTGAGCGACGGTGGTGGAGGAATAATGAATTAAATTTTAATAGTAATAGAGGGGGTTGGTCTTTTCTCGTCCCAATAGGAATTTCATTCACATGAATGAAGGGGGTTGGTGTATTCCCCAATTCATTCACACGTGAGGCAGCACCAGAGCGTGATGATGAGCCCTGCTGCTTCGGAGTTTGGCTGCTCTTCGCTAAACGTACTTATCCCCTGAAAGCGCTAGCCCGCCCTATGAGGCTGAATAGTACTTCGCAGGTTTTTTGTTCAATTCCTGAGGTACTTGATTGACGTAGTAAAGTACTTTCAAGACACGATTTTCGTTTGATGACACTATTATGTGAAAAGGTGACTTGTTTCAGTGTCATTTGTAGAGCTCATTTGAGCGTCTGGTGCAGCTTACACAGTATGCAAGTTGCCACTCCGTAACCCCCTCATTGGCACATGCCGCTTTTGCTTTCCCACACTCGGATTCACTTTCTTGGCATTGGAGTCATTTGTGGATTTTAAAACCATTCAAGAGGCGGCATTTGAGGATATTGATCTAGATCAATGTCAGAAACACGAATTGTCGTAGTTGGGTAAGCCGGTGATGAGAAGATCTATCGCCACACTCGCCACCACAAGACTGACACTGTCCACGAGCATAGTGCAGGAGTAGCAGGTCTAACGACAGCACTTCTGCTGTCTAGAATTGCCAAATACAACATCACTGTGGCTGCAAAGCACATGCCAGGTGATTACGATATAGAATACGCATCTCCGTGGGCTGGTGCAGATTATCTGCCGTCAGTGATACAACCTCTCTTGCCATTCCTGCCGCCTTGCAGTCTCGAATAGTACGGTTATCGCTGACAAGGTTGTAGGGTTTCTGCTCCAGGTACTGAGGCTGCAGAGTGGGACAGAAATACCTGGACAGAGTTGGAAAAGTTAGCCAGGCATTCGCCTGAGGCCGGCGTGCATTTTCAAGGTCTTTGCTCTGGACCGTCCTGCACTCCGTCCGCTGATCTCTTTCAGATGCCTTCATATATAGTCGTAATACAGATTTTGAGGGCAGCGAGGGTTCTGCATTAGGAAAGGCGATGTCTTCAGATCCATGGTACAAAGACATCGTACCAAATGTAAGCATATTCTCGGTATTTTGGATCGGGTATTATTACCGCTTATACCGTTCTCTAGTTTAGGAAAATCCCCAAAAGTCAACTCCCAGCAGGATTTGATGACGGAACCTGCTTCAGATCCGTCTGCATAAACACAGCTATATATCTGCCGTGGCTCACATCAGAGTGCCTTAAAGCAGGGGTTGTCTTGAAGCGCGGAGTATTCGGGCACATTTCTGAGGCGGCACATACGCATCACTCGGGTCAGAAAGCAGAACTAATAGTCAATTGTACAGGGCTTTCAGCCGGTAAAATTGGTGGTGTCGAAGACAAAAGCATGGTACCCGCTCGGGGACAGACAGTGCTCGTCAGGAATGAGGCCATTGGTATTGTTGGTGGTTCTGGAACCGACGACGGCGATGATGAAGTCTGCTACGTTATTCCGAGAGCTGCGGGTAAGATCTTTAAACTCTATCGACAAGAGCATCAGAAGAAATAACACACTGTAGGCGGAGGTACAATACTTGGTGGCTGCTATCAAGAGGGTAACTGGGACTCCCAATTTGACCCGAATTTGGCAAACAGGATCATGAAGCGAGCTGTAGAGCTTTGCCCTTCTCTAACAGACGGCAAAGGAATCGAGCATCTCAGCGTTATTCGTCATGGCGTTGGACTCCGACCAGTTCGTCTCCGTGGTACTCGGATTGAGAAAGAGAAGATCAATGGGGTCTGGGTTGTCCATAATTACGGGCATGGTGGCTATGGGTATCAGTCCTCGTATGGCTGCTCTCAAGCTGCCGTGAAGCTTGTGGGAGAGGCATTAGCTGTCCGAGCAAGACTTTAGATCTGCATTAGCGAATTATTCATCGCTATAAAGCTCGTAGAAAAGCAACGCGCTCATCATCGATCTTTGAAGGAAGCAACAAGTGAGTGTGCTTATAACCCACGTCTAAGATAATCACCATAAAGGTCTACCAGGCGGGAATCCCCAGAATCTCAAGTCGTGCTTTAACACTTCATGAGAACCAGCACGAGCCAAAAGCGTGGCAAGGTGAAACGTGAGACTTAGACTTTTCGATATTGTTCGTCTCGGTGCTGCGCGTTCTCCACTAACGACTGACAGTTGTTACCGTTATACAATGAGTATGAGGCAATGAGCAGCGCTGCTCGGCAAACAAGCAATGGCGTTCATTGACTTGCTGAGGCTAGTAGTGCGAACCTCACTGTCAGCCTCCGGGCCGTCTTTGCGGCCCATACCGGTAGTTGATATGTCCCCGATTTTGACCAATCAACATCTGCGTTTCTGAGCCGCCGAGATCTTGAAGCATGAAGTAATTTCTGCAAGCCCATGTTTCGCCACCCGCATACCAGGCCTGCATTTCTTGTTTGGAGACCCAGACTCTGAGCTTGCTCCACTGGCAGCCTTCTACGGCTGTTAGTACTCGCGCTCGTTGTTTGAATAAGCTTGTACGTCAATTGCAAGCCTCATCTATGGAATTGACCTACCTTTTTGTGTTTGATCGATGCGAATTATATAACATATTTTTTATACTTGTCTTGATCCTTGCTGTTACTACTCTTGTTCAAACCTTCCTCAGTTTTTATTACTGGGATTGATAGGTTGCCAGTCTGGAACTCCATGATCCAGCTTTTATCACTCCTGTTTCTAGCGATGCGTAGCCTGAAGGTACTAAGTTGGATCTTGACCTCTGCAACTCAAACCGTGGCAGCGGCCCTTCCACATTAAATTGGCAATGCGGTTATCCTCTTCATTGATTTAATCTCCGTGCAGGCACCCAAGTTTCATTATGCGAAAAGTTTGGCATCAAAGCTTTACAAAGACAGCTACGCGTAGAGTACATCCGTCAAGGTATCAATCAGCGAAGTTTCCCAGCTAAAGAGAACCCTCCCACCTTCTCATTCACCATCCACAACCCATATATCCCTACCAGAACACAACCATCATTATTTAGCGTACTGGACAAATGCAGCTTAGGCTTTCTCACGTCTCCTCCGCCACAGCTCATCCTTTTCAGGGCTGGCGCCGCCCCCGCTCCTTAGGAAGACATACTAGGAGACAGCGAAGATAAGTGTGTCTTCTCTTCTACCACATTTCACCTGTTCTCATTCATCCCATATTCACTTGGGACTATATCCTATCAATTTGTATCCTGCGAAAAGGCTAAGATTCTTGGCCTATCCCGAACAAGCATTACTGACGTGTGGAGAAAATGCTTAGTGGGAACAATGAAAATGGAGCCGGGTCAGGAATCGATGACGACGACGGCAAGCCCACCTCCCAATACACAGACCCCGTCTAAGTCGACAACATGGGCGCGATGGTGACCTGCCAGACCATAGCCACAGCATCTTCGACACCCAAGATCAAGCCACACTCTTGAAAGGCTGGCTCGCTTACAGTGCACTTACCGCCAACGGCGGAGGACCTTACCTAGCCAGCCTGAGCGAGACGGTGTTCTGCACCAGAGATTCTGGGTATGACGGCTATGCTGGCATCGCTGGCAATACCCCAGCGGATGGACATCAGTACTGCAACAGCTGCTTGACAGAAGGCATCAACAGTGGGGCGGATGATATTCGGTGCCAGGTCAACGACCGGGCGGATGGTGGGACGGCGACTCTCGAAGATCACATGTATCCTGGTGCGAACCCTAAAAAGGGTCCTTCGGGTATTTGTACTGTCGACACTCAATGTGCTGGAAGAATTTGGAAGGTCGGATGTTAGATGTTGATTATGGAGAGTATCGGGCAAGAATATCCCATCTTTTGTAGCACAAATGGCATCAGCAGTACCTAGATAACGAGATAACGCAAGTTTTTCGGTAATTATGGCGATCCTTCATTTGCTCACAGTGATCACAGAGATTTGATACACAAAACAAAGAAGCTAACGCGCTGTACTAAGGATATTGTGAGGTTGTACGTATGCCAAGCCGCGCAATCCCTGCCGAGCTGTAACCCGGAGTCTTTGGCGCCCAACCTCCCAGCTTGCTCGCGACAACGTTCAAGAAAATTTCCAGACATTCTACATAAAGCTGCTCCTCCTTCCTTCCCAGTATCCATATTGCCTGTATCGAATCGACACATTACTACAGCAGACGACCAACGCTTCTCAACCTATCCCCTAACAACTCAGTATGGATCTCTCAAACATCTGTACGTTCCCAGCCTCTTTGAGATGCGATTTGGGCGCGCAAACGCTTTGCGCGACGACATCGCTTCTACGGATCAAATACTAATCTCAAGCTCTTTCTTCGCAGTTCGGCTAGTCAATCTAGCTGTTGGCGGTTTGATGATCCTCGGAGGCATTGGGCAGTTCTTCCCAATTGGATTGTAAGCCTTCATCCCTTGCCTTCTGAGACGCTTTAGCTAATCCTTTGCGATAGCCAAAGTGTTATCGTTGGATGCTATGTTATAATATTCGGAGCCGGTCAGCCCCAAGCAGCTTACCGCTAAAGGCACCCATGCTGACGATTGGTTATCCAGCGACCCTCTTGCTCGAATTTCAGATCCCGCCTTATATGTCGAGATGGGCGCCATTCCTCTTTAGCTTTCTTGGTCGCGGCATATGTGAGTTGGGAATGAGCTTGTCGGCATTGAGAACAGGGTCTGACACGGAGCGCCAGTCTACATCTTTGTCGGAACAATCCTGCTCCAAACATCGGCCATTCGTGTTGTCCCTGGCTCCATAATTGCGATCGTAGGCCTCGGCTATGGCATACTCGAGTACATCCCATCGATTGAACCGCCGCAGAACATGAGAGACGCCAGTGGCGAAGTAAGGCTTTGAACCCTTCCTTCTGAGACACGTCAACTTATTCTTTGCGACAGTGGGGAGCCGAGCAAATATGAGAGTCTCAAAAGGGAGGAAGGAACTACATGGAACGGCGAAGGGAAGGAAGAGGATTGCGTTTTGATATATCCGAACTACCTAATCACTATGCCTGTATCTACGGTTGAGAGAGAGAGCCATAACGTAATGGTATTAGCGGTGTGTCTTGGGTGGGATGAAGAATTTTTTTGGCCTGTTCCTGGTGTTGCATGTAGAACAAGGACTGCCTTTTACCGGAGTCCAACCCATCGCCCGCTGGTCTATGCTTGGTATTGTTCACAATCCTAGTATGCTACACATGGAGCCTCGCCAAGGCGGAAAGGCCAACCTTACCAACACTTTTCTATGGACATGTACGTTGACACATTGTTTAATCTTATCACCTAACATGGAATTTTGACCAGAGCATTCATAGCCAATGAGAGATGGATCAAAGGGATTGATAATGCAATCCGGGGATTTAGTGTGGCTTTAAATTTGCTTCATGCGAATAGGGTAAATGCACGCGAATCCGATCGGGTGGGTCACCGAAACCCAGGCGCCACTGGTGACCCTCTTCAGGTTCGAGTTTGCCTTGCCGATATAACCCGATATAATATTCACATTTACTCATCGACCTCCCTTCCAACCTACCTGAGGTACATCTCGACATCTCTACATCTCTACATCACTAAAAGAAGTCACTCCTGAGGTATTCTCGGAAGGAGAAATAGACCAACTCCAGAACCAGATTACTGTATTGATCCTACATAAGGTTCATTCTTTCCCGTCACTTGCAAGATCCGGCAAGCCAAGCTAAGCGTGTAAATCCAGTCTGCCATACGAGGCATCCCCCTCGATAACTCCGAGGTAGTCTTCCCGGATTCTCCGCAATCTTCTACCAACCAGCATTCACATACAGCCCAGGCCTGTCACCCTTCCGCTGAACACCTTATCAATCTTCGCTTCAACATCACGACCCACACAAACATATCCTTCTCTTCACCAACATGGCAAGCTAAAAGGCCTCATTGAGGCGCTGGCATAAGAGATGGGTCCGCAAGACACTTCGATACTACAGCAGCAGTACCACCATTTCCCGAGGCAGTCCGACGTTGATTTCGAAGCGGCGGAGCAGCTCCTACAGCATTCGCGAAGGGGCTGGGAGAGCAATGGAGACAGCATGCCTGGCTCGGCGTTGGAACCAGAAGCATCTACAACAAATTTCGCGGAATTAAATGGGGATGGAGGACTAGGGGATGAACCGATTGAGGATGAGAACGGAAACGGAGAGTCTCCCCTACAAGAGCGTCATGTAGACGCACAATATGCCCCCATCAACAATCAACCTCCTCTGGGGCAGGTTTGCAGGTATGCACCAAAATATGCACTCCGAGTGTGAAACTGTTGTCTGCGGTAGGACACTAACAAACGATTTTCAGCAATTGCGCCACTACACGCACACCTCTTTGGCGACGATCGCCAAATGGTTCGACTATGTGCAACGCTTGCGGGTTGTACTCAAAGGCACGGAACATATCTCGACCAACAAGCATGAAAAGGCCTTCTTCAAACCCTGTCTCGGCGCACGGTTCGGAGATGGATCACCAAGAGCCTCAACGAAGTGTCTCCCCGCTGGCTAACGACGTGGGACATCACCACCGATCTACCTACGTAGCAGCGGGTCAGATACCCAAGGGCTCGTGTCCTGGGGGAGGGCATTGCAATGGTGCTGGAGGCGCAGATGGCTGTAACGGCTGTCCAGCGTTCAACAACCGAATTTCAAAGACAACGCAGGTTGCTTATAATCCCGTACCAGGCACAGCCACCCCAATCGATCATCAGCGAGGCGACGAATCGTACGCTGCAAATACATCCCAAGAGGATATCAGTCCACGACCCTCGATTGCACCAGATACCTCTACCATCGCCCAAAGCACTACAAGTCTTGTACTTTCTTGCCAGAATTGCGGCACAACTATCACGCCTCTCTGGCGGAGAGATGAAAGCGGCCGAACGATATGTAACGCGTGCGGTAAGGGTAACGTTTTGAACACGATCTCAGTAGCTAATTCTTATCAGGGCTCTATCACAAACTTCACGGCGTACATCGACCAGTCGCTATGAAGAAATCCGTTATCAAGCGGAGAAAAAGGGTAGTGCCTGCTACCAACGAGCAAGATCCAAACGCTTCTCAACTCTCAACCTTTCCTGTCTCACCGTCGCCTACTCCACAACATCATGAAAGTCACGAAGGTCGGGGCAAGCAACGAGCTTTTTCAAGCATGGAAGCCGGACCTCTCAACCTTGACCTTCGCCCAACTCCAGGCCATCTCGATAGTCCAGAAGTCAGAAACAGACAGCGCATTGAGTCTAGCATGGACCCCAATAGTCCTGCGAACCTCACTCTTCGCCAGCACGAGCGTCAGTTAGAACATCAGCACCAATACGACCCACCTCCAATAGGAGTAGATTTCACAGGCTATCAGTTAAATCAACGACAGGATCAGCGACGGCGACCATCGAGCCATCCACAGCAAAACCTTCCCTCTTTATCTAGCATGCATGATTCGTCTATGCATCGTCCTTCCGACCCTGGATCGTATCCTCGATTGAGCCCGCTTCCGGGCTCTTCGTCTCGGAAGCGAAGCCATTCCAACACAGACCAAGACAACCCCTCACCATCTACCCCAGAGAGCGGAAGCGCAAAACGTCTAAGCTCCATCTCATCTATCTTGAACCATCCTCAATCTGCGGTTGATGAAATGCCGATCGATCCTAACCTATCCGGCATAGGCCACCAGCAGCAGCAGCCGCCGCCGCTGCATCGACATTCACATCCAGAATCTCAACCGCAACGATATCAACTACCGCCTCCCAACAACGGTCCCAGGCAAAGCACGAGCAGTGATCCGGGTGGGTGGGAGTTGAGAGAGAAAAAAGCAAAGCTGAGGATGGATTTGGAGCAGATGAGGTTAGACCTCAGAGCAAAAGAGCGGGAGCTCGAGGAGCTGGGTGGTGATGGTTGAAGGCATTGTACAGACATATTCATGCTCAGGAGATACCATTGGCCATAGATTGGAGCGTCGCATACAAGTCAAGCTTTATTTCTGGAAGCGCTCACAATGCTCCGCTCTAAATGAGGTATCCTACAGACACAGTTTTGATGAAAATCCTTAAGCCGCTGCCGATTTCGGCTTCTTAGTCCCATACTTTGACCGTGCGGTAATGCGATTCCCAACGCCACCCTGTCCATAATGTTAGCCCATCAAATTTGACCAACCACATGAATCTTTCAATACGTAACTCACCAGATCCATTGCTCCTCTAACAAGATGGTACCTCACACCGGGACAATCCTGACTCCTTCCCCCTCTCACCAGCACGACACTATGTTGTTGCACATTGTGCCCTGTATCACGACTCAATCAGCCAAGCATTCCCTCTTTACCATCTCCTCGGAACCCCTCCGCGTCTCCAATCCCCCCACCACCCCTTTCTCCCTCCCCTTACCCTCCTACCACCACGCGAATAACGAGGAATATTCACGCACCCTCCCCAGGAATATAACAAGTAACAGCCCTCCCACTACTCAGCCTAACCCTCGCCACCTTCCTCTCCGCGGAATTCGGCTTCTTCGGCTTGAAATTGTTGACGACCCTCAAACAGACGCCTTTCATATGCGGTCGGTTTACCAGCGCTGGCGACACGGGATGACGGGCGCGTTGGGGCTGGCGGGGCTTTTTGAGCACTTGCATCAGGGTTGCGGAAAGGGAGGTTGTTGTCGAGAGGGTGCGGTTAGTGATGGTGTTGAATTTCTTGAAAGTTGACGGCAGAGTGGGCCGGAACAGCGAGGGGAGGAGGAATGGGAGGCGTAGGAGGGATGGCATGGTTGATGGTGGCATGGTTGATGGTGAGAGATGGAGATGGTTGGTGAGAGCAAGTCGAGCGTGATGGGCGCTAGTGGCTGCCAAGATCACAAGGCTGAGCTAAAAGCGCCACCGAGATATCACCCGTCGTCCAAAACTGTTCGAGCAACTTTTACCTCCCGTCTTCTCCAATCGATAGTGTCGGTGACAGTCGTACGGGCCCGCTCTTCCATCTATCAGGTACGAGTACGGCTATTCGCACGGACTTTATATCACTCGAGGTAGATGCTCAGGCCTCTTCCCCTTTGGACACAATGGTTAGGGTTGCTTCACAAACCTTCGGGTCAATCAGCTTAGTTCAGTTCGCTATACCAATGGCAAGTCGGCGCGGGGCACCGCGACAGTGGAACAACCTGGGACTGCACATCATGATGCCACGTACTCTTTGGGTACATTGGTCTCCCGACACTCCGAGCAAAAGCGTGGGAGAGAGGGGTGGGTCTCTTTATCTAATCTTACGGATCGTCGATTTTTCACCAGGCGAGCAAGCCACCCACTCGTGCCACTATGCAACCGGGCCGCACTGAGGTAGAGGAGTACTCCCTGTGCCCAATGAACCGGGTAAATTGATTGTACTGCTTGAAAAGCTGACACCCCTTCGATAAAAACTGGTCTCGCACGGTTGTTTTTTTTTAGAGGGAGGAAGAGTTTATGGCTTCAAGACTGCCTTCAACACTCAAGAACGACCACGACCGAAAAATGCCTCACACCCTCAAGTATTCCTTTGGGCACCATATCTCAGTTTTACTTCCTGCACGACGGCCTTACAAAGACAGCATGTTTGATATGCATCAAGGAGGATGCTTCGCACCCCTGGACTTTGGTGACATTAAGTTACTTTTTTGCAAAGTACCTCGCTTCTGATCGGAGACTAATAAACTTCCCAAAAGAGTACGTCGGACCGGGTCGTGTCCCGTGTGACACCTCGAAATGTAAGCCACCAAAGCTTCGACAACATTCACACTCGTCGTGGAGCAGTGAACCTTGCCTGCTCATCAATGATTGTTCACTTTCGATCCGGGATAACCTTGTTTGTCCCGGACAAGATGGGACGAGATTTCACGCTTCTGCCATGGGCTTATACATACTCTAATTATAACCCTGTCGATAGAAGTTGATGCTCTCTATGCTATTGGTAACGCCTTGTGTATGTGCTATGTGCTGACGGCAGCTTTGGGTATAGATCAGCAGTATTCTTCCTAAAATCGAGATTACGATAAGGCTACAAAACGTGTTCGAGTCTCTCTACCTTCCTATCACAGCCTGACAGGCCAGCTAAGAATACCGATTCTCGCAGTCGCAATTCGGGGACTCTTGACGGTCTTTCCTTTCCGTAATCGTCCTCTCGAGTCTTACAGCCGCAGTGTACATTGTCGCTCGTTAACTCTAGGGCATCCCGGTCAAGCGAATTTCCGTCCCCACCTAATGAAGAACGCCCTTCCTGCAAATCACATAATTTCTAGCCTTGCATTAGATCCTGATCGTGTAAACCTGCTCTGCATAGCGTTTCTCCAACGAATACCGCTTTTGGCCTCTCGAGAAAGCTCTAGACCAGCTGCAGAACAGTTTGCAGCGCATACTCGCATCCTCTTTCTTACTGGTCATTAGGTCGGCAATTGTGCCGAGAGGCTCCCTTTCCCACGTTGTTGGTAGCCGCCCTGAAAAGCACTGGATCTACAGACTACGGGAGATATGAGGAAAATACGGTTTTTACTGGTCGAAACGAATATATCTGGGCTTCTCAGAAACTCACCCCACACCCTCTAGGAGCAGCTGAATGCACTTTACCTCAAAAATTCCAGATGAAATGCGAGCTAGCAGTTGACCCAATACCTCGCAGTAAAAGTGGGGGGTCTCCCATGTCAACAGACATAAAGGTTCAGTAGCCAGTATGTCTGATTGTATGTTTTTCTCGGCTTCGAGTCGCCTGAATCTCTCCTTCTTCTTGGAAATAAGCACGTGCTCAAGATAGAAGTTGTGGGGCAATACTATCTCGATTATGTGGCTCCAGTCTGTCACTCTCGTACTCGTTGCGGTACTTCCGGCTTGTGCAATAGGACAAACGGACCAAACAGCTGCAGCATCCCCTTCAGCAACAACCACTTCAGCAACAACCACTTCCCCGGGTCATTTCGATGCTGTTACTTCTTTGGGTGGAGTACTCGCTGGAGAGATCTCTTCTTACTTTGCTCAACTTCTCCCGTCTGCCACCTCGCCCCCCACGCCGGACGAGATCAACGAGCCTCTGGACATTATCATCAATGGCAGAGTATATCCTCCAGTCATATATGATGGGAATGTAATCACGTAAGGACGTTACTCTTGTCTCATGGTGGAGACACTTACGCTGTATGTAGACCTGAAGGCTTCAGTATTGACTGTATCAACTGCGACGTCTTTGGCAACATCAGTCTCTCTGGCGGTGGCAAAATCCCTGACGACCCATTCCCCGGCAGCCAAATCCCGACCCCCACCGATGTCCTTGAAATGCACCCCGACTTCGACTTCTCAGGTCTCTGGGTGGGTGCAACATTCGATGCATTAAGCGCTCATTTCGACTTGACCGTCAACCTAACTGCATTCAACCAAACGTCCAACCAGACGAACGAATTCCTTATACCTTTACCTTCGAAAACTTTCACAAAAAGTGTATGTGCTCGCGGTTTGCCCAGATAGTTCTTGGCTTATTCTACAGATTGGTGATTTGACTATCACGGCTACTCTTAATCCGGAAATTTATGGATGGATCAATACCACAAATAATGTCAGCTTTACATACGGCTTCGATTTCGAGGTAAGTGGGTTGTACAAACTTTGAAGACCAAGACTAGATCATTTTGGCATAGATTCCGCCCGGCTCTGAGCTGCTTCTTCCGTTGGAATCTCTCAATCAGTCGATATCTCTTGGATTGTAAGCATCCTATTCTCGAGTGAATATCTTCAAACAAGCTAATGGTATCAGCAACGAATCGACACTTACTCCAATCCCTTTTACATCTTCAACAAAAGATCTGAACATTGGCGTTGAGTTCTCCTTCCGCCCCTCTGTCAATTTCGTCGCCTCTATAGGTGGGCTTCCTGTCTCCCTACAAGTTGCCGTGACCCTCGACATTCCCAAACTCGACGCCACAATCATGCAAGTCCACAACGTCACCGTCTCCTGTGACCCTGCCCCAGCATCCCTCCCTGCGGATCAAGTCTACCAAAACCTCACTCTGGTCGTCCCGTCGATCGGGGTCGACGCGCTGGAAGTCTTTCAAGAGGCATTGAACCTCATCCTCGTGAAACCCTCGGACACCCAGCCGTTCTCGCAGAATTACTCCACCAGCCTCCCGACCGCGTGCTACGCCTTCAGTAGGGCCGAGAAGACGTTGATTGCCGCAGCCCAAAGCAAGCCTTCGGACACTTCGTCCGCAACGAGCACCCAGGTTCCGCTGTCGGTGATTTCCATGGCAGTGATTCTGGCGGTCTTCATGGCGATCTGATGGCTGAGTGTCACAGATGGGGGTGGTGTCGGTGCGATTGATCAGGGCTGCTGTTGCTGGGTAGGGGCATTAGGGCCTCTGTTGTGACTATGGTGGATGTCCGAGTAACGAAAACATTATAATGGTTCCATATCTTTGAGCAGTCCCCGTCGGGCGAGCAATGGATCGTCTTCGAGGCACACTGTCTCTACCTTTGTACTTAGACGGTTCCCGCTGTGGCCTGAGGTCTCCGGACAGGATACCCCTCTTGCGAAGAACTACGGATTGACAATTAATGATTTTGGTATGAAATATCCCGCTGCCGCGTAATATTCTGCCACGAGTCCCGTTGTTGCAAAATAATCGTATTGCGAAGTGGAAGGTTTTTTTTCGTCCGGAGACTGAACTACAGCCCCCCCCCCCTCCCCCCCAAAAGCCAGCGAGCACATTTGGGTCCCAGGTTGGCATTGTAGGAGAGGTGGTGGGTCAGAAATTCGTAAGGATGGATTGGCTAGGCTGCATGGTTAGGGCGAATCATAATGACGGGCGTAGGGAAGACAGGCCTTTAGGAGATGAGCGGGCGGTTGCATCAACGACCATGTGTGTAAGCGGTTCATCTGGTCTTGTAAAAAGAACCCGAGTTCTTCTTCTACGTCTATATGGTTGTATCTATTTTTCGATTCTAGCCGTGACAATGACCAAATAATTATGCAAAAAGGATGGTGGGTTTCTCTCCAGTATGCACGAGCTCGGATGCTCTCGGTTAACACCTTCAGAAGGGCCCCCACCCGATTTAGTTCTTCTCATTGGCTTTCTCTGCGCTTTCGGCTGCCAGCTCCTTGACGCTGGTCTTTCCTTCGCTGTTGGTTTGGGCGGTAAGTAAGCAGGCTTTTGTGGTCACAGGTGGGATACAGCTTACAATATGGCCTTTGTGGTTGCGAGGATTGATTGCCAGTCCTCGAAGACCGTGAAAGGAACACCTTCTCGCTCGCAGTATGTGATGAGATCTGAGGTCAAGTCAGTCAAGTCCGGGAAATAGCAATTGATTGAGCGGTCAGCTCACCGTGGCCCTTCTTGGCAAATAGCAGATCGGTCTCCCTTGCTGCCGATAGATCTGATACTCCATCTCCAGCATAGAACATGGTCGGTCGTGGCTCGTTGGGATTGTCCTCGAAATACTTGGCATAGGGTCGAATGGTCAGAGACTTGTCGTGACCGAAGCCACTTTCATCATGGAACTTTATTTGCCAGCCGGCTTCCTCTGCCATTTTCTTTGGGGGCCTATCCGCAACCTCATTGCTCACGATCTCAATGTCATTACCTTCTGGTCCGATCAGATGAACGAGAAGAGCTCGAATGATTGGTGTCATGCCCGAAGAGAGGACAATGACTGGGACACCATTCTCTCTCGACCATTTGTAGAAGTCGTTGAAGTATGGGTCGAGTTTGATGTTGTCGCAAAGTGCTTTGATGCAGTCAGGGAAAGGCGTTTTGACGCTGTCCATCATGGCTCTGAAGGAATCGCTGGAGTGCTAATCAGCCCATCAGATATCCTCTCCTTTTCAAGGTTGCGATGCATACCGAAATGTGTCTTTTCCCTCCAGGACTTCCTTATTTCCCTGGCGGCGACGGTCCCCACCAAAGCCAAGATTGTCGGTCTGAAGGTCATATGAGCGGGATGGGCTGGAAGGATACTAGGACTGCATCTACCATCCAGTCATTGCTATCATGAAGGGTGATTGTGCCTGTTTTTTGGTCAGCCATTGCCAATTCCACGTTCCTTGAATGAATGGACTGCACCATCAAAATCGGTGAAGAAGATGCACTTGGGCTTTGCTTCCAACGTCTGAGGGAAAGGCATCTTGGAATCGACCCTATCAACGAACAGTCACAACGATGGAGTCCTCAACCGAATGCCGCGGAATTGATCAATGCTAAGGTATACATTCCGCTGGACTTTTCGCACCAAGCTTTGGCGCGAAAAGCGGGGCATCAGCTCGTGCCAAGCTCGCCAAGGCACTGTTTACACTCCCCGCTCTCTCCGCATACTTTCCACGAGTCATCATTTCGAATCGTTACTCGTGTCAAACTTTTCCCACTTTCATCAAGCTTCTGTCAAGTATCTTGTCTTTGACACTCTGTGGCTTCAAGCATGTCGTTCAACGCTTTGCCAAACGAGCTGATCTATCAGATATCACAGCGAGTCCAACCAGCAGATCTCGAGAACTACGGTCGAACAAGTCATCGCGTCAAAGAAATCGCAGCGCCTATCCAGCAGGAACACAGACAACTAAAAGCGGAGTATACAAAGATCAATGTCAACCATGTCGCCGCCGCAAATATGCTGTACGAGATGTGTGCGCGGCCGTGGATCGCGCTCTATCCCGAGTCGGTAGAACTTCGAGGCCACAGAAGCTGGAGGAACTTTGAAGGACCTCGCAACAAAGAGAGGACGGCGTTGGTGGCAGAAGTTACTTGCAAGAGAAGCCTTGTGGAGGAGGCTGACTTGAGGGATATTCTCCGCCGAACCAGACTCATACCGGCACATGAGGTGGACGGATGGCTGGAAAAGATCAATATAGGCGATGAAGACTATCTATTCGCTCTCATGCTTGCCTGTCTTCCAAACATTCGAAGGCTCACGATTCGGTTGGACCACACTAAGTTAGAGCAAGTGAAGGAGATGATACGATTGATCAAACGGCAATCCCTCGACGTCCACGGTGACAGAGCTCTGTCAAAGCTCAAGGCTGTATACGTATTGGAGAAGGACACTTCTGAGAACGGCGTCTGCGATCTGGAGATGTTCCCTCTGCTCGCCTCACTACCGGGCATACAATCCATGCATGGCCGCAACCTGGTCGGAATGTACCGAGACTGCTATCGAGATGGTTGGCTTGATTACCCTGGCGCGAGCCCGACTATTGAGCATATATTCTTGGAGACCTGCGGCATGAGTGTGGAAGGGCTCGAGAAGCTTTGCAATAGTATCGAAGCATTGCGAAGCTTCAAGTACATTGCGCATCGTGCAGGATGGGGACTGCACCGTATCAGTGATTTGCTGAAAAATGCAAGAGGTACATTGGAGGAACTAGTTCTATCTACCGGTTCTGGGCAGAGTCGGTTCATTGGCACTTTGAGAGGCTTCACGGCGCTGAAACATGTCAAGGTCGACACTGACATGCTCTTCCAACGGGGCAAGATGTCAAGGGCAGTGGACATTCTTCCGGCTTCTATTGAGACAGCAACGATCGCGGGCAACAGTTTGACACGTCCACACGAGGAACAATTCCTGTCCGATCTCTATCGTCCCAGTTTTTCGTACCCGAACCTGCGGAAGTTACAAGTGGATGACAGTTGGGGGCACCGGGACATTGGGAAAGACCGCCTGAAGTTCCAGAAAGAGTTTCACAAACAGACGTCTTCCTCGTGGATGCTCCGCTATAGGTAACTTCATTTTGGGAGTTTAAGGTGTTTGGAAAATGGTCTTTTTGCGAAGGTAATTGTGTCATTGTGCTTTAACGATCGGAATTGCTCAGCAAGCATCTAGGGTATCGACCAGACATGGTGGAAAAAAATCTGGGCTTGCCACTCTTTAGCATTTGGTATCCCTTCCTTCTGCCAGTGGACGCTTGGACGTCGTACATTGTAGCACACAAGCGCCTATTAATTTCGAATTTCCCGAGCCTTTCTGCGCACACGTGTTCCTCGATCCGGGCGACTGTTCCGTCTTAGGACACTGTGGTCTTAGGTCTTTTCGCGCTTGTTTTCGGACAATATGGATGACCAAGGCCCGCTTGTCTATGTGTTTCGCCGTGCTAATCGGTGCCACATTCATCAGATGTACAACGCATTCCTCGAAAATTGTGAGGTGCTTGTCCCGTGCTTGCTGCCAGTCTGGACGCTTTACCTCCGTGAGTTCCTTCTCGATTCTCGAAGATGACGTCGGCCCTTGAACTTGACGTAATGCAAGAAGTGCGTTAGAACGGTACTTTTCACTTCGTCCTGGATCATTTTCTGCTTGGCCCTTTTGAGTCTTTCGGCTTCTGCTGGCAACTCTGTGCGCGGAAAATCTTCTAGGATCATCTTCTCTGCCTCTTCAAGGCGCCGGCAAGTCATGGAGAGCCTCACGACTTCTTTGTTGGCTCCCATCGCACCAAGACAATCGACACTATGGAAAATTTTGATGGTCTAGCTTTGCTTGGAGAAGAGGCCTCGGGCATACAAAGCTGCCATGATCAGGTGCAGAACTCGTTGAGACGGTCAAAAGCATCTTCGCAGATTGCCCGGTCCTTCCATCCGACTACACTTTCCGCGGCGATCCAGACCCTTCTAGATGTCGTTGACTAGGACCCTCAGCCTCTTCCATGCTGTGCTTTTTGATTTTCGTTGGCATACGAAAGGGTTGAGGGCCGATGATGGGAAGATATGTCGCTTAAGAATGGAAGGCAGTTGGGTTGATGAGCTGGGAAGGAGCAGGAGTATGCTGATCTTAGATGGTTTCTTGAGTGCCTGAAAGTTCATCTATGCCGTGCAGCACGTAGTGAACGGTAAACAGACATGGTTGAACATTTAGGGTCAAAGGCATTGTAGGGATCACTGTGACCAAGACTTAGCGCACTGTTTGATCCCTTGTGTGTTTTCCCTGCGTAAGCCCTAATTTTTGAACCGGACCTTCTCCTCAATATCCATGTCTTCAGATCGATTGGCACAAATCGCGGCAAGATATGACCCATGATCCTCTCCGCGATTCCTCCATGCGTAAGCCTATGTTCTGCGCGTGCCTTGCGCCGCCTAAAATCTCAATGCAACAATTCGTAAGCCGAGCCTCAGCCCAAGCTCGATCATGGCTATACCGAATACCGAATACCGACCATCGAGCATCCATCCCCCGCAACGAAGTCAGGATTGCACTTCTCTCACAACGCAATGATTTCCACCACCATTGAGATCAACGCACCGCCCTCGAAAGTCAGGAGCGTGGTACGTCCCACGAGCCTCCTCTGCCTTCCCCATCACCTCGCACACTAACACCCACCACCCCTACCAGCTCCTCGACTTCCCCAACCTCCGCACCTACCACACCGGCCTCTTCAAAGGCATCACCCCTCTCGAACCCTCCTACCCCGACCCCTCCGCCCTCGCCCCCGGCAACACGCTCTTCCTCGAGATAGGCCCGCCGTTCACCGGCACCATCACGCAGAACACGCCCGACTGCTTCGAATGGAAGGGACCGCCCAACTACGGCATACTGTCGGGCAAGCACACGTTCACGTTTGAGGAGAGCGAGGTGACCCCGGGGGGCACGACGTTGGGTCAGAGTGAGGAGTTTGCGGGCGTCTTGTTTTGGGCGATGAGTCCGTGGCTGATGGGGAGGATACTGAAGGCGACGTATGAGGGGTTCAATGAGGATTTGAAGAGGGGCGTTGAAGGGACGACGGAGGGTGCGAAGTTGTAGGGCTTGTCTCGTGACGTGGTGGTGGCCAGAAGCCAGCCGTTTCTCGGTTTCTTTCACACTAGAGGAGATATCCCTCGGTGATTTCTTTGTAGCTACTTTAAGGATCAACGAAGTTTAACCCCATATCTCTGCGGAAATATTCTTGAGCTGTAGACCCTACTTAGACAGTCGACTTTACAGAGGACAAAGTACGAGCGTTTCAGTTGTGTACCTTATTCGATTAATAGCTGCCACCCTTCGCAGTGCTTGCTCCGGATCCCCAGCCCCTTCGGCGATCTATGCACTGGGATCTAGCCAATGCTTCTCTTTGATTTCAGGCTCTAATATGATGGACAATCAGAGCTGTCTGGGTTCAGCAAGCCGCCAGTGGAGCATCTAGAGGCAATTGCGAGCTACGTTGTTCTTCCTCGCACCTCCTCACAGCCACAGCAGTCGTCGTCTAGCCACGACAACTCTCTTGTTCCGTTACAGAGAGAGTAAACTAGTTTTGTCTGTCTTGGGTATGAAGAGACCACTAGACCAAATCATCCGAGGTCTCTGTGTCTCATTTTTAAAAATATTTCTGTAGTAGCAACGAGCCGAATGTATCGAGACATCGAGTCCAGATGTCGTGCAGACGATCCGGACTCTGCCACTCTCTATAAAATTGAAAACGAAGCCTCTCTCATGTGCACTCTGTGACCGTCGGAAGTTCTTGAATGAAGAAGCTCCAGCTAGCAAGGCTCTAGGCCAATTCTCCACGCAATACCGGAAGATTTCTTCACAAATTTCGACTACTACTTTTACAGCCTGGGTGGTCGTCCAGAAGCAGGAGATCTGCTTTATCTCTGGAGGCATCAGAGGAGCCTGCGGAACCTCGAGATTCAACCCTTGGGCCAATTATTCCGATGTGAAAGCGATGTTCCAGGGTGGAAGACACAACAGTCACTCGATACGATTAGGGATTTCAAAATCAACCCTGGAAATGATAGTAAGTTAGTAACACAGAGTTGTTGCCAGCTTTGTTAGAAACTGTTAATCTAGAAGCGCTGCGTACATCAAGTTTCGCAAGGTTTGAGGTAAAGGGCTCCCACGCAGACGTCCCACGTTGACTCGGGTTCTCGAAAGCCTGCTGAATCGTCTTCCTCGAACGTTGAACAATTTGGAGCTCGGTGCGTGGGCATGGCACCGACTTTGGCTTCCATACGTCGACTTACCTTCGAAAATATTTGCCATCCGATGGAACCTAGGTAAAGCAGACGTAGAGTCTTCGGTGTTGGCTGACTTCATTCGACGGAATCAGGGTCTAGAAGTATCATGGATCTATTATCCCTTTCCCAATAAAATTTATGACCCGTTGGCTACGACGATCGCCACGAACAGGTAGAGCATGAGATCGCTGTATAACAATACGCAAGCTCCACCTTATGAAACCTACCTAGCCTCGTCTCCGCACCTTGAAGAGCTGACTTTGAACATTTTGGTCCGAGGACACTCGAGCACTGCGTAGAAAAACAGACATCCTTAAACTAACGAAGACAGGTAATTCTCACAGGGTTGCCAAAAAGAAAGAGATCCCGAGTCTCAGGTAGTTACCTCACCAGTAGGGCTTATCTTCGTCAAAGGTCCTCGGCTTGCCACTAACTGCACAGTTGCGTCCATGGTTTCATCCTCCATATCCAGCTTCTTCCAACTCCACACATTCATTATCAACCATAAATAGATACGGTTCCGGATTCCTGCCACTTCCCAAGAAAACAGCTCCGAAACAGAAAGCAACGGATACGTTCCTCGAATACGTACGCCGAGGTCTGGCGTATCAAGCCGGTCCAGATATGTGACTGACGGTGCGCTCGCGAGCAGCAATGGTTACCAGTCAGAGACGGCGGAGGCGGTCTGTTCCAAGAAGAGGAGGAGTTTTGACGACTCGCAGATGAAGCGATCTCTCTCCGTCCGCTTCCCACACGAGATGCGAGACATGACCGTCGAAGATCCCCTGAGAAACAGAACAGGAGACCTCGGCATCCACCAAGTTTTCAGCGCTCTAGGCGAAGAGGCATTGAGGCGTATCAGCCAGGAAGCGATCCGCAGAACCTACAACGGCGGTCCTGATCACGTGAATCCCAAAAATTTCGAGGCCCGCGAACCCAACAGGAATACGCGGTGTCGAATTCCGCTTCCGTTCCCATATGTCTAACCGCCTCTTCGAGAACCCTGCCCGCTGTGACCGAATTCCAAAGAGAACTGCGCTTGGTCGAGCTTTCTAAAAGTACTTTTGGTAATACTCCATAATAGTCATGCTGCAATTTTCGTCTCTTCTGTCCAATGAATTCCATTGATGCTTGCGTTTTGAAACAATGGTTGGAGATGCAACAGGCCACATCGAAATCATTAAGACATAAAAGATTTCGACATAGAAAATCAAAATTGAAAGTGAAAGAACCCAATGTCCATACCCGCGAAGGACTTGCCACCAACTGTTGGAAATTCTGATCTTTCAAGCTTCCCTACGTGGCAAGGAGAAAGGAAATGAAGGAAGAAAGGAAGGCCCTGACATGGCGTCAATTTCCCCCCACCCTTTCTTTACCGCACGCCCTCTGAGCTCTCTGACTGATCCCTCCACTGCACATCGGAATCACTGACTCTGAAGATTTCCTGTCCGATGGGGACCGATGCCTATCCTCCGGCTACTGCAACCCCTCACGGCCTCTCTACGTATAGATAGCCTCGATAGATACATCAACAAACACGGCACTTAGTCAGTCAAGCTCGGACCCCAGCGCATTCCGGTCCCGTCGGGATGGCCTTTCTATGGTCCATTTATTTTCCTGAGTCGGGACAGTGCCGTCTTAGGGGTTTGGAAGGATATGGAGACAAGGTCAAGAGTTCAAAAATATGTTAGCTCGTATTTGACGTTGGGGGACTCGAAGTCGATGTGATGTTCTATAAGCGTATACACATTCGTCAGAAAGCCTTTCAGTCTAGCTGGAGCAGTTCGGAGGAGCTGACTGAGGCTCAAACAAGCTATTATATAAGGGTGGAATGGAGTGATGTGTCAACTCCCCGCGTCCCTGTAGTTGTCGTGGCTGATTTCGAAAGATGAGAATATTGTTAGAAGATTTCTCCCGTAGTCTTCGACTGATCAAGTTCCACGCTTAGAGCAAAGATGCATCATCAACCATGTGATTCAAGAGCATCCATTGCGCCTCTCCCACTTCACTCGCGCTGGTTCCATGGGGCGAGAAAATAATGACTGGACAAACGTTCGCCAAAACCGCATAACGGGCACAAAGCGGCCACTCACCGAGTAATCCGTAGCTACAACGCCCTCCTTACCATCTTCATTCCTCAACCTGAACTCCCGCACCGTAACAATCAGAACAATACTCAATTGCAAATACGCAAACTGCTCGCCAATGCACCTATGCCTGCCCGCGCCAAAGGGCAGGTACGTGCTATCGGCTCCGGTAGACACGAGACCGTATCCGTAATCCATCTTCTCTCTCTCCTCGTCCTTCGGATCCGCCATGCTTTCCCATCGGTGCGGATCCCACAATTCTGCGTTGGGGAAGTACTGGTCGCTCTTTGCCATAGTTGCAGGCGCAGCGAGGAGTAGATGCGAGGGCCGGACCACCCAGTTGCTGCGTGCAATCGGAAACAAGTTCCTAAGTTTCCGTATGGAGTGGTTTGGAGGATGGAGGCTGATGGTTTTGTGTATCACGTGCAGTGCTTAGGGGGACTTTTTGGACGTTGCTGTTGGTCAGAGCAGTGGCACTTAGATCGTGCAGCTGCTCTTGGTAAAGCTCCTTCGTGATCTCTGGTTGCGCTGCGAGTCGGAGGTTTATCCACGAATTAGTGACGGAGGATCAGTGCTGCCTTGCCGTCAACAGGCCTATCTATGAGGTGTAGCGTCTTTGTAGACACTGGTCATCAAGTTCCAAAACATTTCTTCGCTGTCCTTTCTTTGCGCTTGAAGCGTCTTGCTGTAATGATTCCGGTGTAGATTTGGATTATCTTCCTCTGAGCTATATCTCGAAGATTGGTGGGCCGGAAGCTTTCGTCCAAATCGTGGTATAAGTCTCCGAACGTGGTCTCAAGCTTTTCACGGAGCTCTTTTTCTTGCAAGGATCTAGAAGCGGTAGTGAGGGTGATTTGAGCCAATATTGGAGGCAGTTGAACGCTGCCGCTCGAGTCCCTGAAGTGGGCGGTCCGATCGATGAAGGAGCGGATCTCGTCTTTCGTTAATGAAACACCGGAACGAAGAGTCTTAGAGATCAGGCCGAACTTCATGAGTTAATGAGGAGGATTAGAAGAGCTCTTGGGAAGGTCATTGTGTAGCATACTTTCTCTGCTCTATGAACTTTGCATTTCACACATCATAGACAAACTCCTTGTTAAAGACGGGCGTCGTCAAGACGGAGTATCTCTTCAGCATTCACGTCTTTGAGATCTCCGCTCAAGATGAATTGGTTGCAACTTGACCAAAGGTAGATAGTATTACTCCTACGAAGAAAGATCAGCGTGAGAGTATCTCTATACTTGGCAATCAGTGTTAGTATTCACGTATCGAGGTTCGCCAGCACATTATGGGCAACGCAAACATGCACCTTGGCCTTGTATTTAAAGATAAACTTGGATATCATCGATGCCGTATTCTACAGTACTGCCAATCATTGGTAGCCAGTGGAACACCACGGGCGGTTCATCTGTGTTTTGAGTAGTGTAGAGTATGCTGAAAAATATTTACCCGAATCACAAAAACCCAGATGCAAGCGAGTGCAGCGACAATGCTCCCGGCGTGCACAGGGACGATGCCTCCGGAGTGAGTGATGCCATGTTGATGACTCTAGTGACGTTATAGTAATAATGGTAGTACGTTGGAGGGAAAGAAGAAGTCAGACCGGATGAAACCAGTCTGTACTTCCCTTGCGAGGACGCGCAGCTGCAGCATGAGCACGTACTGTATCCGAGGTATCTTGTTAGCTTTGAATGCACGAGACCGAAAGGAACCTAACTTACTACCTTCTACCGCTCAGAGGAAGTCAAGAGGAGATTTCAGAGTACCTACTTCCTGGGTTAATGGCCCCCAAATTGGGCTCAGGTCAGGCGCACTTCCAAAGCAGATGTAAGCGCATTTGGGCCTGATAGCCCTAGGGTTTGCAGATACCGTATACCTTACTTTGTGTCGACGGGTTGGATCTCTTGTGTAAATGAAGGTTAGAGTACAGTTGGCCATTTCGATGTGGTCGTGAGCCCAACACTGCGTCTTATAACGGCGACGTGACCTGGAAGCTGGTGTTCGTCTTGCTCTGGGTGTCAGTACGCTTCCTTTAGATTGTGGCGTTCTACTGACTGTTGTTAGTGTTGTCGAGTTGACCGTAGGTGTCATGTCCAGCTGCCTTACTTAATTTCCGGGTTTCTTTCGATGTCATCTGCCATTACGAAGATCCATCTTATCCTCTGTCAACTCGAGCTTCAAAAGCCTCCACCTTTCAAAACAACTAAACCGGTCCAGCGATCCCAACACTCCCAGCAGCGATCCCAGCAGTAGAAGGGGCCTAGCCACAAAAGATATCAAAATTACTCTTGGCTCCCGAGTAGACGGAAGAGGATGCTTCTTGAATTCAGCGAGCGTCTTTGCAACGGAACCAGACTGGTTTCCCCTCTGAGAAGTCGCTCGCAACCCACCCTTTCCCACTGATCATGCACCGGACGCAACACGCCGTGAGTACTATGAGGGGATGGCAGAAAAGCAGCAGTCCCGAGTTGGACATTCGCCATCTCCCCACAATCACCATCCACAAGGAAGTACTACCCGAAGCGCATCTTCCGCAGTTGCCGAACTTGGGCTTCCTACGAAAGGACGAGTATCCAAGATGAAGCAGAGCCGATTCAGTGGCAGCGCATGGTGGAAGGTACCCCAGCAGTCGAACACCTTTCGCACTGGCTATTGGGATATCATGAACTGTTTTCGCACGATACCGCCATGTCCCTTGGCCAGTCGAAAAAGCATTCCGAGAGCGATTCCAGTGCGGTATAGCAAGTCGCCGTGCGAGACGACGTGTTGGGATTCACATGCTACAAGCCCTTAGACATGTTCCTTTCATCCGATACATATTGACAGATATTTGGTGCGAGGCGGTCCCGGCGCGTTGTGCGGTTTCTCTGATTTATGAAAGCAAGCTATAATATATATATGATTGACCGAACGACTTATTTCTTTTTGCCAGATAAGTCTACCATTAAACAAACGTTATCTGCAATAGAAGACACCTCAGACGTTTCTTGCGCAGTCCAACCCGGTACCCGAAATGAATGTTTCAATCCAGCCGTTCCATTATCTCTCGATCTCTTTTTCACTTGGTAAAGCAGCTTCGCTCTAGTCAAGATGGACAAGACTCCTACGTTTGACCACGCGGGATGTCAACTTGTGGGCCTCTACGAACCTGGTTGGGGGACGTGGGCACCGGCGGGCAGATCTCGAGGTCCCGTGTAGCTGGGAGCATCCCGGACTGTAGCCAATAGTACGACTACCATGAACCACAGCTCTCTTTTCGTACAGTTCCCCTGTACGAATAATCTATATAATGCAGCGTCGATGGCACCTTGGGAAGTAGCAGGGAGAGTACTAGGGAGGTTTAGCAAGTTTTACACAACGTTTTACACTTCTCCATGCGCGTATGTCCTACTATGTTGCCAACGCGAGGGAGTTTGAACAACTTATCGATCTCAACGGCCCTTTCGTAGTCCACCCACAACTTCACAGCACTATGATAACATCCCTTTGTGTTAAAGATCTCGAAGTATCGGGCCGTTGCTGCCTAGAATTCAATATCCTTTAGAAAATGGAATTTCGACTTCAAAGCTGGGAGAGTCTACGAACGATCTATCTCTGCATGCGTGCGGGTGAAGGGATTAGGTGTATAGAATATCTATTCTGTTTACCGCCTTTGAGTCTCCCATTGAACCAATCTGAAAATCAAAGTACAACTCTATCTTCCAAGTAAAGCAAATGAAGTCATACGTTCTCCATACCCATGTTGTCCCACGGTAATTATCACGTACCGAAGTCACTCCACCACACCTACCCAAGTCACCTTCTGCCCCATCAAGCCTCTTGCAGCCACGGCGGACCAATGCGGCTGGCCAGCAGCCAAACCCCCGTCTCCTTTTCCCAAACTCATTGCCGGCCTTGTAGAATCGAAGGTGACAGTGATCATACTCAGTGTAGAATTTGTATCACCCCATTTCCCCGGAAATTCGAGCCTCAGACCTTTGGTTTCCCTACCTGTGAAGCATTCGCGGCGGACAAGTCATGGCATCGCAGACTCAGCAAAGCTGCGGCAACGGCCGAACGTCTAGCATCATAAGTACGCACGTTGGAGCAGATTTAAAGAAGGCGTTGGCATCAAGGAGTTTATCAGTTTTGAAACGTACTTTTCTTTCTCAAGGACCGGCCAGTAGCTCGTTAAAGAAGCTCGATGAAACTAAATCTGGAATGAGGCTTTTTTTGGGCATGTATCACATTGTAGAACATTAAAACGCACCGCAAGCCATTAACTTGCCGGAGGAAGAACCGAATTCATCCCTGAACAGCCTGTTGCTGTCTGACCTCACCCTCCTTATCTACAGGCCCCAGTCCCGCTTTCGCAGGACCCATAACCTGCACCCCGTCTTTCGAAAACCGACTGCCATGAATCGGACAATCCCAACTCTCCTCCGTCCCATTCCAACACACCACCCCTTTCAAATGCGGGCACAAGGCCGAGAATGTGCTCACTTTGCCTTCGCCATCTTTATACACGGCTACGGGTTTGCTCGTTTTGGTGTTCAGCACACCCCCTGTGCCAGGTGCTAGGTCTTCAATGTCGGAGATGTCGCTCTGCAGGAAACGCTTGTATTGAGCGTTGATTTGGACATCGTGGCTGATCATGCTCGGTAGGCTGGACGCGATACTGGCGAGGCGTTTCGGAGAGTAGACGGAGCTCCAGGAGTTGGGGGTTTTGGTGATGAGGTCGGCGATAAGTTTCCCTCCGAGGACGTAGTGAACCAGGCCATTGCCAGCATCGCCGGTTGCGATGTAGATGTGCGAGTTTCCTTGATTAAGGCCGATCATGGCGACATGGTCTACAGGCTCTAGTACTTGACCGGACCACTTGTAATCGACTGTTTTAGCTTTTGTGAATCTTTAATAGTCTTAGTAAGTGTGGTCATTGTCAGCAGGTACTCATACCTTTGGCGAGTCCAATCTTCCAACTCGTTGAAACGACCATTCTCGTCTTCCTGACCCACTTTATGGTCGCAGCCACCTACGACTAGATAGTCATCTTCCTCGTCACAAGCAGTAAGTCGTACGTAGCGATAGGGACTGGCCACGTCGTAGATAAGACAGTCTTCAATGTAGCCTTTCGGTACCCGGATCGCAATGCAATATGTCCGCATGAACTCCAATTGCGCAACAACGCTGAGCTTTTGCAATGGAATACAAGTGGCCTCGACTGCATTCTCGCAGATGATAGTATGCCCATCTAAGGTGCTCACGCGTACATCTTTCGAGCCAATGCCCAATATTTCCACGCCTTTCTCTTCAATCGACATGACTCGTGTGCGTGTGAAGCACGTGAAGTTGGACTGCTCGGAGAGCCAAGCAAGAACGCCTTTAATATATTTGGTGGGATGGAATGTAGCTTGTTGGTTGAAGACTGCCGCATCTCGTTGGTCGATCTTACCATCCCAACCTTTGATAGCGTAACCCTCTTCAAAAGACGCGGACAACCCGAGCTCTCCCGCCTTGGACACTTCTTTTTTAAGAGATTCTACCTCTTTCGCATGACTTTCGTCGCTCCTGGCATACTGCGAGATGTGGTATGCCGGTAGTTGTCGGTACTCGCAGTCAACGCCTAGCTTTGAAGAGATTTCACCGACACGCTTGATGGCCCATGAATAACTTTCGGCAACAGCCTTGGCTCCATCATTTCCATGCTTCTTGGCAATGTCAACGAAACCATCAGTGGACAGGTGGCCGCTTGTTCTTCCTGATTCGCCCGAGACGACGTCTCTAGCTTCGAGCATGACAACGCTTACGCCTCGAGAAACCAGCTCGTACGCAGTAGAAACACCAGCGATGCCAGAGCCAACAACACATACCTCAGCTTGAAGATCTCGAGTGAGTTTGGGAAAGCGTGGACGCTGCGAGTAGGGGTCCGTATGAACCCAGACCGAGTCCTTGGCGCCCGAAGTGGCAATGAAGTGTTGTGGCTGAGCCATGGTTGCCTTTGAGCGGCTGTGGAAGATGTCGTGAGTGAGGAACTTAGAGCGAGACTGAAGTCGTGCTACCGATGGGTGCAAGGCGCGTGGGGATGGTAAGAAGAGATGAGCTGGCCTAAGAGGCATGAACAGTGTGAAGCTGTTCAAAGACATCTAGTGCATCAGGGCTCTTTCTCTGATGTCAGTACCACATTGTTTTGTCACTTGCACTTCATCATTACTACGTCACTTTCACTTCATCATCATTGCGTCTAGTCTCACATTAGCGGGGTATCCTATGGCCAGCCCTAATCGTATCTACCCCCATTCGCGCCATACCCCCATTCGCGCCATCTTAAATCCGATAAATCCGACATAGATAGCTACCACTACCATAGCTACCACTATTACTCATTCAATAGTCTACTATCACAGTCTATTATAATAGCCAATACTACGATATCATAGTCGCCGTCTATAGGCCTAACATAGTAGGTATCTCTATCCTAAACTCAAATGTGGCCTACTTAAGTCCAGTTAAGAAAGAGGCTACTGCACCTCTCACATTAAGCCTACTACTACTATTAAACCTCGCTTTATATACAGGCGTACGGTTCGGTAAGGATTCATAGTTTCGGGGTATGATTTGGTAATGAGCCCGCCATGGCATCTAAGAAGTGAAAGCGCTCAGTCCTCTCCCCGCATCCTCATCATCGTCTTCTTCAACACTTCAACAGGCCAATGATGGAGCTATGCTTCGACGATCAGAATCGAGATTGTGTTCAGAATCGAAAATGCTGAACTTTTTCCGCACTATGCGGTCGAACACGGAAAATGTTCAGATGGCGTTCAATGTAAGATGGGGTATGAATCTGTAAGGATCCCATAGTTTGGGGTATGATTTTGTAATTTGCCCTCCCGAAACACCGAGGTTTTACAGCTCTTGGTGAAAAGGGGGAGGAGGTTTTGCGGGAGAAACAACGCATGCAGGAATCGCTCGCCGACGAACTTGACCTTGCCTTTGAACTCGAGGATGTATCACTCAGTCCAGTACACTCGTTCGACAGATATCACAAAGATTCCGAAAAGGAGCGGCGAGGAGATCCCGGAGAAAATCAGAAGAGTTGGGAACGAGGTCCCGGAGAAGTGAAAACAGTCCACAGCTGCCCATAGTCCGTCAGGGTCCAGAGCAATCGCTGACGCTGACCCAGACTCCCCTGGAATCTTTGCGATTGGTGACGAGCAGCCTCCTGCCGCAGAAATCCTCAGCAGTACCACGTTCGGCCAAACACCCACAAAGAGCAACCTCGTTAAGCACTGTAGTCCAAGTGAGCCCGCACCCCAGCCTAAGTCTCTGGAAGAGCATACAATCTCCATCACTTCGAGATACAACGTGAAATTCATTGATAGGGACGCGGACGGTTTTTTCAATATGGAGACTATGCCGACAGTCACTGATGTTCAGCGACGAGTTCAACAGATAATGGGGATCGCGGCACTGCAGGGGACTCTAGCCCCCGCAACAATCTCTGACGCGGCTCCATCGACCACTGGCAGCTCTCACACGTCTTCTTCCATGGCCTTGCACTCAGTCAAACGTCCTTCGATAGCTTCACTCACATCATCGTGAAAGTCCTCGGTGATTAGGCCGACGATAATATTGGCTCCAGCATAGCAAGACGGTTCCGCCATTGTATTCCTTAGAATCTGGCTTTTGAACTTGATGTGACGGGTTCCCAAGAGTATTTGCGAGGATCACAGCCTGCTGTGTATGCTATGCCGATACTGGTGGACAATTTCTGTATCTGTGTGACGTTTGATGGTGTACGATGACCGAAGAACATGCAAAGTGACGCTAGAGTCCCGTGGAGCGAGATTAAATATGTCGGCAGTAATTGACTCTTCAACTCAACAATGATCATTATAGCGAAAGATAAAGGACTCAACAAGCTTAATAAGCAATAGACGCCTTCCTTGTATACCAACGATGAAGAACTCTGCGACGAGTCAATGCTTACAAAGGATTGTCATCTTAACTCAGACACCCAACCTCAACCATCCAGAGTGTTAAGTAGCAGTCCCAAAAACCCATTCCCACTCTCACCACTCTCAATTGACGGTCTCACGACATCACACTGTAAACTGCGGGTACATGAACTCATGCATGCAAGGTTACCAGATACTCAACATCATCCCTTGGTCGGTTTTCAAGGTCAATCTAAATCTATTACTAGACCGTTGATTAGTGTGCGATTCCCACTTCCGAGCCCACATCCGATCAGCCACAGCGCAAAGGTCTGACTTTGTTAGTTTAGCGCCGTTGCGGGAACTCTTGTACGTGAAATTCACCGATTTACGGGGCCGTACCGGCAAAAAAATATATATTTAAAAATTAAAACCTAAAGTTAAGTAGATAAAATCCAGGAAAGGATATTTTAGACTAAAGCTGCATCGAAAATTCTAAGCTTTCTCAAAAACTAAACCATTAAATTGGTATTCTACTTCACGCAGGAAAGACTTTCAAGGTGTTTTTCATTGAATCATCCCGCTATCCCTGCGTCATCTCTGCGTCGATCCGATCGACTAGTGCCGATCCCAGCAGAAAATTCAGAGTAAGGTATTGTGGTACACGATCTGACAGCCACTTAGCGAGCTCTCCGAACATACTTAGTCAATGAGTTCCTGGCGCATTGATGCAAAGAATAATGCACACCTACACCATGACGCCCTACCAAGTTGTCAAGGATGTAGGCCTAGAATGGTTGGTGCGCCTAGCCCCTACACAAGGCGCTGCTCCATCATCCTGCTCTTCCTCACTCACTCCCTGTCTTTTGAGCATGATTCGAGGTCAGCTTGTGTTCAATGAATTATGACGATTATCGACAATTGGATCTTTGCTGCCATCTTTTCCATCAATGTCTGTCTGGCTCAAGTCATCATCTCTCCATATGCCGGTCTTCCTTCCGTTATACCCGGAGAGATTCAATCCAACATCAATTCCATCGTCCAAGTCGCCACCGAGACTACTCCAAGCACCAGTCCCACGTTGGCGCCCAGCGACCCTTCGTCTCAGGCAACGAGTTCCAATGCCGAAACGACAGCCAGTAGCCCTCCAACAATATCTACGTCTTCTTCCGCATCAACAACGACATCCACTCCTGTCTCCACATCAGCAACAACATCCCCACCTACCTCCTCATCTTCGACAACCTCTATAGCCAAATCCTCATCTTCGACAACCTCTATAGCCAAATCCTCATCTTCGACAACCTCCATAGCCAAATCCTCATCTTCGACAACCTCCATCGCCAAACCCACATCTTCGACAACCTCCATCGCCAAACCCACATCTTCGATTGCATCTCCAGGCCTTAAACCCTCAGCTAAAATTGGGGTCGGCTTGGGCCTGTCTTTGGGCGTGATCGCCCTTGCTTTCATCGGCTTCCTGACATTGCGCCACCAAAAACACAAGAAGGCTTCGCGGCTCCTACATCATGGCAATATTGCGGCTGCCGGGCTGTACCCTGTCATTGATGAAGGTGACAACCAGGATGAAAGGAATATGATCGATGTTCGGGACAGCAGTGGACCGGAGGGGCTTGAAAAAAACGATGTACATGAGATTCAAGGGACAGCAATACCGGCATACTCATTGGAGTTGGTTGGTTCACCAGGGGTGCAGGGGCAGGAACGTCCGACTTGGCATGGTACTGCGTAAGCTTCTTTGACTTCTTTAGGCTTTTGCCTGAGATTTGGGCCTTTCGATTGCGTTGCAGTGATCACAATTGTGTCCAAATTTGCTTCAACAAGCAAGGGAGAACCAGAATTCAACTTTATGGTACTGGAGGTCAGGACCATCAGACGCTGGGACTCGAAATGTTACTATCCGAGCCAAGATTTTACCGGGACTACAGGTCAGCTGTGATCTGGATAAGTACTTGCGGATCTCCATGTCGCAAAAGTGCCATTATCAAATTATACTAGTGGACGACGAAAACCGTCGTCTTCAGAGCTGAGAGTACAATACTCTTGACTTCGTCAACATTCGGGAGCATTGTCGTTCGTTTGAGGATCTACAATGCACCTTTAGTCAACCTCTTGGTCAAGGATCTTGAGCTCGAAACATGCCAGATAAACTCCTTGAGAATGCGCTCAGACCGGACCAAGGCTTCACTAAATTACAGGAGGCTGATAATACCGGGGGACGAGATCATAGTCTTTGGACTGCCGGCCGAGCCTCCTCGACGTAAGGATTTGTTTCTCCTCATGCGAGAAAAGCTGTTCAAACTTTCTTGGTCTGTGCCACAGAAAGATTTGATTCCAGCTGTCCCATTCGGTGATACAGTATGAGTCTGTACGCCTCAAGCGACTGGTGAACATTTTCGACTTTGTTGTAAAGTCGTCCAATCCTTCTATCCCAGGCGTTCGATGTATGTTCCACTCGTCTCCATGTCGATGGTTATAGTCATTGCCGTGATCATGGCGTTTTGTTATCTCTGTGCTTCTAGCGTCTCTTAGGTCGATGGTCCTTGCTCAGGTAGGGAAATTGCTCAACTAGTCAAAAAATAAGGCGCAGGCTCCAGGAGAGGGTACTCCTCCCTTGGTCCTCCTTCAATTTTGTAGGCGAGTCCCCATCTCTCAATGTTTCAGACCCCTAGCAAATTTGGGCTATTTCACCACTACTCCTCGATCTGTCATCCGAACTTTCCCCTTAACCTCGCCGTTTATGGCACGCTGTGCTCGCCATATACACAGCAGCATCCCCACTGGTAAGCCTTTCCCACCTTTATGGCACGTGCGGTCCATCTGACCTCAGCATCCCGTCTTTGCCCAACCTCTTCCCCCACGTCTTCACCCGCAACAAAGCACCATCTCTCGGCAACTGAGTCAAGATCATGGACTATCCCTACGCCTCGTGCGACTCATGCGTCCCCTACTACAAAGGCGACTACTGCCCGAGTGACGAAGCGCGCACTTGCAGCTACCTCCATTCCCGGCTCACGATACTAGTGCAGCATAGTGAAGGTCTAGGAACGAGCAAATGCTATTCTATATTGATCTAGTTCCCGCCTTTACGGACGGTTGATGTGGATACCTACAACACCGTGCGTCGTCAAGCTCGACTTGAATTGTGTTTCGTCCAACCGAGCCTTGTGCTAACAATGAAATTGACATTCTAAGTGTGCGCGACAATCAGGTTTGACATGGGCAGAGTAAACAAGAATCTACAAAGAAATCCCTAAGCGACAAAGAAAAAATCAATGACAATGTCTTTGCCAAAGTGTTGCAGATTGAGGCACGGTCATCACATGGCTCGTGACATCGTCTTTTTCCTGACGTCCATGATAAATATCCAGGGCCGAGAACCTATCCGAATTTCTCTCTCTCTAAAACACCCAGAACATTAAAGTCACGACAGATCACCTAACATCAGCTTCCACCTTCCCTCGAAATCGATCCTCAGCAAGGACCACGATGTGCTTCTACACACGACGGATGTATTGGTGTCGCTGCCCCGTCGCACCTCGTCAGCTCACTGCACCTTGCGACAATAGCCGAAGTGGTCTTCCGTGCTGCCCAAACATCACCCATCAGTACACGAGGCAGTACTGCCACGCCCACCAGTACCTGGACATGTTCAAAGATACTGGCTCCAAGCAGTCAGGGCCCAACAGTGCTCCAGGACGAGCTTGAAAGGCGACTGGAGCAGGATCGATCCTGATAATGGGGGTTTTTCTACGGGACCTCTTGCGGTCTTCGTTAGTATTGCTAGATAATGGCGTTGTGAGTTTCCCCTTCATCCCATAGAACAGGCCCTCCTTTGTACAAGATACCTCGGAAAGTTTGATATTTAAGCATGTCTCAACGTTCATGCCTTTTGTTCTCTCTCAGTCTGAATCTTTCGGAGAAGGAGTCTAGAGTGTTGACCATTTCAAACTATGTGAGCTTCCATTATATCACCTCGTGGGGGTGTTTTCGTTCCGTCAACAGGGGTAATAATCAATTGAAAGAGCATTCAGGTGAAACGAGATCCATGATAATGCGTTGCAGAATATATATCCGAATTCTCTCTCTCATGCCCTCTGCACTTCAACGCCGCCGTCAATAGCTCTGCATTGAGGTGCCCATTGCCCAGGATGCTACTCAGTGCACGCGTCTATAAACCTGATCGTTATTTCCTCATTTCCTACCGAGCATAAGCTCATGAAAAATTCGCAAAAACACCGTCTCCATGAACTGATCGACAACTCCATGCATTTCAGATACAGGATCCAAAGCCCACAGGACACCGTCCCTCGCTCCCTCGCAGAAAAATCTAAGCCAGCGCAACTGTAGTCGTGGTCGGTGCTGCGGATGGAGCAAAAGCTGCAGGCGATTCGAGAAGCCCAGTCTCTTCCACGTCCGTGAATGGCGTTGCCGGAAGCTCGAAGACATGGGGATAAGAGGGACGCGCTTCGAGTTCAATGCTGGTTTCTTAAGCGAGGATTAGTAAGCGCGGAGTTGGCCAATGATGAAGGGGATAATCACGTGACTCGACGTCGGACTCGGCGTTTCGCTCGCTCTGCCGTCCGTACAGTCTTCGCCAGGCTCTGCGGCCTTGCCAGACGGTGAGGGCACTGATCAGTGTGGCGACAATGCCAAAGGCGATGGTGGCGATGGTTTGGGTAGCTGCCGATGCTATTGACGGAGTCATATTGCTCAGCAGTATTTGTAAATAGTTGATAAGTTGAAGGTTGCCTCTCTTTACGGAGGTAAGCCTCTCATATAATGTTGGTCTCTCAACCACAATCCTAATGTTGAAACAATCTGAAAAGCGGACGCCATCGCGCAGGACATCCGGAAGGGAAAGACAAAAGTGTGAGTGGCTTTGCTGTCAACTCGACTTTATGCACGGCTGCGGGGAAATCTGAGTAAGAGAGTGACTTCTGAACCATCCTCGATCATCTCCCTTAAAACCCGCCGTGAACGTTGCTGGTGAACATGCTTGGTTGGGTCAAGCCGTTGACTCGGCCAATCGCACGGCTATTACACGCTTCTGCAGCGGATCTGGATGTGAGATGCGCAATCAACAAATGGACATGAGCTACTAGGAACAGAGCATGTGGCGCAAGCATATCACGGCACCTGTTCCTCTATGATGTTTTCCCTCGCTCAGCCTTTCTATTGTAGAAGTGGGTTCACCGTTGCATGTCTTCTCTTCCGGCGCCTATGTTCGATTGACACCTGCTCTGACTTGTTGTCGGTACCGTATACTTTAGTACGCGAATCAGATCCAGTGGCGTGGGCATCGCTAGCAAAAGAAGTGAGTGGCATTGCACTGGAGAATGCCTGGTGTGACTTGCCACTCGGAGTCGGCTGGAAAGCGTTGCCGAATAAAGCGCGCGAAGGAGCGGTCAGGTAAGATGTACTGTCACTAATGCATGCAACTGATGCAACTGGCTCAAAAGGCTAATGCCGTGGGGAAACCTTATCTCCATCACCGTCCCTCTTGACACAAAAGTGCCCTTGGCTTCCCGCACATGGCCTTCTTGCTTCTTTGTCGTCGTGTCTTTGAGCTGGGTACCTCGTAAGACTTGACCACTTTCCATTCATGCCTCCCATTTGCTCATTAATTGCCACCTACTAAGGCTAGCAAGTAGCAAGGTACTTTACTTTACTTAGCAAGTGCTCCAGCCCGTCCTCCTTTGTCGCGCCTATGAAAGACTGCGAGACTCTCGTTCGACATCCCACCATCCCTCCAACTTCCTTCAACCCCCCTCAATCCCTTTCAATCCCCATCAATCAAAATTCAAAATCGTCATGATCGCGCAGCCAGGGGCCTAAGGTAGATGGAAGGCTCCCAGCGGTCGACCGCGAACCGTTCAACTAATAGTCTGGACCGGTCCATTGGACCGGTCCATGGACCGATATGAGTATTTCGTTAATAGTCGGTGGACCGGTTCATAATATCTTTGGACCAGTCGACTAATAGTGGACCGGTTCAAATTTGATGTTTTGGTGACTATATTTTTGAGTGAATGTTTGATCATTACAGGTGCGGCAAATTACCGAATCATACCCCGAAAGTACGAATCCTTACCGAATCATACCCCTAATTACCGAATCATACCCCTACACCAAATCACACCCAAATATGGGGTATGATTCGGTAATTTGCCATTGCTTGGGGTATGATTTGGTAAGTTGTCAAAGTGGCCTCAAACTACGAAGGAGATAATCCGCGATCTGGCTTATTCGATCATAGAAATAAGGGAGTTTCTCCGACCGCATTTGATGAGAATTCTATCAGCCTAAAAACATCAGACGAAAGCCGAGTGGGCGAAATTTCGAGCCCGGGGGTGTCCGCACTTCACGCTGCAGACACCCCTATTCGGGTCCCGTAGGGCCCCCGAAGGAATAATTTGGCGGGGTAAGCTTCGGGGGTCAAACCCCGCCCCGAACCCCGCCCCGTTGCGCAGCGTAAATACCACCGTCATCAATAATCAAGTCAACGACTACTACCAGACGCTCAGTAAGCCTACCGCTACCATTAACTTCTCATTTAAGATCCTCATCAAATCATACCCCAAGCAATGGCAAATTACCGAATCATACCCCATATTTGGGTGAAATTTGGTGTAGGGGTATGATTCAGTAATTAGGGGTATGATTCGGTAAGGATCCATACTTTTGGGGTATGAATTAGTAATTCGCCCATTACAGGTGTACTTTTGATAATATCATATCCAATCAACGGAAATCTGATTAGTCATCAATTTTTCTAGCCTTATTAAAATTGCTTTTAATCCTCTCTAGGTTAGTTCACTAATTGAAAAGCTTGCTTTCTCCTGGCTTAAGAATAAAATTACTTCTGTGCCAAGCCTCGCTATAAGACTATTCTGGGAAACTCTTATCTTATTAAGAAGTAACTAAGGATTTAGTAGGTCTTGACTAAGAATATCAATTTTCTCTCTAATTTTCTCTATTTCTCTCTATCTCTATCCTTATAAGTAATATATCTTAATTAATTTTAGATTTTGGCCTTATATCCTCTACAGCTCGACGTACTGCAAATCGATATTAAAAGAATTATTAAAAACAAAATATCGAGCGCGCTCTCTTATAGTTATACTCTTAAAATCAATTATATTCTTAGAGAAAAGTTTAAAGTCGATAATAACGTCGATTATCTTCGTGCGATATTATATTATAATCTCAATTTTAGTCTACGATATCTTAAAATCTTTCTTAAACTACTCTCGAAGGCATTAATTCTCTACGTATTATCGAGATCTAAATAAATATCTTCAAGCTCGATACTCTAGACCCCGATATTAAACGCCCTATATTCGATGTTTATAATATATATCTACGGAAAAATTAAGGTCTCGGCGTTCTAAAACGCGCTTACGAAAAAGTCGAAATAAGTTATTTTCATCTTTAACGAGAGGTTATCGAGGATTTATATAATAATCTCATATATTAAATACGTTTTTAAGAAGAGCGATTCTTATAAGGGCCTATTAGTATAAGACGCCTTAGATTACGTATTTTATATTATGGAAGATTAGTGTATAGCGGTCGGTTAGCCTTAAATTAAGGATTAACTTAATGAGACTTTATTATATACGGCGATTCGATATAGAGATCTTAAGGCTATTTATAAGCAACTTCGGTTTATAATTGATGATCGTTGTAAGGAATTTCTTTAGGGGGATTATAGTTATGATCTTGACGAAGCGGACGACCCTATACCGATCTCAAAATGGGCTTTATGTAAATAATTTCGAGCTTGCGAGGACGGGCCCTCGGAGAGCCCCCGGAGGGAGGGGGGGTTTAGGGGGTCTCCCCTTAATAGAATTGGTATTATGCAGTAGTAATTCAGTCTTCTCAGTCTTCTCAGTCTTCTCAGTCTTCTCAGTCTTCTCAGTCTTCTCAGTCTTCTCACATTCTCGGTAAGTTTTCCACTACTGGGTAGCCCCGCGCCCCAGCACATATTTTAGCCGAGACTATCGGTCGGACCGGTCCATTAAGGGGTGGGCCGGTTTGTCTCTTGGACCGACCATGAACCGTCGGTTTAGCTTCATTTTGGACCGGTTCAGACCTCCAGACCGACGGTTGGACCGCTGGGAGCCTTGGACGGTAGATGGGCTTTCGTATCCATGCAGCAAGAATGGATAAGGATCGTCTCCAACCCCTTCGTTTGACGTCTCCCATGCTACGTGTTTTCCAATCATTCAGCCTGCCACCAGAAACTTGTCATGGACAATCGCTCTGTCCGCAAATAGAGGTCGCCTTGGGCAGAGTTGCAGGCACTTTTCTTTGCTTACCCTACCTCTCCGCCGCATACCTCTGGCTCTTGGATGATAATAGAGCATAATTCCGGGCGTCTCAGACGGAGACCCTGATTGTTGAATATCATGTCATCCAACCCCTGTTCTCTGCTTGTGGTCATTTCCCACTAATTCGTCTTGGAATGGATGCCTACTTGCTCCTTGCGGCGGCAGACAAGCAGGCTAGGGTTGCAAGATTAAGCCTGTTGAGTTACAAGCTACAATAGGGCGCAACGGGTAAGGACGGAAGCTCCTTGCGCCTACCAGCCCGTCAAAGGAAAACCTCATAGGCGAGCTATAGATGCGTCTTGCACCATCCCTCGCCCTTTGATGCTGCACGTTGCTGGTATCGACTCTGTTTCTTTGGTGCGGGTAGTAGCAGATGGAGGGGCCTGACACCTAGGAGGTGTGCGCCAGTGGATCAGAACAAGGCTGAACATCATGCTTTCATAGATAGAGGCTGACCGTTCAACCGGACCATCAACTCGGTGTGCATAGACCAATCAAGCGCTTATAGCTATCTCACAACCAGCCAGCGCGATCCTCATGTCGTTTTTGGCAATATTTGAGGCTCGCCGCATACAATGCTGACCGTCGTAAGCGCTTAAGGATGTCTATGAGTCCGGGACGACGACTCGTGATCAACAATGAGATACTCGGCGATTCATCGAATACAAATATAAGTGATGACCCATCCGGGCGTAATAGTCGACGTATTGCTATCGCTGCGCCAGCGCTGAAAGAGTGATATCCGTCTTATGTGGGCAATAAAAAACTTGGCATGCTGACATGTTTTTTTTTGGTGTGGGGAGAAATTTTTTTTTTTTTTCTTCGCTTTTTGTAAAATTGCGGGTTTTTTTGTTGAATTTTTTTTTTTTTTTTTTGTTGGGGGTGGTTTTTAAAAATTTTTTTTTTTCTTTTTTTTTTTTTTTTTTTTTTTTTTTTTAATTTTTTTTTTTTTTTTTCCCTCCCCCCCCCCAATTTGGGTTTCACCAGGTTCCCTTTTCCCACCTCATGCTCCATACAGACAAAGGTCGAACGTCCCTATCAGTGCGACCAGCTGGTCCGTGTAACTCGGTCCGAATACTCTGAAGACGCTGAGATTTGCGAGGTAGATGACATGAAACTCGACGAGGGTGTTTACGGCTGGATATGAGAAACTACTCGCGGGCGGATTCGCCCCTATGAAGAGTGTATCTCCTTCCAGACAGATTAGTTCCCGAAGACGGCGGGTCCTGTTGCAAGGCCGGTATCGAAATAGGTGCAATCAAAGGGATCTCCCTTGTCACTTGGTGATTTGCAATGCTCGATGATACTGGGCGTCACATCATCGACAGAAGCGCAAATGCCCATAGACGAGTACCCGTCTTCGACCCCAGTCCGATCAATTCCCAGCTATGTCCAGGCCAGGGCCAGGGCCAGAATCACGGTATTAGTTATCGAATGATACCTATTAGAAGATTCAACCGAAGCAATAGGATATCAAAGCCCAGGATCAGGTCGTACAGCCGGGAAAGAATTTGGACGCCAATCCACGGTTGGATACGGCGGACGAAGGCTGACACTCCCACAAAACCAAACGGTCGAATTTGTTTTCGTTTTTTTTTGAAAGAAAAAAACGATCTTGCGATTACTATCTCTGGATAATTATACAAGTAGATTATTTTATACTACTGAGGGACGCACCTAAAAAGACTCTGTTTGAAAGACTCTCTCTAAGAGACTTTCTTCGCTCTTCGAGACACTCTTCTCAAGGTACCCCTCGCGACACTCTCCGTGACATTCTCTGTAATACTTTTCGCAATACTCTCAATGAAACTCTTCGCCTGAAATACCCTGTGAAGTACTCTAAAAAGTGTCTCTTAAAAAGTGTTCCTCGAAGAATACCTCTCAAAGAGAATCTCGGAAAGTACCCCGGAGAGTACCCCGAAGAGTATCCCCGGAAGAGTGTCTCGTGAAGTACCTGGAAGAGTATCTTAGAGAGTATCTCGGAGAGTGCTCAGACAGAACATCGCAACGAGAATACCTTGAAAAGAGTATTCTGCAAAGAATATTCTAAAGAGAAAGCTATAATATCAAGAATTCGTACGAAGAGTAGAAGCTATAAATACTAGAAACCGTAAAGGAAAAATACCCAGAATAAGACAAGAGAAAAAAATTGATAGTCTGGTTTTGTCGGAGTGTCAGCCTTCATCCGCCGTATTGGAGGAGCGGGTAGAGCAGGTATGTGATTTCGACAGGTTGATCCCCAGTATCGAAATGGCCTGGCCTGGGGAATGCTGTAGCCACAGCTATCCAGGTGAACGAGCCATAGGGGTCATTGGGGTGAAAACGGCCTCATCTATCCAAAACGGCTTCTAAAGTGCCGGTCCAGCAGCGAACGCGGTCTGCTAGTTGGCAAAGCTACCTTGAGTACTAGCAAAGACTCCCATCTTCGTTACAGGCTCAGTACGTGCTTTGGCCTCCATTGAATTCGCCCCAACGTAGACTCATCAGCATATTACCTAACGAGTCGCGACATTCAGCCTTAAGATGCCACCTTGAATACGCAAACAGTGCTGCCAAGCCAGGAGGGACAGTCGATGCAACGGCAGCAAACCATGAGAAAATCGCCGTCGCTTCTCCACAATTCAGCTGTCCCACACTCGCCGCTGCCTTTCAGGTCGCCCAGAACCAGAGGCGGAAGATAATATTTTGTGTTATCTGTGTCAAGCTTCAAAAAAAATAGACGAGGCGTCTTTCCGGGAAGCTGCTATCCGACCGCCAAGGATAGATCTGCTTATCTAAGCATCCGAGCTGCAGCCGCAGCCAATCATCGAAAATACTATTACCCCCATTTTATGTCACTCCGACTTCTTATTTTCTGAAGTCTCTGCCATCATTGACGAATGGCGTTCGAGAATGACCCCATGACGCTGCAAAGTCTTCAGAAATCGAATGATAGAAGCGGGGCCCCGGCCTTAAAAGTCGGCTTTGCTGGAGATATAAAACCAGACTGAATGCTCCAAAGCTACTCTGCTAACATCCAGGACACACTGACTTTCAAGCATCACTTTCTCCGTCTCATTCATCACACCACAGAGTTTCAGCATGCCAACAAGCATCAACAACCTCCCTTATGAACTATTTTCGGCCATTCTCGAAGAGACCGCAGAACTCAACATTCAAGGAAATCCTCAATACACATACGGTTTAAGCCAGGCACCCGAACCTCTACAAGATGTACGAATGCAACGCGTAGTCAGAGGCCAGGTGTCCCCAGACACACGGAAGTGGAATGCCGTCGATGCTATTCGACAAGTCAATCAACAATGCCACCAATGGGCTTCGGAGTATGCCCTTAGGAGCCTTTTCATTACGCGTTGGCGAGGTAGCGAAAGGTGGTTACCCTTCCACACCATATTCTTCGTGACGATCGCTAACTCTTGACCGCGTAGATGGATGCAGTCTCGGACACTCCACACCGTACAAACAAATCTTTCAAGCATTGCCGTCTACCGTGACCCCTACCACTCCTTGAGGAAGACGCTTCAACTTTTCGAGAGCAGTTCGGCACTGGCATGTTGCGTGCGTAGGATTTCCTTCGTTGGGTACTACGGTGCAGAAACGAATGCCATGATTTTCGGAATACTCCGCCGTTGCACCAAATTGGAATATGTAACGCTTCCATGGACTGCGTTGAGATACGGGAGTACGGAAGACTGGTCACGGCTACTCGGCCGAAATGAGAACTTCCATAGTATCTCATCGTTGGAGCTCCTCGCTGTTGATCTCAAGCAGTCACAGATAGACAACGCTAAAAACCAAATTGACAATAAGCCACTGAGTTCTCCTAGAGTCGACTTCAGTGCGCTCAAGCGATTGAAAATATTCGGACAATCGAACTTCATGCCGCTGACCGATGACGACCTGATCGCCATTTCCCACACTGCGGTCAACCTACGAGAGTTGCATATTACGGGTACCGCCTCAGTCACGATCGACGGCATCGGGGCTATCGCCAACTCCTCGGATGAAACGTTGGAAATACTAGAGCACTCACCACTGACGGCTGATGGCTTCGAGCATCCGGATCCGACTTCTTTGCGTGGTCAAAAGCAGCACCTCTGCCCAAAGATCCTCGAATGCCCTCGCTTAAGGAACCTATCACTTTCCCTGCCTTCGATCTGCGAGCACCTCTTCGCTGATACCTCCGTCAACTGGAGCGGCGAAATGCAAATTCGGACCAGCACTGTGTGTGGTCGTCATCCGATATCGCTGAAAACCTCAAAAAAGTCACAAACCATATTTTGGCGCATTCTCGAACAGGCTCGCTCTCTTATGAGCCTGCGTGAAAAAGAGGGCGTAGAATTGGACGTTGAAATCTTCATCAACAACTGGATCTTCGAGCCTCGTTGCTATCGCGTACATGGTGATCTGAACGTCGCTGAGGTCGTTTCTGATGGGAGTTGGCCACAAGACGCAATTTGGTCGAGCAAAGGCCCGTACGGGCGAACTGGGCTTTATGGGAAAGATGAAGGACCGTATCAAGTCGTTTCGGAAGATGTTTTCAAGCAAGGACTGAGCAAGCACTACGTCTCTTTCTAGTTCCATCACTAGACTTCTCTATAGACGACTGCGAAGAATGAAGCATATTTCAAAGTTCAACTTGTCCATTCCATGATCCCTTCAACCTTCATCGCCAACCGTGACAAACCGACACCACCTTCTCACCACCGTCTCAACTTCCACTGTTTTTCCAGCCCACGTCCTGTCCTCCCCTCCAAATCGCACGCTCCCACTCAGAAGCGGCACTTGCTCCTTCCACGGATTGCCTACACTGTCAACACTCTCGTACTCAACTTCCCCACTCAATGCTGTCGACTCCGCCAGCACCAGTCTCTGCCCGTTAAGCTTCGCTGTCTCAACAGCCGCTCCAAGAGAGCGGGACAAGCCCTGTGCAGAGTGCTCGGCAGTTGAGCGGTGAAGAGTGGCCAAGCCCCAGACTGCCAGCATAGGATACTGGGACCCTGGCTTGGCAAAAGTGGAAGCAGTTGATGGAGACCCGGGGCTTGAAATGCATGTTGCCAAATATGCTCGTAGATGAGGCAATGTAGGCGTGAATGCTAGATTGACAGACCTTGACTTGGCTATGAGATGGATTGTTGGGACTAAGAGAGGGTGTAGAGCCGCATGGCTTGCGTCAAATGAAGGCTCATTGCTTGAATCTGTCGAGGGATCTCGTGGATGAGTGTAGTCGATACAAGCTTGTATTTCCTGGAGGAAAGCTTCGCGACTGGAGCAGATGATGAGAGTCGTCGGCGACGTGTGATGGCGTAGGATGAAATTGACAAAGTCTGTGCATAGCAGTGGCGCTAAAGCTATGGGGGTATGTGCAAAAGGCATCTTGAGGTTCTCTGCACGATCTTATGACCTATTACAGAGAGAAAGTATTGATCGAGGAAAAGACGCAATGTTTGTGTGAATTTGTCATTATGCTGGCTGGGTATGCCAGGTATTGAGGCAATTTGATCTTCTGATACACTGCTCTTATGCTTGCTTACGACAGACATATACTTGTGATCTTTGAGCTCTGAATATTGGGCATCTTACCTTTCCAATATCAGCCAATGAGAGTCATGACTGACATTACTACCACCCGAAGGCTGCGAAGTCAGCGGACTAACCCAAAGCGGCTTAGCTCAAGCTCGCTAGCCCGAAGGGGCTTAGTAATCTTGGCACGTCTGAGGGACTGAGGCATTGGATGTCGAACATCAGATTCTGAAGGAGCGAAGCACTGGGGGAGACTTTCCCCTACAAGGCAGGCATGGAATCGATCTCAAGAGTATCATCGATGCTAGATACAGGTTTGGATCATGTACTCAATCATTCCAGCAGGGCTGATTCTGATTTCAGCACGTGAATTGACATTGGAGGCAGCACAGTCTGCTGGTTCTGCAAGGATTGTCAATTCTCGCCCCTCGAACAGGGATTTACCATTTGCTCAGACAAAGAAGCTGCTGGATAGCCGCAATGATAGAGAAATCTTGGAAGGCCTGCGGAAGGTCATCAGCGTATGATCTTTCGCCACCATTAGACGGGGACATGCTCTGATATTGGAAGTACAGATGATGTACCGTTCCAAACCCTGTCTTCCTTTCTTTTCGGCAGTAGTCAAAAATGTTGCCAGTCCAAACATTGAGATCAAAAAGCTCGTGTATATTTATCTCCTGCATTATGCAGAGTCAGAGCCGGACCTTGCATTGCTCTCCATTAATACGATACAGAAATCTCTAAGTGACCAGAGCCCCCAAGTCCGTGCAATGGCACTACGAGTCATGTCAGGCATCAAGGTACCTGTCATCAGCCAGATAGTCTCTCTCGGAATTAAGAAAGGATGTGCGGACATGAGTCCTATTGTCCGGAAGGCCGCTGCTCTGGCAATACCAAAGTGCTATAGATTGGATCCCAATACTCTACCTCAGCTCCTCGATTACATATCAGTTCTGCTTGGAGACAAGCAATACTATGTGGTAGGACCTGCAGTCATTGCATTCCTGGAGGTTTGCCCGGACCGCATAGATCTCATTCACAAGCATTACAGAGGACTTGTCAGGAAGCTGGTTGACATGGACGAGTGGGGCCAACTTGCTACTTTGAGCCTTTTGACAGTCTATGCACGCAAGTGCTTTCCTGTGCGGACTAAGAGAGTGAAGAAGAATAAGAGCAAAGGGTTCTATGAGGACGAGGGCAGTGAGCATGAGGAAGACAACTCCGGAGAAGAAGTCCAAGTGCTGGACCTTGATCTAGAGCTTTTCCTCAAAGCCTGTAAACCTCTATTGTCGAGTCGGAACTCTGCAGTCATTGTATCGACCGCCCGCTGCTTCCTCCATCTCGGTACCTCTGAGTATATCGACGCTGCGATTGGGCCCCTGGTGGCCTTGTTGAGAAGCCCACAAGATATTCAGCATGTCGCAATGAACAACATCGTTGCCGTCTGCCTAGTCCGACCTGAGTCATTTGTCAGATACGTGGGCCATTTCCTAGTGCGAGCCACAGATCCTCCCAATGTCTCACGCCTGAAGTTCGAAATTTTGACATTGATATTTCCGCACTGCGAGCCACACATTAGAGAGATGATTTTGAGCGAGTTGGAGCATTTCACCCGAGCTGCAGATGCTGCGTTAGTACAGGAGAGCGTGCGGGCTATTGGACGATGTGCCCAAAATGAGAGCACGGCTTCGACACGATGCTTACGACTTCTGCTAAACCAGCTTTCAAGCCAAGATGGAAACCTTGTGGCTGAGTCACTGACAGTAATCCGTCATCTGATCCAGCAAGATCCACAAGCGCACGTGCAAACCGTGATTAGGTTGGCGAAGAATTTGGATACTACGACAAACCCAGAAGCCAGAGCAAGCATTATATGGCTCGTCAGCGAGTTTTCAGGTTTGCCAGAAGAAGAAAATATCGCCCCCGACGTCCTCCGCATTCTTGTCAAAGGGTTCGCCGACGAATCCGAGGCAGCTAAATTGCAAATTGTTCTCCTAGCTGCCAAAGTCTATTTGCACTATCTCATCCGCACCACTCCAGCACAAACAGAAGAAGCACCAGACATTCCATCAGCCCAAGTTGTCGAGTGTGCTTCACTTCATATTTCAGCCGCGGCTGAGGAGAATGGCTGGCAAGATCCTCACCCGCCGCCCTCAACCGACCAGCCGGGACTAGAATCAGATCAAGACTCTCCTCATCCCATACCTCTTCTGTGGACCTACGTCCTGCATCTAACGCGTTATGATGTCTCCTACGACCTCCGAGATCGCACTCGTCTCTATCGTGCTCTCCTATCCAATCCTCAATCCACTCAACTAGCCTCCCTACTCCTGCTCGCCCCCAAGCCTGTTCCACACACACCCTCTCCATCCGAAAATCGAAAAGGTCTGCTGATTGGCTCAAGTAGTCTTGTCATTGGTGTCGAAGCAGCTGGTGCAGACGGTATGATGGGATATGAGGGCTTGCCCGAGTGGGTTAAGGAAGGGGAGGAGCCGGATGCTAAGCTGAGGGATGAGGGTCTGGCAAAGGAGGTCTATGGGGAGAAGAAGGATGTGCCGGCGGCGAGGGAGTTGGATAAAGCGGTTGAGAAGAAAGGGTTGGGGAAGATTGGGGTTGGAGGGGCGAAGAACAAGACGTTTGATGATTGGCTAGATGAAGAAGAGGACAGTGAAGAGGGGAGTACGGAAGAGGAGACGGAGAGTGGGAGCGAGGAAGAGAGTAGTGAGGAGGAAGAGAGTGAGAGTGAGGGAGATGAGGAAGTGGATAGATTGGTCAAGCAATAGCACTGCCATCCTAGAGAGGTCTAGTATGTCGCTGTCAGTCTTTGGAAGGCTAATTACACAATTTGAACAAGTGGTTTGCTCTCTCGAATTGACTTGTTGACTTTTTGGTACAGAGGCGCAGGGCTCACTTCAGTTGCACTTGTAACTACTTCGAATGACAACATCGTGCCTTCCATCTTCTAACAACCCGCATACTCCACTTCCAAGATTCAGTATCTTCGCATCTACGTCCCGCAAACACATAAGTGCCGCTCACATAAGAGCAGCTATGATGTCGGCAAAATCTGGCAATTCCACAGAACACGTAAATAAGAAGCCTCGAATCGACCGGTGAGTCGCTTTGCGGACACCCGAACTAGAGGAATCTAAATCAGCTGACTATTTTCAGCGACTCCTTCGATACCATGGTTGTGGTGAAGGTTGGCCGGGATGAAACGGTCTTCAGGATGCACAAGACCATCATCTGCAACGTCTCTCCCTTTTTCAAGGCAGCCTTCGAGGGCAACTTTGTGGAGGCTCAGGAGCAGGTCCTCGAGCTCCTCGACGAAAGCATCACCATGTTCAAGCATTTCCAGCTGTGGGTGTACACAGATAGCATCATCACGAAAGGCGAGACAGCAACAGACGTGACATGGGTCTCACTAGCTTGTCTTTACATCTTCGGAGAGAAGTGCGGCATCCCGGATCTGCAGAATATGGCTATCGATGTCCTTATCGACAAGCAACAAATCTCAATTCGGATGCCCATCTCAATCATCCGCAAGGTCTACGATGACACACCTGCTACAGCGCCCCTGAGGAGACTACTAGTCGACTTAATGGCATGCAAATTTCCCGTTGTACACGGCGGGCTCGCCGAGTGGATGAGAGAGCAGATTCCAAAAGACTTCCTTTTCGATCTAGCAGTTGTGCTACACGCGTTGAGAGCTGGCAGTAAAGCGGATATCGAGGACTTCAAGGCTTGTCGCTCCGATTACCATGTCAAGTCACCAGTCTCGCCTCCAGCGCCAACCTCCGGAGGTGCAGCAAGCAAGCCGCTGTAGCACTGTGACTATCGTTCAGTGAGCTTACCGCCTTTCAACATCTTACATGATGTGTGACTTGCATTTTTAGCTCAGGAAAAGTCGACGTCGATGGAGACTTGCAAGGATGGAGAATAAGGCGAGGGAGGAGGATCTGGAACAGCTCATGGGCGAGATAGCTAGAAGATTATATGGCACTATACGGCGTGCTCTCTCATCATGTCATATCTGAAGATACCAGCACTGATCATAGCAAACTTTCATGCTCTGCAACTTCTACTCGGTAGTACTCATCAGTGCAATTCAACCATGCTCATTTCCATTCCTTCGTGATGTCGAATGACCATTCAAACTTCAAGTATTCATGACCATCGTCGTCTGCGAACTTCGACGCAGCCTCGTAATGGCCTCTGGCCAGCATGCCTGTCGGCGCCTCATCTGGCTCAACTGGAAATAGACCTGTCAGATGGAATGCACCAGATGATTGGTGCAGAGACATACACTTTTTCTCATATACAGGCTTTTCCTGCGTATTCGGCGCGAATGAGCCCTATCAGTCAACCCGGTTAGCTTTCCATCCTTTCCCTACAGAAAAAAAAGAACGCTCACAATCATCTCCTCATTCTTCGCAACCCTAATCCCTTTCCTCTTCGTAACCTGCAAATACTTCAATCCGCTCAGCACATCATGCTGCACGACGAAGTTTGCCTTCATGCGGAACTTGGCTCCTTCCTTGATGGTGAAAGGTTTCGATTTGAGCGCTTCGACGGAACCTGGGGCGGTCAGATCGATGGTGATGTCGGAGCGGCCTTCGACTTCGAGGGCGAGGGATTTGATGACGCAGCGACGCTGGTCTTTGGGGTCGACGTGGATGGCTGGGGATGAGGAGATGCCGAGGGAGGCTTTCCAGCGGTTGAGGGATTCGTCATTTTGGTCTGGGTGGGTCGATGTCAGGAGAAAGCTTCAAGGGACAGGGAAGACAAGGGAACTTCATCGGGACGTGTCGGGAATATTGCAAAGGGATGGGAGATGCTTGCAAGAGAAGAGAAGTGGGGTATGTTTGGGAGAGTATTCCCATATCGATGCGGCGAAGAAATTCTCGACATCATAGTGGGATAGTTGGCATCTCTTCAAGGGCATGAGATTATCCAACAGGATATACAGATCTTGTACAGACTTGATTCTTCTTAGGGAAGGCATTATGAATAACAGATTTGAAGGCAAAGGTGAGAGTGGATGGAAGGTCTGTCGTCGAAAATTAGCGATATGCACTTACCGAGCTTTGCATATTCTTCGACGGTCTTTTTCTCTCCGACTTTGAATCCTTCGGTGGTGGAGGCCTGGAGATCATCCTCGCCTTGGCTGGCCATGTTTATTGTAAAGACTGGAGATGTCAAGGGAGGGATTGATGTTGTTGTTGTTTGTTGTTGTTGTTGTTGAAGCTAGCTCGATTATTCGACAGCGCAGGCTGGCATATGTTCAGGAAGATTGGTGGGGTTTCGCTTCACTGATCCAATCATCGGACACGTACTCTATTCCGCTCTCCGCATATGTTGAAACACCATCATCAATGACCTCGACAGCAACATATTTTGTACTACATCCACTAAATATCCTCGGTTGAATCTCATCATCTCCTGCTCACACACCCGTGACCTCGTTGTTTTTGCGACAGTGAAAGTCTAGCCAGCCACGAATTTGCTTCCAGCCACCCATTCCAACGCGGCCTCCTCCCCCAGATTTCCCCCCTAGGCTAGCCCGGAGCGAACTTGGCCTGAACGCAGAACAACACCTCACCCGCCCTTCACATTCTTCATCTCACAATTCATATACAGCATCACTGCGACAGCATCATATCGAGCGCGCCATTCCGTGTACAAGGAGCCACGCGATCAGTCAATTGGTAGAGCCCAGATTTATTTCGACGCGCTTGGCACCCGCCCGAAAGCTTACCCTCGACGTCAGTACATCATCAACAACACTGATTGAAATTTTGGAGGTATAATCGCAATGTCGAATGTACAGATCAATGGAACCTCTGAGCGGGTATTGCCAAGCAAGCGCAATCCTCTTCTTGCGCCTGAAAAGACACAACCTCGTACGATCCTACCCAAAGTCCAGTTCCGTCTTCATTGCTAATCCGCTCCAAAATAGACAGCGAACTCATCGCGAAGCGCAGGCTAGGACAGACGAACCTAGCTGTAAAACCTGGACAAGTCGGAACCTCCAATGCTACAAAGCCGGAAAACCTGGGACCTTTTGACTATGCACACCTCCGCGCTCCCCTACCACGTAGTCTGAAGGGATCCGAGATATTCGCGCCTCATCAAAATCAGCCGACGCCCGAGGTTTACTTCCTCATGGTACGTGTGTCTGAACTGTCGTTGCGCCCGGAAGCCAACCGCTGACGATGTCATCGTGCCTCTAGAGACGTAGCACTGATGGCTATGTGAGTGCGACTGGAATGTTCAAGGCTGCCTTCCCATGGGCGAAGCATGCGGAGGAGAATGCAGAACGCGACTACGTAAAGAGCCTGCCATCGACGGCACAGGACGAGGTTGCAGGCAATGTTTGGGTCTCTGAATTATACGGTGCGTTGCTCCGATAGACCTTGCGTGATGAGCGACTGACAGCATTTCAGCAATTGAGCTTGCACAAGATTACGGGATAGTACCATGGATTCATGCTCTCCTAGACGAAGCCCCAATCTCTCAAGGCACAGACGACCCCGCGACGAAGGCCATCTCTCCCCCACCGAAATTCACGTTTACGGCAAATGACAGGACTCTCCTACCCCCTCCCAACGGAACAACTGCTCGCGCCTCAACACCAAAAGCAAGAGGCAGACCCAGAGGGACTTCTCCTGCGAAGAACGCAAGTCCCGGCAAACCATCTACGAAGAAGCCTAGAGCATCAAAGGCCGCAAAAGAGGCAGACGCCGCATCAGCGCGTGAGGCCAGCGCGTCTCTACAAGCTACCCTAGATCATACGGCGCCTGACGGTACGTCCACAGCAGAGCCAGAATCAGCAGACGGCGAGAATGTCAAGATCCGTGTCGAGTCCAGCGTTGAAATCAAGGGTGACACTGAGAGAGGAGAGACTACCACTGTGAACATCGAAATGCCCACGGGATTTCCAGAATTACCATTGCCAGAACGTCCGGAGGAGATGATTGAGACAGCGAGAGCAATGGTAGAAGAGGCCAGGAAGGCAGATGGGGAGGGTAGCTCCTCAAAAGCGAAACGAAAGGCAGAGGAGATGGACGAGGAGTCCGATGGATCTGCAGATAATGAACTTCAGCCCGCAAAGAAGGCTAGGCTCTTAGGGGAGGAATTGAAGAAGGAGAAAGTGAGGACGCGAGCCTTACTTGGAGTTGCGGCTACATTGGTGATCGGGTATGTGCCTATGAGACTATCTCGTCCAATATTGAATGTTGCTAATACCAGAAACAGAGCTATAATCCCACTTGTGCTGCCCGGCTGATCTGTCCAGCCTCAATAGATTGATTGCCCTTTGGTGAAATTCATTTGATTGGTATCGACAAGATTCAAGCATCGAGTGCCTACAGGCGTCGAGGAATCTCTTTCTCTTCTCATCATACCCTCTTGTACGCTCTACACTGTCAAATATCTTTTCTGGCAGGCGTTGGAGGAGCTTTCCTGTAGGACGGGAGACTTGAAACTTCCCCTAGGATTAGAAGCCGAAAGTAATATTGCCGAAAGCTGTAGTCTGCACAAACAGAGAGACCCGTGTCTTTTAAGCTGTTGTACGGAGTACTAGTACTTTACTCCGATAGTCTTGAGGACTACATAAAAGGAAGAGGCACGTGACAGGGTCCCGGCGTCTATCAATCGCTCGTGGCTTTTGCCCTGCTTAGAACCCCCACTTTGCCACCACCACCATCGCACAAGCATCCTATCGATGTCAACGATGCACTCCCATCAACTGTGTTAACCCGCTTCACGTGCCTTACCAAATTACAATGTGGAAGCACATGACATGCGACATGCGGGAGATATCGGAGTCCCATTCCTTTCGCCCATTGGCTAATCAGAGTCTTGCCCCAACTGCGCTATCCACCAACCGAGGGATAAAGTGGAACTCAAAGCGAACACTCGCATAGACCCCTCAAACGCTCTCGAGTCTCATCCCGCACCTTGAAAGCTTCCCCAGCTTTCGAACTACCTTACTCTTTGTCTTTCATGTTTCTATCTCCACACGTGATCTGTTTGTTTTCCTCATTACTGCCATCTCTTTGCATTCCCTAACAAGTCAACATGAGCGCTGCCGTCTCTGTCCGATTCTCTCCCTCTCGCCTCTGCATGCTAAGCAATGGCCCTTCAGCATCCTCGCTATCCTCCATAACAAGACGCTCTTTCGCTTCCACACCCGCAAACCTAGCAACATGGGGATTCATAGGTCTTGGACGAATGGGTGAGCTTCGCTTCCTTATCGCACGTGGAAGCCCCACCATGTCCTCGACAGCGTGTCCCAATTGAAGAATGAATTGTGCTTACAAATGGCTGCGTGCCCTTCTCAGGGTACCCAATGGCCAGAAACCTACGTGCAAAGATCCCGGCGAGCGATACTTTGATCATACATGACCGCAACAAAGAAGCTACGGCCAGTTTCATGCATGAAGTCGGCATTGCAAGGGACAGTCCAACCTCGAACAACCAAATGGGCCTTATGGGCATTGAGATTGCAAGCTCGCCGAGAGCAGTGGCGGAGAAGGCTGTACGTGACTGGTCTTTTTAGTGTCACCATGCGTTTTCCCTTATGATGAGCATGTTCCAACCTCAATGATCTAAGTTGGGAGCTCGCGTCATGCAGCCCTTTCCCTGATTCGAATTCCACATCAAAGCCAATCCTCTGACATCCTCAATCCCACACTCTCTTCTCGGCGGCCAAATGAAAGTTGCCAATTGCTCACACATCGCGCAGGAAGTCATACTCACCGTCCTCCCCGAGCCCTCCCATGTCAAAAACGTCTTCCACAACATCCTTAACCCACCTCTCCCACCACTCACGTCCTCCTCCGGCGCCTCTGAACGCCTCTTCATAGATTGCTCCACCATCGACCCCACCTCGTCCCGCGAAGTCGCCAACGCCGTCCACTGCACAGCTCAAGGTCGCTTTGTCGACGCTCCCATGTCTGGCGGCGTCGTAGGCGCACGGGCTGGCACTTTGACATTCATGTTGGGAGCCAGCAGCAGATCGGGAGGACTGGTGAAGAGGGTGACTCCAATATTGGCATTTATGGGCAGCAAAGTCCTTCACCTGGGCGAACAAGGTGCTGGGCTGTCCGGGAAACTAGCGAACAACTACCTCCTTGCCATCTCCAACATCGCAACCGCCGAAGCCATGAATCTCGGCCTGCGATGGGGACTCGACCCGCACGTCCTTGGCGAACTGATCAACGGTAGCAGCGGCCGATGTTGGAGCAGCGAGATCAACAACCCAGTCCGCGGAATCAGCCCGGGAGCGCCAGCGGAGGAAGATTACGAAGGCGGTTTCGGGGTGGAATTGATGAAGAAAGACTTGAGGTTGGCGATGGAGGAGGCGATGAGGGTGGGTGCGAAGGTGGAGATGGGAGAAAGAGCAGGAGACGTGTATGAGGATGTCGAGGCTTCGGAGAAAGGGAAGGATTTCAGCGTTGTCTACAGGTGGTTGGGAGGGAAGATGGTGTAGTATATGGGGTTTGTCATGGCTATGTATTGGTCTCTCTGAACGAGGGGCTGCCATCTGAGAGGGAATAGGAACGGCAATTGTTTTATAGCTGGTCTGTTTTCGGCCGGAGCTTTGAGGGCTTTGCGAACCTTTGTAGATAGATTAAGCGATTCATGAGTTCATTCTCTCCTGTGTCTTGCTATCGAAACATCGTAGTACTTCATATAGCGTTAGAACAGAAAACGGCATATGGAATCTGCCTATCTACGATGCTTTTCCCGTTAATAACGATGATCAAATGAACACTTGATATGCCTCACATGATTCCAACGCTTTGATGCAACCTGGTATCATCAAAGAAAATACTCGACCACAACGCCTTGACCATCCTGATTCGGCTGATTCTGCTGCTCTCCCCTATGCAGATCATTCTCCGGCGCGGCATCAAAGACGTTGAAATACCTCTCTCCCTGATCGCTGACCTCGAGCACGCTCGCCATGTTTCCGCATCTGTAGCAATAGTTCGGCGCGCTCCAGACTGTGCTCAGTCGATCTTCATACAGGACTTGGTAGCCCTCTTGACAGAGCTGGTGCGCACGAAGGATGTGGTTCATCTTGTTGACATCCAGGAACTTCTTCACCACCTGCGCTCCAAACGTATAGCCCGCGCCTCTCGGAGACAGCGAGAACTCATCCCTCTCAGGATCCGGATCACTCCACACCAAATCTGCCATTGGGCCCTCATGCGGTATCTCTCTAAAGCGATCGATAATCTTGATCTGATCGATACTATGTATACTCGGACTCAATCCGCCATGCACGCAAAATATTTGATTGTTGATCACCACAGAGAGGGTGAGGAAATCGAACATGTCGGTGAAGTAATGCCAGACGTTCGCGTTGCCGTATTTGCGGTTGCATTCGGTGTAAAAGCCATATGATTGTGTTACGCCGCGAGACTCGTGGTTGCCGCGGATTAAGTGCACGCGGGACGGGTAGCGCAATTTAAGGCAGACAAGGAGGGAGATTGTTTCGACGGAGAAGAGACCGCGGTCTACATAGTCGCCTAAACCGAAGAAGATATTAGCGACTCCGTTGCGGTAGCAAAGTGGCGAACGTCTTGTGGATTGAACGCAGAGACCAGCTCAAGAGATTTCGCTCTGCTGAGCACGCGAGCACTCTTGGGTACAGCTCACCCAAGAAAAGATAATTGGTATCTGGACAGAAGCCTCCAATTTTGAATATCTCAATCATATCAAAGAACTGCCCATGTATATCTCCAACCACTGTGACTGGCGCTGCGATGTGTACAACATTGCTCTCTTTCATCAGAAGCTCTTTTGTTTTGGCGCATATTGCCTCTATGACAGAGTCGGCAAGCAATTCTTTCTTGTAGAGTCTTTCGATACATTCATCGAGATCGACACTTGCTAGAGCAGAGGGTTAGCAAGCCGTCTGTTGGTTAAAGAGCAAGCGACGGGTGGAGGCATACCTGGAAGACCGGGCATGTCTTTGCCTCCCAACCCAAGCGGGGGCTCTCAGACCGCGTTGCTCTGCAGGATGGCTTTTCTTTGATCTAGCAGTGCGGAAGCCTGCTGTAAGATATATCTCAAAATCATCATGAGCTTTACTCCCTCAAAACAGGAAACGGCATGGCATGATGGGAAAACATTAGACAGGCCTATGTGTACTTGATGTTGTACCTACTCCTCTCAGTTAAATTTTGACTTTTCCCGAGCGGAAGCTATCCGAAAAGCGTTAGTCATCTCGATATACGTACACCCTCTCAAATCGCCCTTTCCAACTTTCTTGTTTGAGACAACACTGCATCTTCCATGCAAGCTGCAAACTCCCACAGTCTCTACCCTTTCCAAAGAAAATCGTTTTCTCGGAACCGTTTATCCGCCAAATCGTGTAAAGTCTGACGAGCAACTTAGGTTGTGCAGATACTCAGCGGCCTGTAGGAGTTCTCTTTGACCAGCTAGTCTCAGTCGGATCTTAAGATCTCATTCCCTGTCGGCTCTCTTCCCTTTTCTGAAACACGTATATGCATCACCCTTGTCAAGAACTCCTCTAAGAATTCTGGTCCTCAACTTCAGATTTACTTCCACCAGAAAATTAGTTCTGTTTGAAAACGTCAAGCCCCTACTCCTAGGTTTCTTGTCCCTACAAACGTCTTCATGATCTGAGGGCGAGTGTCCATATTGTGCTGGCGGCAGAAGCAAGAGTTCAAGTCATCATTGTCAAACATGGCTGCCACTCAGTGGCCGCAACAGTATCAGCAGTATCAACAGCTGCCTCAGCATTATCAGCAGCCTCAACAATACGCACAAGGCCAACAGTACCAGCAACCCCAGCAGTATCAGTATCAGCATAATCCGCAATATGAGGCACAGCAATACCAACAACCTCAGCCCACTCAGCAGTATCAGCTACCGCCGAATTCTCAGCCTATGCAACAGTATCAGCAAAACCAACCACAAGGCTACCCTGTGCAGCAGTATCAGCAGAACCAACAACATCAAGCACAGCGACATCAGCAACCACAGCAAGGTCAACCGAGACAGCAGTATCCGCAAGTTCAACAAGGCCCGTCAGCGCAACAGTATGCGCAATCTCAACAAAGCCAGCCAGCGCAACAATACCCGCAGCAGCAGTCTCATCAACCTCAACAAGGACAAAATGGCTACCATCATCAATATGCACCGCAGCATTACCAATCACGACAGTATGCACCCCAGCTGCAAGGTTCTCCTCCCCAGCATGGCTCCTCTCCTGTTCATAGTTCACCTCAGCATCCAGTTGTTTCTCAGCATTTCGGTACTTCTCAGTACGGACCTTACCAGCAAGCGTGCCAGCCGCAACCTAATCCTGTCCATGGACAGAGTCCCGCTCATGCAGCACCTCAGCCATGCTTCAATTGTGGCAACTCGGGTCACTTCGCGATGGACTGCCCGGAACCGATACGTGAGGTTCCAGCGTAAGTTTCATACTTGGCTTCTTTGCGATGTTTCTAATGCCAAGTGTAGAGGAAAGTTAAACCCGCAAGCCTTTCAAAATCCATTGAGAAAACCCAAAAATGGTGGTACTGTGGCCACCCAACACCAATACACGCCACATCCCGGTCATACGCAAGTCTCGCCAAAAGGGTACCCACCACCGCCTCATGGGCAAATGGAGTATCCCCAACATCATCAGTATCAACAAGCGTATAGTCCTGCCACTCCGCTTTCGGCGCACTCACCAGCTCAAGCGCAATACTATCAGCAATGGCAACAGTACTACCAATCTCAACAAGCTTATCAGCAAGGCAACCACCAACACCAAGGGTCACCGCATCACCAACAGCCATATATGGCTCCACATGGTCAAGTTACGGGATATCCAAACGGTTCTCAGACGCCCAGCCAGGCGTCTGCTGTCCAAGCCTCGCAATACACTGGCGGCTCCCAGATGTACCAATCACAATTCACGCCAGCTTCAGCTACTTCTGTCCAATCTAATCAACAGTCTTTTGGCGCTGAGGCCACGGCCCAGCCAGACCAGCGAATGGAATCCTCCGCATCTATGAAGTCCCAGTCTACCCCACCAAGCTCAGACCAAGCTCAGGTCCTAGACTATGATTTTGAAGACGATGACTTGGACTCTCTTGACATACCCGATTTACCACAATCCAGGTTACATTTCACCAATGCATCACAACAATTTGTCTATCTTATCAGTCAACCTCTACCAGGGAACTTTATTGTTGCGGATGCTTTAGCACCGTTTCCGCAGCCAGCACCTCAAGATAAAGGCTATTGCAAGTCAAAGTACCAATACGATGGAAGTCTCGAAGCCTGCCTTGAGCAATCCAAAGATTCAAAGTACTGGGACAAAGAACACGCAGATGATATCGCTTTCTCTGATCTCCCAGCTGACGGTAAGATCGTTCCTGTTGGCGAAATCCTGCTGAAGATCAGGCAACGTCACGCGCATCCAGGATCAAGCGATGAGTTGAACAGAGATTCTCGCAGTCAGTCGCGAACAATTTCCATGAACCAGGATTCGCTCGAGGTGAAAAACACGCTAGACAGGATGGAGCGTGAACTGGCAGAGACCAAAGCGAGGCTTCAAGAAAAGCTTGAGAAGGGGAAGCCGGCAAATCCAGTGCACGCATCTCCACTACAGTCGGTGAAGCCGGAGCAGCATCCGCTTGGGGATCACGAGGTTAAAGAAGAATACCATACACCCCCAGAACCTGCGACCTTTGGGCAACCAATAAAATCCGAACAGGACCCTGAGGATGTTCTCGCAGCTTTAGGTGTGACTGGAGCACCGAAGCCAGTCACAGCAACTACTTGGCCAGATCAATACATTGGACATGGCTCACCTAATGATACGCATGTGTCACGTAGTAGAAGTTCGTCGAGAGCAGACATGTGGGTTCATGTTCCATATATCACGCGGTGACCGGCGATCCTGCTGACCTGCTTCCAGTCTTAGTGGAGACCAGCATCGAAAACAGTCCGACCTTAGTCAAGTAACCCCAGAGCACCAAACCAATGGTTCAATTTCCTATAACCAACACTTCGGACCTCTTCCGCCGCCGCCAATGCCTTTCAGACAGCAACCGCATCCAGATGGAACTGATGGCAGCCCACTGTCTGCTGGACTCGCCAACGTTAATCCCTTTGGCTACAGCACTAACGGTGTAGATCACAGCAACGGTAATGGCAATGGGTTCTTCACCCCGCCGACAGATGGACAAGCTCTTTCACCCACCGAATTACGCTCAGAGAAGTCACTGAGCCGCAAACGACATCGAGATTCCTCCTCTGATGAGGAAGACACTCCGAAAAGACGCCAAGAAGACGACTATACGCCGAAGCTCAAGAAGCGTCAACCCAAAGTCGCCGAGGCGTACAGGTGAGTAAGATCCTTCCTTGTGTCCCAGCCAATTCCTGATGCCGTTTCAGTCGCCGCTGGTAGGTGCCTTTTGAGTTACGATACTCTGGGCATCTTTTTCACCATCTTGTTCAGCTCCAAACAATTAAAATGCATAGCGTGGCGCTCGAGCACGGGCCTTGTTGTATTTCCGATACTCTCAATTGTGTTGGAAATTTGTACTTTGAAAGACTTCATTTCTCTAGCAGCACTCAAATATTTCGTGCAGAGGCTGGCAATAATTAGGGTTGGTCAAAACCATGATCATAAAATTTCAAGCATGCCGCATCTCGAATTTGGCGCAAGACGCTACTTTTAGAAAGAATATTGTGCTACTAAGCTGGTTTTGCTCTGCACATTTACGAGTCTAGCATTTCTTGAATGACATAGTCTGCCCGCGTTTACTAGTATGCTATTCAAGCAGAAGTCAGGGAAGTAAGGGAAGTAGGCATAGGATTGAAACGTTGACAGGATCTAGCAGTGAGGTTTGAGCTCAGCGACGAGAAGAACCAAAACTCGTTAAGGTATCGTAAGCCGTAGTTTTTTGTGTCAAGGTAGCATGATGACTGCCTTTTCTTCGCTGCAGCGTGGCCCTTCGCATCCATGCTATCAAATGCCAACAATGACGAGTTCTATGACTTTCTACTAAATACTGCATCCTTGAATTTTGTTGTCCCTGCGATCAAAGCATCTTGTGGCCATATGTAAATTGTTGGTGTCATCGTTTTGTAATTTACCGTGAAGTATTGTATGTTTCAACGCTTGCCCTACATGAGATTTTAAATCGTTGGGTCTGCTCTAGGGCTAGAATGCTACCATGGTTTGCAAACGTTCCTGCATTGCATTCTACTTGAATAACTTATCTTGTAACACCTGTCGTAGAAGTTACCGTGGACCTCCATGCGGTGAGTGAGATAGGTTCACAACGGCGCCAAGCCATTGCCGAACCATCCCCTTGCCCAGCATGCATCCGCGCAGGGTCTCCCGACAACCACACAGGGTTGTCGGTCAGACTCAGGTTGGCCTGCTACCTGTCACAAAGCAGAGCAAATGTCCATCAAGTCTTCCACTATACGCGGGGACTTGAAGGGCGCCTACCGAAAGGGGCTGCGATCCGATCTCGATTTCCAATAGCAGGCCGGTGTGCCTGCTCTGGAGTTCACCTTTTGGCAATCGAGCTGGGCGGCCTCGTGCTTGTGGCTCTGATGGAGATATGCCGGCGGAGACCTGAGCACAAGGGCGTGAGGGATTTGAGCGGACGGGAGGGCAAGGGTTGGACAACGAGGTTCGATTCGCTTCGTGATGGATGATGGTCCGCCACCGAGTTGGCTGTGTATTTCACCGATGTTCTTGTTGTCACGGAGGACTATTCGGGAGATTGGGCAAGTTCATGTCTTTTCTTCGAAAAGGTTGATTTGGTGTCTTGGCGGAGGACAGGAAGAAGACGGAAAGGACAACGGCCGCTTCCCGGGTGAGGAGGAGATTCGGGTTGCACAGAGTAGGCTGGCGAGTGGTTTGGGAAATAAAGCTGTACAGCATATGATCCTCGCTTTTGTTAGATATGTGGGGTATGTGAAATGGTAATTCAATTCTTTGGGCGGTTAGAGGACGTAGTTTTGACGCATATCTATTTGTAGTTTGGGGAAGTTCTAGTAGGGAAATGCCTGGGGCATCGACTGTAAATTTTACTTGGTCTTACAGCCTGCGAATCTGCCTGGTCGAGCATCTGTCGACTATGTGGGTGGCGTGATGTCGATGATTTAATTTGAACGTCCATTGCTTTTGTAATACGCCCCGAGGGTTTTTCGCAACGCTATGTAGGGTATATCGAGAGACAACTCCGTTAGACCTTTCGCTATGCATGATATTTTCCCTCGCTATATTTGAAGATTCCCAGTCGCTATGCTTTAATCACCTACTTTTATACTTGCAGTACACCATTCTCAACTACTGCCCGAACTGTGACCTCGGGGTGCTGCCACCATCTCAAACGTGTCATATACGGGGTCGATGCCTCGACCAGCCCTGTTCTCAGCGACGCGATATTTGTAGTATATGTGATGACGATCGCCGGCAAGGAGGAACGAGTGCTTGGCCCATTTCGGGTCATTGAGGAATTTCTGCTTCATATGGCCTTCGTAGAAGGCTTGCTCAGTTACTGGGTGGATGCAGATTGCCCTGGCAATGCGTTCGATACGTCTCTCAGCAACGCAGTCATCAGGGCGGATCGCACCTTCGGGCAAGGTTTCATACTCTTCCTCATCTTCTTCGTCGCTGTCTTCGTCATCGGTGTCGTCAATGACCTCCATCTTACCGTCACTATCTTCAGATTCGAGAAATGACTCCTCTACCTGTGCCATGACTTTTTGACCCTGTTTGATTGGATCGATGCGAGGGCAGCTGATGGCGTCGAGGTATTGCTCATTGGTCATCTCGGAGACTAGCTGAGGGGCGTTTTCAGGGTCTTGGTATACCAGGGCATCGTTGTAGATTTTGTATGACTCGGGTTCCTGTAAAGTGTTGGTTTGATCTAACATAGTGGTTGTTCATATAGCTTACATCCTGGTCAACCCAAGCCAAACGCTGCCACGGCTCATCTCTCATATCGCGTAGGAGCTTGGCGGTTGCTCTCATTCCCCCATACATATCCTCCTCGCTACCTTCGGTCGATTTGACAGCCATATTGACAGCCCTGGCTTCGGGTTCTTGCTCAACATTATCGCGATTGTCCGGACCTCGCTCTGTTCGAAACGCGGTCTTCTTTGCCTCGTTGATAGCATCAAGATGGACGAACTGGGGCCGTAACTGGACAATTGCATCCATTTTCGTCCAAGTGCAGATGTCTGTGCGATATTTAGTAGGAAAGTTTGTGGTGATCGGAGCTGATGTGCTCACCGTCTTTGAAAGTCGCTGCCATATAGATTGGGTCACCGTTCCTGAACGGATAGATCTGACCGCCCAAAGTAATTTTGTTCATCACATGGCCCTTGTTGTTGGCATCATCAAAATTTTCCAAGAGCTTTTCGTGCGAGGGCCCTTCTGGTGCGGGTGCCCGGCGGTCGCTCTTTGATATTGCCTTTGGACCGATTCCCAAACCACCACCAAGACTATACGATCCTCCTTCCTGTAGCAACCGACTTTTGCGCATAGCCTCTCCGTACTCGACACCTCTCTCCTTGTCGTAATTTACGTGAATGTTCACTGGGATCTCGACCTCGACAAGACCGCATTTAGGTTTGATGCGGATTTCCAAAGGCTTATTACCAGACGTTGCACGATATTCTTGACCAACCTCTCGGTTGGGATACTGCATCAACATGGCACGTTTGCCCGTTGGCTTGTTGATGAACAAGCGGTATTTAGCCACGACTTTGCCTAATCTATGGCTCTTCTCCCTCATTGATTTGATGTAAGCTTCGTTAATGGCCGTAGGATCATGGTTAGGATGGTTGGAATAGAACCCAACGCGCTGCCAGATCTCACGGTGCGCCTCCTTGATACGGTCGTCTGAGGGGGAGACTGGCTCGCCCTCGACGACAGTATGGCAAGCTCGAGCCGCTCGAAGCTGTTCTTTTATACTGTTAAAGGACGCTTTTGGTAGCGGTGGATTAGGCTGGTGGGGTGCTGAGCCCTTAGGATATGTCACTTCTTCGAGAGGTAGCTGCACATTTTGCGCGAGAGAGTCTGCTCGCGCAGCCTGGTTGAGCTTGGTCTCAACGATAGCAGACTTTTTCTTGCCGCGAGGCATGGTCGCTGCTGTAGGAAGATGACTTTGAATCTGGCAGATATTTGCAGGCAAAATGATATTACGCGTTTACAAACTGCCGTCATTCCCCGCGTTATGCAGGCTTATCGCCTAGCGCCGCTGTTATCGGTAAGCGCGAGCTTGCTTCTTTTAAGTATTGCTGACCAGTCCCTTGAACGGTATCGCTCCCTGCAATCATGGCATATCTTGCTCCTATACATCGTGGGACTAGCGTGCAGCATGCAATAAAGCTCCATATATTGTCTGCAGATGAGGAATCACTGGTTTTAGCGTGAGTTCGCCTTCGATGTTAAGGATGACGCTCGGCGTTGACTGTGCATTAGCAAAGCCAATCGGCTCGAAATCTACCATCAGACCCCAGATGGCTTGGTGCTGGCTCATACAAGAAGCCTGTATGGCAAGGTCACAATGTTGGAGACGCTACGTCCGGCCAATGCCTCAACCGAACACCTCTTCGTTGGTACAGATCGATATATGTACTTTACCGTCTCCTGGGACTCAGAGGCGCGGCAATTACGTACGGAGAAGAGCTATCAAGATCAAGCTGAGAAGACTGCAAGAGACTCTCAGACCGAAGATCGGTGCCTGATAGACCCTACCAGAAGATTCATGGCGCTTCTACTCTACGATGGCATCGTCACTATATTACCCATACACCAGCAGGGCAGCAAGAAGGGCACAGGCGAACCTGGAACTCTGGGCGATCCTGTACCGGCAAGAATCTCCGACTTATTTGTTCGATCTTCAACTTTTCTGCACCCTCGACAAGAAGATGCCGAACAGCTGAAATTCGCCTTTCTCTACGAAGACAACCAGCAAAGAGTGTGCTTGAATGTTAGAAATTTGGAATATTCTGCCAGCGGCAGTGGGGAACCAGGTAGCGCATACCTTGAGAAAATTGTTAGCACACGGGACGATTTAGAGCTTGGGGCTAGCCATCTCATAGCCGTGCCTGCCCCAGCTTGTATGCCACGTCCAGTACTTGCAGTCGCTCACCTACTTACATAATGACAGATGGCCTGCTCATCCTTGCTGAAACTTCAATAACGTATCTAGACGATGTCAATGGGGAAGTTCTGAGCAATGCTTTGGAGGAAGCAAGGCAATTTGTGGCTTGGGCACAGGTTGACAATCAGCGTTGGCTTATAGCAGATGACTCTGGGAAACTTTACCTCCTTATGCTTCTACTGGAGAATGAAGGCGATGTCACAGGCTGGAAGCTTGATGCGATTGGACAGACATCACGGGCCTCCGTACTTGTCTATTTAGACGGGGGATATATGTTCGTCGGCTCCCATCAAGGGGACTCACAGGTTGTCAAAATTCAAGAGCAAGGCATCGAGATAGTACAGACGATCTCGAACATCGCGCCTGTCCTGGATTTCACTATCATGGACATGGGCAATCGGTCAGGCGAAGGACAGACCAATGAATACTCCTCGGGGCAAGCTCGTATCGTCACCGGATCGGGAGCTTTTCAAGATGGTAGCCTCCGAAGTGTCCGTAGTGGAGTTGGCTTAGAAGAGCAGGGTTTGCTGGGAGAGATGGATCATGCCACGGATCTCTTCTCATTGAGGTCAGGCGATGCAAGCGCTAGTGTAGATCTACTCGTGGTGTCCTTCGTTGGCGAGACAAGGCTATTTCAGTTCCAAGCAGATGGAGAGGTGGAGGAAAAAGCGGAATACAAGAGCTTATCATTGTCAGAAGGCACTCTACTTGCTGCAGATCTTTCAAATGGCCGGCTGCTCCAAGTCACTGCATCGTCGGCTCGCTTGATTGAGTCAGAAAATGGTATGGTTATCTCCGAGTGGTCCTCGACCGATGGCCATCCAATCACGGCCGCGTCAGCAAATGATCAGAACCTTGTGCTGTCAGTCAATGGTCTGGAAGCCCTTGTACTGGATCTGAGGGAAGACTTAAAGGTCTGCGCAAGAAGACAATTCACAGAGGAGGGTCAAATTGCTTGCATCCACGTCTCGCATGTCTCGTCGGAGATCTGCATAGCAGGCTTCTGGCAGAGTGCCGCCGTTGCTATTTTCAAGATTGATACTCTCGAAACACTGCAGAAAGTCATTGTCAGCGATGAGACAGTCTCAGTACCGCGCTCTATCCTACTTGTCCAGATTCTCCCAGAACAGCCACCTACGCTGTTCATCGCCATGGCCAATGGCGAAGTCATCACCTTTTCCACCAACCTCACCACCTTCGCACTCTCCTCGAAGAAAGTCACCGTACTTGGGACTCAGCAAGCGAGCTTCCAGGCTCTCCCAAGAAGTGATGGCCTGTCAAATGTCTTTGCAACGTGCGAGCATCCAAGTCTAATCTATGGCTCTGAGGGCCGTATTGTGTATTCTGCCGTCACCGCTGAAAAAGCGTCGTGCATCTGCTCTTTTGATTCCGAGGCTTACCCTGGTGCCATCGCCATAGCTACACCCGAGGACGTCAGGATCGCGCTTGTGGATACAGAGCGCACAACACACGTTCAGACTCTACCTGTCGGAGAGACTGTACGAAGAATGGCATACTCACCCAAGCTGAAAGCCTTTGGCATAGGAACAATACACAGATCATTGCGTCAGTCACGAGAATTTATCAAGAGTCACTTCAAGCTCGCAGATGAGGTCCTCTTCAAAGAGCTCGACACTTACGCTCTCAACGAAGAAGAGTTGGTGGAAAGCGTCATCAGAGCCGACATTCGCGAAGATTCTGGCGAGCTAGTCGAACGCTTCATTGTTGGGACTGCATATCTGGATGACGAAGAGCCAGACTCAATACGCGGCAGAATCATTGTGTTTGCTGTCACTTCTGAACGAACCCTCAAAGTCATCACCGAACTGCCTGTCAGAGGCGCCTGCAGAGCCCTCGGCGTAATCTCGGGCAACATTGTCGCGGCGCTCGTGAAGACAGTACGGCGATCCGCCTTCTTCCTATTTCACTCTGTTGCAGACACAACAGCTAACGTACCTTCTAGGTTGTGGTATATTCCCTCGAAAATTCTCATCTCCACAAACGTGCCACCTACCGCACCTCTACCGCCCCCATCGATATATCCGTTCACGGCTCCCAGATCGCGATCGCTGATCTCATGAAATCCTTGTCCGTCACCACCTACACTCCCGGTTCGGTAGGACTCGAGGACACCCTCACAGAAACGGCCCGCCACTACCAGACAGCTTGGAGCACCGCTGTCGCTCATGTTGGTGAAGACACTTGGCTCGAAGCTGATGCTGAAGGCAATCTTATGGTGCTACATCAGAATGTCGGCGGTGTGACGAGTGATGACAGGCGAAGGTTGGAGGTTACCAGTGAGCTGAGGTTGGGGGAGATGGTTAATAGGATCCGGAGTTTTGAAGTCAGCGAAACCGATACTCGTACCCCTGCGCCCGTGGTACCGAAAGCGTTTATGGGTACCGTGGAAGGCAGTATTTACCTCTTTGGCCTCATTGCCCCAACACACCGCGATCTCCTCATGCGCTTGCAAGCTGCGCTGGCGCCCATGGTGAATAGTTTGGGGGACGTTCCGTTCAATGCATATAGAGGGCTTAGAAATCAAGTCAGAGAAGCAGAAGAGCCTTATCGGTTTGTGGACGGGGAGTTGATTGAGGGCTTTTTGGACTTAGGGGAAAGGGTGCAAGAAAGTGTTGTAGGGGGTCTGGGGGAGGTGGGCGTGAAAGCGGGCGGAGTTGAGGGCGTAAGAGAGCTGGTAGAGGGATTAAGGAGATTGCATTGAGAGCTTTCTATTTAATTTCTCATGAAACCCAACAATGTGCCAGTTGAATATCAAAGCAATCAATTGAGATCGTGACTGAGAGAACCCTTTCCCTTCCGCCCTACCCGAAAAAGAAAAACGCAAAAAACAAACCAAAACAAATAGATGTTCAGGACATTCATACCCGGGCAAGAGTTGAGTAAGGACTCTAAAGTGTTTTTAATCCTTTAGCGACTCACATATTGAAACGAACCCGAAGAGAAGAAATTGCACGCAAAACCCATGTAGCGCATGTCATTAAGGCACTTAAAACCAAAACTAGTCACGCAAATATCAAAGTCGTAGTTCTGTATGTCTGTGCTTGTTGTGGAGGCTCAACAACCCAATGCTGACTCAAATAACAATGGCCAGGGGTCGACTATTAACCCTCGGTTGCAATCTTGATTTTTAACTTTTGAAGAGTATAGATCATTTTAGTAGATTCCTTTTTCATCGAGCAGTTTGGCCTAGTGGTTTACACTGGAACACCCAAGTTAATCTGATGAGGCCTTACTCATCAACCGTTGGCCCAGTACAGTATTGCCACTAACGTCAGCTCGAGGGTTTGCATCCATATGAATATGCACAGTCTTTAATAAAACTGAGCTCCTGTAGTATGGATGATTTTCCTTTTGCTCCTCGGTTCGACGACGAGTTTGAGCCTCTTTTTTTTTTTTTGGAGTTTTTTCAAAGTAGATCACGCCTCGCATGTAATTCTGCAAAGCCAAACTTTCGCATCCTCGATATGGACCAAGGGCAAGGCCAAAGCAGTATCAATGTCCAACCACAGATACTTCGTAATGCAACGTCCGTTAACAGACTTGCTCTACACTAGCAGTACATGCTACTCTCTTGATGGATCAGCCAGGGCGTCTGGATCCCTTAAAACTTACACGCACCTCTCAAGGCCGCCTTCCAACACAACGAGTGATAGCTTTCCTTTGATTGACCACAACACTGGTGAATAACCAACATTGTTTCTTGTTATGTGGTACGCATAGCTACAAGGTCACTCCCTAAAATCTATTTCACAGAGCATGGCCTGAAATACAGAAAACGATAGTGACTTCTTTGGCAGCCTGTACTTCAAATTTGTGCACCCCCAAAAATGCAGAAATCATTCGACATGAAGGGTTTTATGAAGGGAATACAGGACCTGAGGTTGGATTGTCCCCAAGCGCAGACGCTGGAGACGCCGGAGCACAGTCGGGCCGCCAAAGCTGTTAAGGTTACCCTTCCTGGACATGCCTACACCTCCAAGATGTCTCTGCCTGGCCTTGACTTATCTGCTCCTGTTGAGACTTTCGCGACGCCGACTGTTCATGAGCTCAAGGAGCAAACAGAATGGAGATTCGAGGTTGCTTTTGGTACCAAAGTTGAGGTTCGGGTATGAAGTCCCAGCTCGATCGCTCTCTTCAATTTTCCTAAGTGTGAGAATACTAACCAAATCTTTGTAGCTCCTCTCAGGCACTGCTGAACTTTTTGGCACCGAGCTCCCTATCAATCAGAATTACACCTTCACTGGCACTAAAGCGGCCATCTACACGTGGCATGGTTGTCGCATCGAGGTCGTCGGCGACTGCCAAGTCGATTATATCGCCGAAGAGACCCCCATGATGATCTATGCGAACCTACATTTTGCTCTAGAGAACCTACGCGATAAAGCGAATTCAGAAGGAAGAGATGGACCTCGGGTGTTAATAGTGGGTTCGGAGAACGCAGGGAAGACCAGTCTAGTCAAGATACTTACAGCATACGCTACGAAAGTTGGTCGACAGCCTGTGGTGGTCAATCTTGATACGAAAGAAGGCATGTTGAGCATACCTGGAACACTCTCTGCCACAACGTTCACCTCGGTCATAGACGTGGAGAATGGATGGGGAAGCAGTCCAATGAATGGGCCTAGCCAAGTGCCCGTCAAGCTGCCTCTGGTGTACTATATGGGACTAGCCAATCCGGAAGAGAAGACTCTGATATTCAAGCCCGTTGTGACCCGGCTCGCATTGTCCGTGATGAACCGGTTACAGGATGATAGTGAAGCCAAAGAAACAGGGGTCATCATTGACACACCAGGCATTATCAGTCAAGGCAAAGGCGGCTATGAAATGATCCAGCACATCGTCTCGGAGTTCTCAGGTAAGAGTTTGACAGACGAGACCTCTGACCTGATTTCCTCTGCTCACTTCTATGGCAGTCAGTGCGATGGTAGTCCTTGGCTCCGAAAGACTATACAATGACATGCTCCGACGCTTCAGCGGCCAGAAGACCGGCGCTGGCGAGACCATTGCTGTCGTCAAAGTGGACAAGTCTGGCGGATGTGTCGATCGAGACGAAGCATACCTACAGCAATTCCGCCAGTCTCAAATCCGGGAGTACTTCTTTGGCGACGTCAATGCCACGTTAAGCCCACATACGCAACAGATCGACTTCAACCAGCTGATCATATACAAGTTGGCCGAGCGTGAGTGGGAACTTTCGTGCCTGTACCATTTGATCTGACTAACATCGTCCAGCAATCGATGACCTGCTCAAATCACTGATGCCTGGAGACGTGACAGAAGATAGCATCTCCGCCATCTTCAACAAGGTCCGACCGTCCCCGCAGATGCAAAATGCGATCCTCACCATCGTAAACGCCCACCCTGAAGATACGCAGGAGAACATCCGTGATGCCAGCGTGATGGGGTTCATATACATTGCCGATGTAGATGGAGAAAAAAACAAGCTGAAGGTGCTTGCACCCGTAGGGGGAAGATTGCCAAATAAGGCCATTATATGGGGTTCATGGCCTGAAGGAATCTCTGACTTGATGTGAAGGCTGAGGAAGCTCCGAGCTGCATGACATTGATCCGCATAGCGAGGCGTTGTTGGATAGTCAAAAAGCGATACCCTAGTTAGACACAATGCCATCTCTTGAATGCTGTCCGCTCTGTGCCATTCCATTCCACCTAGCCAGCTCCATTCGCAAGCATCGCATTGAGATATAAACCATTGCGCAGCCCTATCGCAGCTTCCCTTTGGTGCGCCTAGTCTAGCTTGATTCGTAATCGCATGCTATAGTTTCTCATTCTTCGATCAATCGGCTTCTACATGTTATGCAGCCATAGCAATGTCGGGTGCGGAGGCAATTATTGCTTTCGGTATCGCTACTAATGTCATCCAATTCATTGACTTCACGGCGAAGCTATGTGGCCGAATACGGGAATATGCATCAGGCTCCGGCTTGCCGAAAAAGCTCGCCACCCAAGCCGACCGTCTTTCAGACCTTCTGATTATCCTTGAATCGCTGAACAAGGCCTCCAATCAAGCAGTCTTGAGCGGCCAGACCCTGGCACGATGTCAGACTCAAGCGCAGGACTTGTCCGGTATTTTGGATGATCTGAAGAGCGATGGCCAAAGGCAGATTTGGGCAAAGAATGCAAGAAGAGCATTCAAGTCGCTCAATCGTTCTGATCAGATTGAAGAGCTACAAGGTTTTTTAGATAGCCTTGTCGGAGTTTTGAGCCTTCAATTGCAGGCTGATACGAGGTAAGACTTGCGGCTTCGCCCACCAAAGACTCGCTGTTGCCTACTCAAGGAATCCAATGTCCAGATGTCATTCGTGCTGACTCTTTCAAAGATCCGCATCAAGTCAAGTACAAACAAATACCGTGTTGATCCTTGAACGGCAGCTTGAGCAGATGTCGCTGCTGAGCGATCTGAGGCACATGGCAGGCTTGAAGGATCAGATTAACGACAATGCCAGCTTTCTAGACAAGGTCCTATGGATGGTATCTATAGGACGGAATCCTACCTTCGTCGGACGCACTGCGGTGATGTCGGCCTTGGAGTTCAGGCTTGCAGCCAAACCAGATGCTGTGCCAACGGCGGTCTTGTGTGGACTAGGTGGTGTTGGGTAAGTAAAGTCTTGAACGACCGGGTGTAAGTCATGGCCGATGGCCATCGACAGCCACAATCGCTTTTTCTGACGCAGGGTATGGTGCAGGAAATCCCAGATTGCCCTGGAATACGCATACCGAGAGAGGGAACGGTCTGCGAACACATCAGTATTCTGGATTCATGCTGGTAATGCAGCGAGGTTCGTCGAATCTTACAAGCGCATCGCTTCCGAATGCCAGATACCGGGCAGAGATGATCCAAATGCAGACGTACTCCAGCTTGTCCGCGACTGGCTGGAGGCCAAGTATGAGTGTCCATGGCTAATGATTGTTGACAATGTCGATGACCGCCACATGTTCTTTGAAACTTTTAGCTACGTTGGCAAAGCTTTGAGGGAGTATATCCCCCAAAGTTCCAAAGGTTCAGTACTCTACACGACAAGGAATAGAGACATCGGCATGGACCTCGCTCTTGATCGAGTTCCGATTACCGTGCCTTCCATGGATGCGCATGAGGCCCAAGCGTTGCTTGGTCAGAACATCATAGCTGAGAGTACAGAAACCGAGCAGCTTGAACTCCTCGGAGAGTTGGTCTATCTGCCACTGGCGATTTCTCAAGCCGCAGCTTTCATGGCGAAAAGACGCAAAAGCGTCGCCGAATATATCAAGCTATATCGTGGCAGTGAATCAACTAGAATTAGGCTTCTTGGTCAACGATTCAATCATCATGGTAGAGAAGCAAGACCGTTAGAGTCAGTCGTGACTACGTGGTGGATATCGTTTAACTACATCAAGACGGAAAACCCGCGAGGTGCGGAGATATTGTCGATGATGAGCTTTATGGATCCGCGAGGGATCCCATTCTCCTTGTTGATAGCAGACGGAGAAGATGAGTTTGATTTCGAAGAAGCGATGGGTCTATTGGAAGCATTTTCGCTCGTCACTTTGGACACGCACCGCTACGCATGCAACGTCCACGGTCTAGTCACGGTGGCCGTCCAGGGTTGGCTCCGCGAGTACGAAAATAAATGCGAAACGATCGCAGCACAAGCGTTGAAGACGGTATCCGACAGGTTTCCAGATGGCTTCTTTGAGAGTTGGCCGACCTGCAGAGTCTACTTTCCGCATGCGGAAGAGGTCCTTCGCTCCAGTGCTGTTGTAATTCAAACCGCGTCACTACACGCTAAAGCATCTCTGTTACGCAATATGTCAACCTTCCTCAGGATGCAAGGCAGGTACGAGGCCTCAGAATTGAGAGCTGTGGAGTCGATGCAGGTTTTCGAGCGTTTGTATGGCTCTGAGCATCCAGATACGCTGTCCGCCATGGAAAGCTACGCACATACTGTCCACAAACGTGGCAGGTACCAAGATGCAACGCTCTTACAGAGGCAGATCTTTGAAGTCAAGGGAGAAAGTGCTTGGAATTGGTCATCGAGCCACACTTGAGAGCTTGAATGCTTTGGGGTCTGACCTACAAACCCTTGGTCAGTACAGAGAAGCCGAGGAGATCCATCGTCGAGAACTCGTTGAAAAGCAAAAACTACTCGATGGGCGGCCAGGAGATATCGGGATCAAGGCGGACGTCTTCATTGCAATGAACAATGTCGCTCGTGTGCTTTCTCACCAACGCAGATTCAAGGGAGCTGAACAGCTACATCGGGAAGCATTGTATAAGGGTGAGCTTGTTTTAAGACGTCTTCACCCAGATGTGTTCATCACACGTGGGGAGCTAGCAGGTACGGTTAGAGATCAGGACAGACTGGATGAAGCTGAGCAGATGTACAACGCTTTGCTAAAGGATCGATTAGAATCGCTTGGTGATCGCCATCCTGACACGCTTATCACTCTGAACAATTTAGCAATAGTCTCTGCCCGCCAAGGCAAGCATCAGAAAGCAGAAAGTATCTATAGGGAAGCCCTGCTTATTGAGCAGGATATTCTCGGCGTCACTCACCCTTCCACAATCAACGTCATGCACAATCTAGCATGTTCCGCTTGCGACAGGAAAGACTATGCACAGGCGGTAACCGAGTTCAAGGCCGTCTTGGAGCTGCAGAAGAGAGTCATTGGGCCTACTCATCCACACACTATGCACACTCGGCGCAATCTTGCGATCGCACTGAGGAAGTCTGGAGATCTTGAACAGGGAGACAAGCTGGACACTGAGACCTTGAACATATCCGATTCCTTGCATGAAGATAAAGAATCAGAACAGTTACAGACACTCGAAAACCTCGCCAAGAGCCTTACAGATCAAGAAAGGTATGAGGACGCTGAGGCAATTCGCCGTCAGGAGTTGGAGCTTCGACTGGCTTCCGGCGAAGATGAGAAAGAAATTCAAGACAATCTTGACGCTCTTGCTTTTCTTCTTGGCCAGCAGGGAAAGCATGATGAAACCGAACGTATCTTTAAGCAGATATTGGACTACAGGACCGTGCACTACGGACCTGAGCACGGAGAGACTTTGCAGACTCTGTGGAACCTGGCGCTGGTCTACCGCGAGCAAGAAGACTTTTTGAACGCTGAAGCGAAGTATGTGCAACTGGTGGGCATCCAGTCCAAGATCCTTGGTGTGGATCATCCGAAGACTCTTGACAGCCTCACGCAGCTTGCATGAGTGCTTCAACAGCAACAAAAGTGTGCTCAAGCAGAAGGAATGTACCGTTTCTTGCTCGAAGCGCGCCGCAAAGACCTAGGGTCGGAGCACCCAGACACGCTTGTGATAATGAACAACCTTGCTTCGGTGCTCAAGTACCAAGACAGCGAATCAGACGAAGCCACGCCCCTGCTTCGGCACGTGTACGAGACTAGATCGAAGATCTTGGGGCTGGACAGTGATCTCGCAAAGGATTCGATGCGGTTTCTTGCAGATCATCTGCGAGACTTGGGACAGCATGAAGAGGCTGAAATTTTCTGTCGGCAAAAGATGGGGCTGGACGAGATTGCAGACGATAGTAACGCCATTCCCAGTCCTCAACAGGACCAACTCCCAGCTGATCCGGTGAGACATGCCGCTCCGATAGCGCCGAGCGGGCTTGATGACGTTGGTGTCAAAGAAGAGGATCTCTGGTGAATAATGTCAAGGATTTTCGCTAGCTGTTAGCAACGCTGTAGACCGGCCAGCCAGTGCGCCGAGTCTGCGAACCGCTCCAGCTTGCGGCCGTGGTGTTTTGGTTACAGCCCCACAACATCCTACCAACTCAGGTCATTCAAGGCTAGGATCTCTCAAAGGAGTGGCTTCTTCAAAAGCAATTCAATTACCTTTGGAAGTAAAGTTTGGGCTTTAAGCCCTGTTTTTATTGTGATATACACAGGAGAACATTGTGAGAGTTGCGAAAAGGGGCGGGTGAAAACCCAGATTTTTCGATCCTGCCGCACCTTGACTGCGAATTTTGGTGAAGATACTGGGGTGAGAGAGGGGGCCCGACGATGTAGTTATCGAAGCTGGGAGGGTTTCCGCCCTACATGGGTATATAAGACTTTCAAGAGCCATGGGATTTTGGGGTCGACGCTCGAAATACATATCGATTTAGAGCGAAGCAATGAAGACACAAATCTTAAATATACGATATCACCGGAGGTAACGACAGACAAGTCAACCAACCAATCAATCAATCAATCAATCAATCAATCAATCAATCAATCAATCAATCAATCAATCAATCAATCAATCAATCAACCGCGGATCACAACCATCCCCACAACCTCTCAATCCTCCAACAGCTCACATCCCCCACTCACCCACCCAGCACCTTCACCAAACCCTCCACACTCAACAAACCCCTCGTCGAAAATGCCCCGTTCCCCGCAACCTTCACAAACACCCTCTCATCCCGCATAACCTCCCGCAACACCTGCTCCAAACGCCCCTGCATCAACAGCGCAAGCGTTGCCGGCGGCGTCGCTTCTCCGTACGTCACTTTGCTCAGATCTCCCTCCAGCAGGGTCAGAAAAGGCGTGTTTTGCCCTCCTGGCAGTTCGTGGCCGCCGGTCGATCGGACCAGGAGGTCGAGCAGCGCGACGTCGATGGAGAGGGTTTGGTTGGCGGATTGGAAGTAGGAGATCTTTGGGGCGGCTTCGGTGGCGGCGGTGGAGATGACGGCGGGGGAAGAGAGGGCGAGGGTGCGGAGGGCGCGGTGGAAGGTGCTGATGTAGGCGTTTATTGCTGGGTTGGGAGGTCAGTCCGTCCTTCGGCTTCTTGCTTGATCTTGTGATGGTGTCCTCCATCGATTGAAAGGTAACAATAGGCTTATTGATCTACGGGAGGAGGGGAGACATGGGGCTTACCGTAGAAGTTCCACACAGCGTAGAATGCCTGGGGGTTGTTTGCGTAATAGGCTGGTCTAGGCGCCGGGCACGTCCCGTTCGCTCCGCCGGTGTTGATCTTGGAGCAGTTGAATTTGCCAGAACCGTAGCCTTGCTGCAGCAGGAGGAAGCAGGTGGAGAATGGCTTGCCGCCTTCGCATTGCCCAGAAGCCGGGGCTGCCGCTGTTCGGGCGACGATTCGCTTGCGGAAGTAGGAGGAGGAGTTGGTGCCGGTTGTGACGTCGTCGGCGAAGGGATTGCCGGACGCTTGCGCGGAACCTGAACTGGTGGCTGGTGAAGGATTGGTAGATCCTGGCGTCTCTCCGGTTGCCAATTCGCCGCCGTACGGACTCGTGGTTACCCAATTGTTGAGGTAGGTGGTCATGTTTAGAGTGAACCAGCAGGCAGGAGCTAGGCCGGTTGACACATTGCTGCAGTCGACGGACTTGGTTCCTAGTGGAGAAGATGAGGTGTAGGTGGCGGTGGCACTGGGCTGGAGGGGGGAAGCTGAGGTGGTGGATGAGAGGAGAGCAGATGCAGCGAGTGCGAGGAGTTGGGGAGAGGGATGCATGATGGTCGATGTGTTTGGGTGCTAGGCTTTTTGGAGTTTGCTTGACATTGACTGGATGTGTCAAGGATGATGGCTTTGCTGTGGGAATGAGTGAGGTGAGGAGCAGGCTTTATAGATATCCTTCCGATGTTGCGCGTCAAGTAATGGACTTTCCATTCCTGCTATGACAGAGTGGGAGTATGCTTTCATGCGAAATTACGAACCCTCCAGGCGATGAAAATTGTCCGCGTTGGGATATCGTTGGACTCATGAGGAGAAGTGCCATCTTTTCGCTGCACGAGGGACTCTTGTGGATCGAAGCATAAATGGTATCCTCCCGCCTGGACGGCATGATGGCTGAATAGCTCGACCAACTTCTTGCGCTCCAATCGCCAACATCGACTGAGTGCATGGACTTCGTCTCATGTTGAGATCCTAGTTGAGAGCCATAACCATAACGAAAACCAATGGGGCGGGTCGGGAAACCCAAGCTCACAGCAGAGGCTTAAGATGATCCGATACTTCAATTTCCTACTGGAAAGTTCCGTACACGAGACGTCGTCAAGAGCGGCAAGCGATGTAAGGATGGCATCAAGCTAGGCCAAGTAACCATGTCGCGTTCCAGTTGCTCGATCTAGGGACTGGCACCGCTGCTCCAGGCTGGCGCAGAGTCTCACTTGATTGGCAGAAAATGTCCCTTTGGAGACTTTTGGATCGGCTTTCGGTTCGCATCAACTTTTACACAGCCACACTCGAGTTGTCCGTCCTGGGCGTCATCTATCGTCTGCATGGGATTCCAGCATTTCGGATAGCTTGCCGCGGCCCACCAGCTTCAGCGGCTGGCATACGCGGCCAAATTTGCGGTCAGACCGCTAGGTTCATAATTAGGTAGATGCTAAGCTCCTGCAAAGCCTTCAGTCACCTGCATCAAGGCCAGAAGTAGCATGGTTTGCCACGTTTCCATGCGTTGCTATTTTCAGGAACCGACGTTCGCGTTTGAGGAAAGCCGCAGATTCTGTATTAGCGCAGGTTCGGGCCTTAAAGCTGGTTCATCTTTGCAATTGCAAGGTATCAACAGGGTTTTATATGATAAGCGCGCTTGAGCAGGATTGCAGGCGACACGGGACGATCTCGCCGGCTGAGATGTCACTCGCGTTGAAACGAAACATTGGTGAGGTCAAGGTGTTACTCGGTAGTGGGCCCACATTGTCAGTAGTTTTTGTATTTTGGAGGGAAAACATTTAGATGCCTGGGATGTCGTTGCGGCAGAACAACATACGTCCCGTGAAGAGAGTGCACCCAGATAATATGTCCAGATGAAGGACTGCTGTCTATGGGTTCTGCAATTCTATCAGCTTAGTGCCACTCATCAATGAATCCGCAAGCTCGATCATGATCACATCTCTAGCAGCTATTTACGGAGAATAACCTTTCAAACCCACTTCTTGCCACTCTCTCGATCCTTCTTCAACTGCTCCAGCAAATCCTTTGGCGGACTCTGCCTATACCCTTGCGGATTATTTTTGGTCCATCTCCACAGATCCTCACATGCATCCTCCAATGTTCTCTCTGCCTTCCATCCCAGTTCTTCATTCGCTCTCTTCGGATTAGCTGTCAGATCCAGCACGTCTCCGGCTCTCCTCCCAATGACTTGATATGGCAAGTCTTTGCCCACCGCATCACTGAATGCTTTGATCATGTGGAAGACCGTGCTACCCTTGCCTGTTCCCAGATTCCAGGCACGTACGCCAGGGTGGTGATCGCGAAGGTAGTTGAGAGCGACGAGGTGACCCTTTGCGAGGTCGAGAATGTGGATGTAATCGCGGATGGCGGTGCCATCGTGAGATGCGTAGTCTACGGTCAATTCTGTGAGCATGCGTTCTCCATAGGGGTGACCAACATGGGAGATAGCGCTCCTACCGTCGCCAAAGACAAGTAACTTCTCGCGCTTCCCTATTGCTACTTGGGCAAGTAATGGGAGGAGATTGTATGGTACACCTTGGGGGTCTTCACCCATGACACCGCTAGGATGCGAGCCTGCCGGGTTGAAGTAGCGGAGGAGAGCAGCGTTCCAGTGGTCACCAGATTTTCCCGCCTTCAGAAGACTATTGCGTTGGGCTTCCACGTGGTCTGTGATGCAAGCTTCGACCGTAGATTTGGTACGGCCATAGGGGTTCGTGGGGCCGATTGGGCAGATTTCAGGAATTGGGATCATGTTTTCGAAGCGGGTGGCATCGCCATAGACGGTGGCCGAAGAGGAAAAAACAATGTTGGATACATTGTGGCGTGTCATGGAGGACAAGAGGCAGATGGTGCCGTAGACATTGGTACGGTAGTACTCTAGAGGGATCTCGCTGGATTCACCAACAGCCTGAAAACGGTCAATTGAGATTCCAGAGATGCCACAACCCAAAAAAACGGCTCTTTGCGATCCTTTGGAACATACCTTGAGAGCAGCGAAGTGGATCACGCTGTCAATGTCTGGATGCGCCTTGAAGACTTTGTCGAAGTCCTCCTCTTTTCTGACGTCGACGTTAAAGAATTCGGGTCGCTTTCCGCAGATGAGCTCGATACGATTGATGGTTTCTTCTGAGGAATTGAGGAGGTTGTCTGCGATCACAACTTTGTAGTCTGCTTCGAGTAGTGCAAGCGCAGTGAACGAGCCTATGTAGCCCGTCCCTCTGGCATTGAGTTAGTACAGATGATACCTTTACAAATGAGGTAGACTTACCCGGTGACCAACACTGAGCCGACAGTCATGATGGGGGTGGTTTTTGTGCACTGAAGTTGCCGGGGGGCGACAGGATTGTTTGTTGAAAGCTGTCATAATCGGTCGAAATCGGTTCCTGAGATGCGGGCAATCGTATGCGAGACATAATCCTTGCTGCCGATCATTATGACGAGCATTAACCTTGTTGGCGGCACCTTGTTCTTAGGGCTGACTTCTTGCCAAAGGACCACGTGGCAGGCAATTCTCACGTGATTCAGTGGGGAGCTGCTTTACTTTTTTGTTGTGACATTATGCCTGAACGGTACTCTACGTGGTACACCGTACCAAGGAACTTTACAGGGCGATTGGGACCACCTACGGAGAAAGGACCTGAGCGGGCGCCAGTAGCAGCCCTAATCCTACGTTCAGAAGGGGGCCCTGTAGTGGGGGACCCCAGAAATCCTGAGCGCCAAGATCTCGGATAACGCCCTGCCTGAAAGTTTGCCTGGACAATGCATCAAATCTGCTTCGGATTTGCGCCTAACCTGAGCTCACTCTCAGGAGCAACTGATAACTCAATTCATGCGATCCTAGGAAATAGTTCTAGGCGACAGTTACGGGGTCAGCTTCCAAAATTAGGGTTAGGGCTACTACTAGCGATGTCCAGGACTTTGCGTGCGGACATCCGTAATCTACTGGGGTTAACTCCGCAATGACGATATGCCCCTCTAATGTTGGGACTGTTTTTCGTCATATCTTTCAGTTGACGCTCAATTGCATGTCGTTCCAGTCGCGCTTCATCCTGGCAAAGATACCCAACCAATTGACCAAACCAATATCCCGACTCTCCCTTTTCAGCAACCACTTCCCGCGATCCCGGACCATGGCATCCTCCACGCAGATCCCCAAGACAATGAAGGGGATACTGGTTGAGAAGACCGGAGGAACGGAGGTCTTACAGTACAAGACCGACTTACCAGTCCCCGAGCCCAAAGAAGGCGAGGTCCTCGTCAAGAATGACATAATCGGCATCAACTACATCGACACGTAAACCTCCTTCTTCTCCCATTGAGACTC